CATTTATTCCCACTCTGATCCTTATTGTTTCCTTTCTTCTGCTTCCTTAGGTTTAGTTTGCTCTTTTTCTAGTTTCTAAGGTTCATAGTTAGGCTATTGGTTTGAGATCTTTCCCCTTTAAAAAGAAATTTCCCTCCAGTCAGTGCGTTATAGGCTTTGCTTTATTTTTATTTTCATTCAACTCAAGCACTTTCTAATTTCTGTTGTTGGTTTTTTTTTTTTTTGATTGATAAGTTATTTAGAAGTGTGTTGTTTAATTTTCACATGTTTTTGAATTTCCCAAATTTCCTTCTGCTTTTGCTTTCTAATTTCATTCCATTGTGGTCAGAAAACATACTTTGTGTTATTCTAAGCCTTTCAAATTTATTGAGGCTTGTTTTAGGACCTAACATGCTCTATCCTAAAGAGTTTTGTAAATGTCTTTTAGATTTAGTTAGTTTGTAGTATTATTCAACTCTTCTATATCCTTGTTGATTTTTTATCTTGTTCTATCTATTGCTGAAAGTGAGGTATTGAAGTCTCCAGCTATTCTTATTGAATATGTATTTCTCTTAAATTCTGTCACTTTTCCCCTTCTTTATTTGAGTGTCTTGTTAAATATTTACATTTTTATAATTGTTAGGTTTTCCTGGTGGATTAACCCCTTATTATTAAAAAAAACAAAAAACAAAAAAACCTTGTCTCTGGTACAGATTTTCACATAACATCTATTTTTTTTTTCTGATATTAGTGTAACCACTCCAGCTATCTTTTCGTTATTGTTTTCATGGTATGTCTCTTTTCATCCTTTTATTTTCTCTTCCTCCTATATTAACCTTTTTTTATCATTATGAAATGCCACTTCTTATCTTTGGTAGTATGTTTTTCTTACCTTCTAATCTGATGCCTGTGTAGCCACTCCAGCTCCTGTTATGTGTACATGATATATCTTTCCATTCTTGTATTTCACCCTCTTTGTGTCTTTGAATCTAAAGCGTGTCTGTTGTAGACAGCATATAGTTGGATCATTTTTTAAAATCCATTCTGCAAATCTCTACAATTTTCATTGGAGTGTTTAGTCCATTTATGTTTAACATATTACTGATAATTATAATTTAATTGATAAGGCAAAATTTACATCTAACATTTTGCAGTTTGTTTTCTATGGGTTATGCTGTTTTGTTCCTCAGTCCTCCATAATTCCTGTCTTTTCTATTAAGTAGATATTTTTGAGTATACCATTTTAATTCCCTTGTTTTTTTCTTTCACTATATATATTTTTAGGTTATTTTCTTAGTGGTGGTTTTATGGATTATAATTAACATCTGAATTTGTAGCAGTATAGTTCAGATTAGTATCAATTTAATTTCATTATCATTTTTATTTTTTAATGTTTTTTATTTATTTTTGAGAGAGAGAGAGAGAGATAGAGATAGCATGAGCAGGGGAGGGCCAGAGAGAGAGGGAGACAGAGAATCCGAAGACGGGCTCCAGGCTCTGAGCTAGTTGTCAGCACAGAACCCGATGTGGGGCTTGAACCCATGAACTGTGACCTGAGCTGAAGTCGGATGCTTAACCGACTGAGCCATCCAGGTGCCCCAGTATCAATTTAATTTCAGTAGTTTTTGCTCTGTTACCAGTTTTATAATTATTGCTTAGTACATCAGTCTTTTAAATCAGATAGGAGAAGAAATACTTCATTAATACTGTCTTTATATGAGTGAGATGATGGGGGCCCTTGGAGGTGGTGAGAGCAAGGTTAGTTCCACATTTGTGCATTTTTAGGAAAATAAAATCTATAGAGAAATAGCTTTTACTGGAAAAATAGTTATTAAACTGTCAGTGTGATTAATTTTTAAGTGCTGGAATAAATGGTGGGTTTTATTTTTTGCTATTCATATTTTCAGTATTTTCTACTAAGAACATGTATACCTATTTAGTAATTTAAGACGAAAACATAAAAGTATTTAGAAGCTAAATTATTATGTTACCAACTGGAATGGAGTTCTTAAGTAGAGTTTACTAAGTATAATGTAGCTTTTTTTTTTAACCACTATAGGTGCACCCCCATCTTTCTAGATTCATTTGATTCTTCCTGTGTAAAATACTGAATTTTCTTAGATTCTGTATGGCTCTAGAATCCTTTGCCTTTTATACATTTATCTAACTAAGTTGTTTTTAATTTTGAAATAATTCCAGATTTACAGCAAGGTTGCAAAAAGTACATTACAACTTTACCATAAATCTGAAATTTTTTATAATCTTTATTCAGGTTCTTCAAATGTTAACATTTTATCACATTCTTTTTATCATTCTCTCTGTATGTATGTGTATAATATCATGTGTATATAAATGTGTGTATTGTTACTACTTTTCCTGAACTATATAAGAATAAATTATGGACATGATGCCCCTTCATCCTTAAATACTTAAGTGTATATTTCCTAAAAATGAAGATATCCCCTTTTTTAACCTTAGTACGTTACCAAAATGAGGACATTACCATTGACCCAATACTAACATCTTTGAAGCTGAGAAATAAAGTAAAACAAACAAAGCCCGTCCTGCATTGAGTTATTATGTCGGTCTCGTCAGCCTCAGTCTTTCATGACATTGGCATTTTTGAAGAATACAGGCTAGTTATTTTCTGGAGTGTTCCTCATTTTGGGTTTCCTCATGGCTGGATTCAGGTTCCACATTTTTGGCAGGAATACCACAGAAGTGGTGCTTTTACAGTCCATCACTTCAGTCTGCACGTGATAGTTGTCTCATTACTGATGATGTTAAAGACCTTGCACCCTAGCCCTGAAGGAAGCTCTTAGCTTTTTCAGTTGGTTGTTTTTGGCTTATGAGCAACAGGAACTCATTTCTCACTGTTCTGGCAGCTGGAAGTCCAAGATCAGAGCACCCTTATAGTTGAGTTCAGGTGAGGGTCCTCTTGCGCGTCACAGGCTGCTGACTTCTGTGTGTCCTCACGTGGCAGAGAGCAGGGAGAGAACGCAGCTCTCTTGTGATCCTTACGAAGGCAGTAGTCCTGTTTGGAAGCTCTTCGTTTAGTAACTGCTAAGTGTATTGGATGATTTCATATATGGTTTGATCTATTAGCTCCTGTAGAAATTAATGATAGATATTTCGTAGTAATGACATAACCTGCCATCTAGTTGAATTTTATCTTTTTATGCCTTAATTCTGCTTTGATCCTAGGTAAACGCATGGAAGCATTTAGCAAGTATACCATTTTGAAAGTATACTAAAATCTTTACTCTTAGAGTGTCCTCAGGTTCTTTTAAGTAAAACTGTTTTATTCACAAAATGTATTAATTATATATATTTCTGAAAAGTGTTATATTTTAAGAACTGAGTTTTTCCCATTATGATTGCAGACCTACTTAGTCCACCCCCACCCTTCACCCCAAGTTTACATTGTTGCCTACTTCATTTATAGTTTTTTTTATCACCTTTTTGGTTTTTGCCTTATTTTCTTCCCAGTTTAACCATGAGCCTAAAAAAAAAAAAATGACACGTCCCATTCCTTTAGCCCTCATATGGGATTGAAAGCTGTTTTCTTCTGTGTATTTTTATCACTTCTGCTTTATATTTATGGTCTTTTCCTTTACTGAGGCTAAAGGTAATTTTTTAATGGAATGATTATAGAGTGAGTTGTGAAAATATTTAGGTTTTAAAGAAACTGGAGTGGGTATGAGGCAGTTTGGAGGAGGGGCCCAGTTTGCTTTATAACAAATTACTGTGGTCAGAATTGATGGAAGGTCTGGCAGGTCCCCTACTGGTAGCTGAAACTTTTTTTGCATGAAGTATTTTTCCACTTATATATATTAAACACGTCCTCTGTTAGGCACTGGGTTCTGGAGATACAGGTACAGAAGTGGTCAGAACCAGACCAGGTCCGTGTCTTCATGGACCTTGGTCGGGGGGGGGGGGGGGCAAACATAAAATCAGTCCCAAATGTGGGGCACCTGGGTGGCTTAGTCGGTTAGTCCAACTCTTGGTTTCAGGTCATGATCTCCTGGCTCATGAGTTTGAGCCTGATGTCGGGCTCCGTGCTGACAGCGCGGAGCCTGCTTGGGATTCTCTGTCCCTCTGTCTCTCTCTCAAAGTAAATAAACTTAAAACAAAAATCAGTCACGGTTTAGAGGTTCTGGAAAGGCTTTTCTGAAAGAGTTGAGGATGTACAGTTTACATGGGTTGAAGAAGGTGGGTGGGTGAATTCAGGAATAGTGGCGTCTCCGTGGAGGTAGACGGAAGGAGATGGATTGGAGAGAAGTTTAGGAGGTCTTATCACCGGGTCTTGGAGGGGGGTGGGAGCACAGGGTTTTAAGAATGAGCCCCTGGTTCTGGCTGTGATGCTCTTCACTAGCATGGAGGACACCGAGAGGGGAGGGGAGAGCCTAGCACCGGGGTTTGAGAAGCTCCAGGATTTGGTGGCCAGGAAGCGGGGGGTGGAGGAGAGACCGGACACAACAGCCAGACCGCCCGGAGCTGAGGGGCAGGTACTGCCTGGAAGGAGGGGGAGGAAGAGGAGGACTGAAGCTGCTCACTGCACTTAACGACGTAGCGTCCAGTAATGGCCTGGGCCGCTGCCGCAGTGGGAGAATGAGGGAAGCCATACTGGTGCGGGGTCAGGGGTCACTCGGCGTGAGGAGAAGGAGCCGGCAGTACGTGGTATGGAGAACTCTGACAGCGGGAGAGGAAGGATGGCTGTAGGTGAAGGTAGTTGGCTGTTTCGTCATGAGAGATTGAGAGCGTCAGAGTTCTCTGTACTGGGTCCTTTTCGAAGAAAGGTGAGGGGAGCCCTGCGAGAGCGGAGAGCCGGATGTCACCGTGGGGGGGAGGGGGGGCGGCCCCCGCTGGTGGCACTGAGAGGGGGCCGCGGGGGCATCCGCACTCCGAATCGAGAGCGCCCCACCTCTGCGGGTACATCTACCCTGTGCTCCACGTACACGTGTTTGCAAGCAGTCACTGATGCGTTTGTGTGTCCTTTTGCCGCCATCCCTGTCTGTCAGAAGAATGACGAAAACGGGAACTGCTCGGGGGAAGGGATCGAGTTCCCCACCACGAATCTGTACGAGCTGGAGAGCCGCGTTCTCACGGATCACTGGTCCATCCCCTACAAGCGGGAGGAATCGCTGGGCAAGTGCCTGTTGGCGTCCACCTACCTGGCAAGACTCGGTAAGCTGTCACGCCGCGCCGCGCCCCGCCCCGGAGGAGGGGGCGGTGGGTGGTCTGGGAGGGGGCCTGGCTTTCATCCCGCTCTTGTCCCTGCCCAGTCTGTGCGGCCTCTGATCGCTGACTCCCCTGGCCTCGGCCTAGCCCCCATGGGATACAAGCTTTGAATTGGACCCCCTGTTTTCTTCTAGCTCCCATAGGGCATGAGAGCCTTTAAGGTAGAAGTGAGAAGCTTTATAGAAATTGAAAGGAACATTTTCTCCAAAAGCGTGGAGCATTTTAAGCTTCAATTCAGTGGCTTTTTGTTCTTCAAGAAAAAAGTACTTACTTAGCAAACGTTTGGTGCATATTAAACGTTTGGCACCATCGTAAGTACTTTATAAATATTAAACTCAGAGTAATGAGATATCTCTGGGTTGGAAAACAGGTGGCAATGTAAGGAAGCTTCTAGACTCTGTATTGAAAAAAAATCATTTAATTTTCATATTCAGTTCAGTTAGAAGATAAATGGGTCCACTGTTGTGTGATTTTCTTTTGCTCATTAAAAGTATACATGGTTTAATTTACCACCATGATTAAATATGAGGCACATCAAAAGGAAATATTTTGACTGGGATCAGATTTAACCCTCGTGGCCTCTCAGGGCACATTCTGACTGGCTTCTCAGCAGCATTTATTGCGCTCCTGTTAGGATGGGGGTACTGTGCTACGTGGTGGGTCTGAAAAAAAGAAAATGTGTCCAACAGTGTTCCCAGTGATAAGCAAACTACGTTATTAAATGTTGTGTGTTTTTTTTTTTTTAATTTTTTTTTTATTTATTTCTAGGAGAGAGAGAGAGAGACAGAGTGAGCAGGGGAGGGTCAGAGAGAGAGGGAGATACAGACTCTGAAATAGGCTCCAAGCTCTGAGCTGGCAGTCAGCACAGAGCCCGATGCGGGGCTCGAACCCACGAACAGCGAGATCATAACCTAAGCGAAAGTCGGACGCTTAACCGACTAAGCCACCCAGGCGCCCCTGTTGTGTGTTTTTTTAATGTATTCCAGAGGATAATTTTATAGTGGAGTCGTTCACTCATCACTGACTGTGCACCAGGCACAGTTCTGTGCATCTCATAACACACAGCTCCTCAGTTTGCTTAGGGAAGGAGAGTGATGGGGGTATCTATTGAGAATACTTTTGTTTTTATATAGAGTTGTTTAGGAAAAGAGTAATGGCTAGTAAGAAGCTGCTGTGGGTGTTTTATTAACTATTTAATCAGATCATTTGAAGTTGCTCTGACAATGGAAACATAAGTTCAGCCATTTTGCTTCTAATTAGTACTCATTATACTATTGACAAATGCATAGGAATTGATACATATTAATATATTGTGCTATTAACAAATACGTTAATACTGTGATTGTTTTCTTGGCCTATTCCAAGAATATATATATATATGTATTCTGCTTTTAATAATTCCTTAAGAAGTTTTCTATAAATAACTAGTTCCGTGAGTATGAATTTGGAATGATATATATGATTTCTGCAAACTGCCCGAAATCTTAGTAAGGCATATTGTTTCATTTATTTCGCCAAGGTCTTTCCGAGTCTGATGAGAATTGTAAAAGATTTATGGATAGGTGTATGCCTGAAGCATTTAAAAAGGTAAGAAAAAATGCGCGAGTCCGGTTTTCGGGTGGGGCCGAGAATTGAACAGGCTTTTTGTTTCAGTTTCTTGCGTGAGACAAGTTTATGGGTCTTGTTCAAGTGAGGAATCCCCTAGTATGAACAAGGTCAGAATAACTTTGAGACTTAACGACGGATTTACTTTTATATTTAACTACTTGCACTATCACATTTACTTCCTTCTCTTTAATTGCCAAAGAAGAGGTGAAGACTGACTTATACTTGGAAGTGACATGCTTGTGGCATTTGAAAGATACTACTTATTTATCCAAACACAAGCCATTTAGTCTGATTGTTGTACTGAGGCAGAAGCAGCAGGCATATTAAACTATAGACAGTTTGCCTGGATTGAGTGTGTTTCATGGCCAATGGCATGCGTGTGACAGTGTTTGTGTCAGAGCCAGAGCACTGTGCTCCCTCCCGTGCGGGTCACATTGCTTAGAAAGCAATTTTTCGTCACAGGGAGAATAGGCGATCACAGGACTTGTGTTCCTGAAAGCAGTTCTAACTCAGCATGATTCCCTTTTCGGGACAGGAGTCCTAAATCCCCAGAAGGGCAGGGACAGTGTCACAGACACTGTCGTTTCCCCAGTACGTAGCCAGCACCTGCCTCTTCTGGGAACGAGCGCAGTAAATCTTTGTTGAATGAATAAATGAGTCTCCTGCTGTCTTGTCCTTCTGGGTTTTGACATCCATTTTTGTCTCATATGCAAGGAAGTCCCTAGAACTACAGATGGGCAAAGATTGTATTTATCTTAAAACCCCGTAAAATAAACTGTTCATTTGTAAACTATCACTCCCATCTACATCTTGATAGAATCTCCCTTGATTCGAGGCCTAAAAAGTACCAAAATTAATTTTAGGAACAAAAACAGCTGCATCTTGGGGAAAAAGTACAAAATCTTTTAAAATTGTCATTTGGGCAGGGATTATATGGAATCAAGGCTTATGTTCATTTTGGATGAATCCATCCACCAATTTATCGTTTAAAATTATTTTAAACTTGTGAATTCTGTTAAGAATGATAGTAATTTTTTTAAAAATAGCGGAATTTCTATAGTATGACATACTGCAACACATTGCTCTGTATGTATAAATTTGCAGAGAAAGAAAACGCAATTTTATTCAGAGTCGTGGAACAAGATTTATCAGTGTAAGGAGGGGACCTATAGGTTGATGATCTGCAGATCCAGAGAGCCCTGTGTCAGCACGGGTCGCTGGCCTGTTCCGTATCTGGAGCATATTACTCTGTGTGCAGAGACGCTCTGGGAGAGTGGTTTTCTATTATGCCCTCAGCTGTTGGTAGTAGTGTAATGCATGGTCCAGCGGTCAGTTGCTAGGTTGTTTGTTCTCATAACACTATGAGCACAGAGGTACCGTACCTACGTTCTGTTGTTCAGCGTTTATGTAAAAATGTACATGTCAAATTCTTTTTACAGTTTAGAGCTTTTTAAAAAAGGGGCGTCTGGGGGGCTTGGTTGGTTAAGCGTCCGACCTCGGCTCAGGTCATGATCTCACGGTTCGTGAGTTTGAGCCTGACATCGGGCTCTGCTGACAGCTCAGAGCCTGGAGCCTGCTTCGGATTCTGTGTTTCCCTCTCTCTCTCTAGCCCTCCCCCACTCATGCTCTGTCTTTCAAACATAAATGTTAAAGGGGGCGCCTGGGTGGCTTAGTCGGTTAAGCGTCCGACTTTCGCTTAGGTCATGATCTCACAGTTGGTGGGTTCGAGCCCCACGTCGGGCTCTGTGCTAACTGCCAGCTCAGAGCCTGGAGCCTATTTCAGAGTCTGTGTCTCCCTCTCTCTCTGACCCTCCCCTGCTCACGCTGTCTCTCTCTCTCCTAGAAATAAATAAAAATATTAAAAAAAAAAACAAAAAAAACAAAAAATAAATATTAAAGAAAAAATGTAAAAAAGTTAGTGTCCCCATCAATAAAGCATACTTTTTTTTTTTTTAAATCAAAGGAGCTACAGGGTTCTGTATGCCTTTGATTTGGTTACCAAAAAACTCAGTAGTCTTTTATATAATTGCTGTTGTTTCCTTTAGCTGTGTTTCCTGGTCTGATGACTATCCCTCTACCCTCTTCCATGGGCTTCTCTTATAAGCTGCCTCAAATGTTTAATTAGCAGGAAGGGTATGAGTAATCAGCAGTTGTATGAATAAGGTGCACAAAAGGGACCCTGTTGTCATCTTCTTCATCTGTTACCTTCAGGCTGGCCTGGGTTCCTTACTGTGTGTTCAAGCAGGGAAGGAAATCTCGGTCCGGCCATAACACGTAGTTATATTTAAACCTTGAGTACAGCTTCCCCACAAAGGGCTGCCCATCTTTCCTCAGGCTCTTCTGCAAGGCAGGTTGAATTCCTTTTTCAGATTAAGAACTGAACAATGAGATGGCAGCAGAAGGAGGGGTGTTGCATTTTATTCTGTAGTCCTATGAAACGTCTTGAGTGCTACTCTCTGCCTCATTTTGCTTTATAATTTAAGTATAGGATGCATGTATAGAGAGACAGAAAATATTTGCAAAAAAAATAGTAACTCATTGGTTGATATAAAGTCTGTCTTATGATTATTGCTCCTTTGAGCAAATAGTGCAGTTCATTGGTATTTAGAAAATCTGGAACTGAGATTTTTCTGTATGGCTAAAGAAGTTTGGGCTCTTTCAGCCTGCTCTGGTTAAGGGGTTCTCAATGTGACGAAGATGGAATTTTATTGCATAGTATTTTCCCTCTAAAGGGAAATCTTAGGAAAACATGAAGCCAGCATACCAATTTGCCATTATTTTATTAAGTGAAACCCTTTGATTTTTCATTCTCCGTTCTGGCAAGTTATTCCTGCATTAGATTTCCCCAAGGACTAGAGCCTGAGGCGTGGAGAAATCCACTGATGATTATTTTAGTTTCATCTGTGCACCTTTTCCCCGCCTTGTTAATGAATCTAAGATGCACCATTGTTGTCTATTTTATGTTTTTATATTTAAGAGAAACAGCGGCAGAGTAGACAGCGTTATGGTGCCTTATCCCTTAGAGCTGTTTAAGATTGGCTTAGCCATTTTTTAAAACTGAGTATGACTTTGATACATATCAAAAAGGAAAACATAAGCAAAATAATGTGGTAGAATAGTTCTAAAATTGTTTTCACATTCAGAACCTTGCTGCCATCTGGTCAACAGGTGGAAAGATGCAGTCCTGTTTCTGACATATAAAAAATGTGACGAGAATGTGTGTGTTCAAACCATGAAATATAGCATCCATTTCTTAGATTCCAGGAATATCGGTTAATAGTGGTGGCCATAATATATTAGTGACAGTGCTGTACTATATATAAAATACTTCCAGATTTGTTTTATCTGTTGATACCGATCACATCTGTGTGAAGTGGGCAAGAATATGCCTCTTCACCCAAATAAGAATGGAGCCTCTGGGAACTCAGGTAAATTTGTCCAACACCAGATAACTAGAAAACAGTAGTAGCTCCAGGATTTGGTCTCATGTTCTTACTTGCTCTACACCACTTGACCTCCCCCAATAATGAAAAGTAGAGAAACAATTGCCATTTTCTTTTCAACGAACTGCTTCAGTGTAAGGAAATTAACATGCAAAAACAGAACTCTAGGTTGACTCTGACATAAATGAACAAGGAGGAAACGGGTTACAGGCCTTTCTTTAAAGCAGGACATCTGCATGAAAGTAATATTATGGTAATAATCTCTTGATTATTCAAGATTGAACTGATAAACAATAGACTTTTTCTTCTCAAGTTAGACTCTAAAGCGCCCTTTGTTTTTGTAGCTCCTGACATCGAGTGCTGTTCACAAGTGGGGTACTGAAATTCATGAAGGAATCTACAACATGTTGATGCTATTAATAGAACTGGTTGCAGAGAGAATTAAACAGGATCCGATTCCCACAGGTCTCCTGGGTGTGCTTACGATGGTACGGTATCTCTAAAATGAAGTACTTTGTGTTTTGATTTTATTTAAAATACCTACTGTCTGTCCTTTGACTTGTAATTAATGATGAGTGATAATAAAATCGTTTAAGATCTTAATTTAGCTGTTAGGGACCTTGGTTTTCATTTTAAACACAGAGCAGCCATTCATTCTGCGCTTTCAGTTTTAACGAAATACCTTTCTAATTTTAATAGCTTTTTCAGCTCTTAGAATGATTACATAGCTTTCCCTCATGTCTTCCTGATTATTCACATCGTAAATGCTTTCACATGGGGTGTTCCTGCGGTTTGGTTTCTGGCCTTTTTCCCTGACTGGTCACAGTAGTTGTGTGAAGAAGGAGCCTTCACTGCCAGGCTGCCCAGCTGTACCTGCGGCAGCTTTAGGGCCCCAGGGGGGAGGGGAGGGGGCTCACCTGGCCTGCATCCTGGTCTCCCTCCCAGCAAGCCCTGACTGGGATAGGAGAGCCCTGCTTCAGTCATTGCTCCTCTGTGCTGGCTAAGGAATATGCGCTGGGGGGGATGTTTGAAAGATCCCATTAATGGAGGAGCCTAAGGCTATGTTTTTCTTCTTTTCTACTGCTAATATTTGTTGCTATAGAAATACGTGATAATAATGCTTCTCTGTTCTCTTTGAATCTAGGCTTTCAATCCCGATAATGAATACCATTTTAAAAACAGAATGAAAACATCTCAAAGGAATTGGACAGAAGTGTTTGGGGAGGGAAATATGTTTGCTGTTTCACCTGTGTCTACTTTCCAAAAGGTAACTGTAGTCTGGTTTCGTTGTTTTATAGAGGAATATATTGAAAAAGATTTTCTGTGCTATAAAAATTTACATGGAAAGATTAAAACAGTCTGTGAAAAATGACAGATATTCCATATGGCTCATAAAATTGCTTAACTTTTTTTCAGATATTGCATATTTTTCCATAGTTGTTAACTAACATCATAAAGAATTTTATAGGTTCAAAATGATGTTTAGTGAAATGGGGAATGACTGCCTGACATCAGTGCCCTATTTATTGAATTGTCAGAACCCCAATTTAATGGGTGTCCCAGTTTCTTAGAAATGTTTGAGAGGCCAGAGCATTTGAAATCATTTGAAATGACTAATGATGCCTCGAAAAAGTCATCTGATAGTTAGTTTCATGTATCATTTTCTTTTAAGCTCCATAAGCATTAAAGCTTTTGTTTTCTTTCAAGCCCAGAACCAGTATCTTTATTTTATAAAGGCCTACAATGTGCCAATAACCTTATACCCACAAGGAGTACATAATTTAAACAGTCTGTTGATCAAACACTCTTTGGCTTTCGAGAAAGAGTGGAAAACAGTAAATGTAGTAGATAGAAAACTTGTCCGTTGCTTTAGTGGAAGCAGAGGTTTAACTCAGCAGTCCTGTAAAGAGTGATAAGCCCTGGGTCCTAGCTTCCGGCTAGTGGAGGAGACAGGACAACAACAAATTACAGTACCGTAAACAGGAGGTGCGGCTGTAACAGTATGGCCTGCAGGAGGGTGGTCAGTGGCGTCTCACAGAGCCAGGCAGCCCCCAGAGAGGAGGGGATGACAGCCGGGCTTACCCCCCGACAACTCTCTGAGTTAGATCCTGCTTTTAATGCCATCGCATGGACTAGAAACTGAGGCACACAGACATTGAGTCCCTGCCCGGGTCTGCAAACCCAGTCATAGGAAGGACCCACGTAATCTCGCCTTCTAGTCTGCCTTCTTCAGCTATGTACAGTCTTACCTCGCAAATACAACAACCTCGTCCTCAGTTTTGTGGTGAAGATTAAATGGCAAGTGTATACAAAACACTAAGCACGGTGCTCCACAGTGGCAAGTGTCCAGCAAAAGGTCATTCTCTTCCCACAACATAACATACTTGACATCTGGGGCCCAGAAAGGTCCAGTGTGTTCCTGTCCTCCCGTTCCTGCAAGGGAGTTTCTGTCCTGCAGAGGCCCTTGCTCATCCCCTTTCGTCTTGCCTTCCAAAGCATCGTCCTCCTCCGGCCTTCTAGCCTTTGTTTGGCATCCTCAGTCTTTCCTCTCTGTTGGATCACTCCCGTCGGATACAGTGTGTTCCAGTGTTTCCCATCTTTTTTTTTTTTTTTTAAGTTGAGGAATGCAGACTGTGTGTGTGTGTGTGTGTGTGTGTGTGTGTGACAGAGAGGGGGTGGGGGGAGGGAGAGAGAGAGAGCGAGCACATGCAGGGGAAGGAGAAGGGCAGAGAGAGAGAATCCCAAGCAGAATCCACCCATGTTCAGCATGGAGCCCAGTGCAGGACTCGATCTCAGGACCCTGGGATCATGATCGGAGCCAAAATCAATAGTCGGATGCTTAACCAACTGAGGCTTCCCTGGTGCCCCATGGTATTTTGCATTTTTAAAAATTCTGCCTTTGATCCCACATCCCTGTCTGGCTTCAGCATGGCTGTCCGTCTCCTCCATACCCCTCCCAGAGAAGATTCCACGTCCTCCTTTCCCAGTTATTTTACTGGTTACCCTAGAACTTTAACTTAATGAAACAAAACCAAAATTTCATTAGTATCTTCATGTTCCTCTGCGTAGCACCTAGACCTTGGAATGTTCCGTGTGCTCACTCCCCACCTGACTGACTTAGTCCCTGCAGCGCGCAGCATCTTAGTCTCCTCCTGTCTTGCTCTACACCCAACTAGGTGTCATTGTTACTTTATGCAGTGTTTTGACTTAGCCCCATTTACGTATTCTCTCTTTGTGTACTGTTCCTTCTGTATCTCTTGATTGGGATAATTTTTCTTCTACCTGGAGTACATCTTCAAGTAGGTCCTTTAGTAAGGGTCCGTTGGTGATTATGTCTTTGTTTTTGATGGCCTGAACTTAACTTTATTCGCCATGCCTTAAAGAATATTTTCCCTGGGTTTTAAATTCTAGATAGACTGTTATACTTTCAGAATATCAGAGATACCCTGTCAGTGTCTTCTGGCTTTGATTATTGCTGTTGAGATGTTGGCGTTTGATCTTACTGTTGTTCCTTTGTGAGAAATCATCTCTTCTCTGTGGCTGCTTTTGGAGATCTCCTCTTTCTCTTTGATGTTTGGCAGTTTGACTCTCCTGCGACTAACGGTGGTATTCATTTTATTTTGCGTCAAAATCACTGGGCTTCTGAATCTAAGGATTGATAGCTGTATCAGTCCTGGAAAATTCTCAGTCACTATCTTTTTTAGATATTGCCTCTCCTCCATTAGTCAGTCTCTCTTCTTCGGAGCTCCGACTGTTAAACTTTCTCTTCAGTCCTCCATGTCCCTTAACCCCTGCCTTGTTTCCCATCTTTCTGTGTCCTCGTGCAGTGTCAGGGTGTGATCAGTTTTTCTCAGCTCTGTGCTCTAGTTCACTGGTTTTGTTTCCGCTTGTGCCATTTATGCTGTCTAACCTGTTCATTCGAAGTCTGCAATTCCATTACTTTATGTGAATTCGACTTGGTTCTCATGGACTTTGTTTTGTCATTTTTGGCTATCTCGGGTTCTGAACCTGTATTTCCGTTCTCCTGTGTGTTTGTGTCTTGGGTCTGTTATCCAAAGGTCTGATTCAGCTGGCTTTGGCTAACTTTAACTCGTTGTGTGTCTGTATGTGTATATGCAGAAAAAAAAATTTATACTTGTTTGTGTTTGTTTTCCTGTGAAGTCCTGTTTCTTGGAATTTAATCTGCGAGGATGGTTTGAGGCCTGGGTTGAAGGAAAGTTCCTTCCCCCAAGGAGGATTTACTTCTTCTTCCAGGTGTCTGCAGACACTATAGCCTGGGGCCACTTTAGAATAAATCCTTGGCTTAAGGTATTTCAGACCATAAAATCAGTGTGAATTTGAGATGTGAAGCCATGTGCGGGCAGTTCGGTGGCTACAGGTTCTTAGAGCATCTTTTTTCTCCCCTCCTCCCAGTACCAGGGTCCGGGTAGGCAGGCTTCCCTGGGAATGGCAGGTAAGTTCTCTCGGTTCACCTTACACTGAGGCTGCAGCCCTTGGAGCCCCAGTTTTATGTGCCTACCCCCTCTTTGTCTTCCAGCCCCTACCCTGGCTTTGGAGCCTGTTTCTCAGGCACCTAGGACTGTGAAAACGGAGATGACAGTTCCCCAGGGTTCCACGGATGCCTGCACAGTGAAGGCTGGCCTCAGAGCCTGCTTACCTCACACGATTTCTGCTTTCTCTTTGTTTTTTACCTTCTGGGCACTTTGTGCCAACTCTGCTGTATGTTTTATAAGATGTTTTTTGATGTTTTTATCCAGTGGTGTTGGTTCTCTTCAGTCAGAGTTGTTTAGGGTAGCTAGACAAAAGTCTCCATCCACTCTTCGGAGTGTGCCAGTCTGCCTTCTTTTGCTGCCACTCCACCAAAAGCACTCCGTGAGGGACCAACACCTAAGTTTCCAGAGCCGAAGGAAGCATCTCTTAACACCATCCACATTAGTGGCCACTGTCAGTTTGTCCCTCCCCGAAATCCATTGGTCTGGCAGTCTCTTGCTTCTCTGCCTAGCTCATCAGTCACTTTGCCTTTCTTAATCCCTTCCTCTCTATCCAGCTTTGGTCCAGAGCCGCTCTCTCTCTTTGTTCATTATTCTTTCCCTAAGAGCTGTCTTCCATTCTCCTGGAGGTAAATGCAGTTCTTTGTCTGCTGGCCCTTCAGTTTGTATCTCTGTGGCCCAAACCTGTCCCCTGAGCCCACCAGACTTGATGAGCCAACTGTCTCCTCTTGGTCGCCACACAGATGTCTCCAAATTAGGGTGCTTGAAATGGAACTTCCTCCTGTCTCTCCAGCCTGCCTTCTCCCCCTCTGTAAACCACATCGACATCTACATAGGTGCTCAAGCCAAAAGCGTAGGAGTCGGCCCCGATTTATCCCTTTTCTTAGGACCCATATGCAACCAAGAACACTTCCTTTGAATTAGCCTCAAAGGTGTCTATGGTCGCCTTCTCTCTGGCTCCACTGTTGCTGTCCCTTCCCCAGCACCATCACGTCTAATCTAGTTACCGCTCTAGTCTAGTCTTCCAACTGCTGTCACTCCCTTCACTCTTGTTCTTCCGGCCCATTCCATTCTCCACAGAGCTGCAAGACTGGTCGTCTTAAAACATAAAATGCATCGCTTTCTGGCTTGAGCACTTTCGTTGCTTTCCTTCCTGTCATCGCCTACAAGTTTCTGCATGGTCCGTCTGGTCTCCACCTGTGCCGCTCCCCCGACTCACTGTGTCCACGCTAGGGGGGTCCCCCAGTCCCTCTTCGCCGCCTTCCCCACACAGGACCTTTGCCGTTTCAGCCTTCTGCCTGGACTGTTGGAGTGGCTGAATCTGTCTCCTCCTGTAGGATCCAGCTTGAAGACCACCTCTTCAGAGAGGGCTTCCATGACCACCACTCTGAGCAGAGTAGGCTCCTGTCTCTCTCATTTGAGGAACTTTGTGTGGTTTTTCCTTTTGTGGGACTGTTTTTGTTAAAGCTGCTACAGTATGAGCTCCATGAGAGTAGGTACCGCATCTCTTCATAGTCGTTGTTCCCTGAATATCACTCAGCCCCCAGAGTAATTTCTCAGCAGTGAATGTTTAGAAAAGGGAAGGAAGGAAGAAAAGAGAAAAGAAAGCACTTGCTCCAGGGCACCAGTTAGTAGGACAGCGGAGGCTAAAATTTAACCTCTTTATTCCTCATTTGCTCCTCTTTAGTAATAGTTCTTAATTTCTAAAATGTAATTGTCTTAGAGAATTTGCCTCAAGTTATCCTGTACCTTGGAGAGCTTAAACAACTGGTGTCAGCTACCCAGAAATGCAAGCAGGCTCCGTGCTGTGGCAGTGGCATCCAAGTACTGACGTTCAGACTCTGAAAGTTATATAATGATGTCAGAGCCTCATGTTAAGAAACACATAGAAAAGCCTTTTGAAATATTTTTCAAATCTTAATATTTTCTTCTCCAACTCTTCACTTAGGTGAAAAGAAATCTATGGGTTCCTGGGGAACTTCTCATATTGCCACCTCAACTTCTATTTTCTTTTCTCATAGGAGCCTCACGGATGGGTTGTGGATTTGGTAAATAAGGTATACAACTTTTATTAATATAGTCGTGTTTTCTTTCTTTTCGAGTTTGCTTAGAGTGTGATATTTTAGGTAAATGACAACTAGAGAGAACAATAAGAATTTTTTTCAGTTCCTCTTTTTTTTTTGGTTATTTATTTTTGAGCGCGTGCGAGAGAGACAGGGGGAGCGGGGGAGGGGCAGAGAGAGAGGGAGACACAGAATCCAGAGCAGGCTCCAGGCTCTGTGCTGTGAGCACAGAGCCGGATGCTGGGTTCGAACTCATGTACTGTGAGATCATGACCTGAGCTGAAGTCAGATGCTTAACTGACTGAGCCGCCCAGGTGCCCCTCAGTTCCCCCTCTTTTTTATATGTGCCGTTTATACAGATGAGCATCAGCGTCCGAATTCAGCACATCCCCAACAGCGTGTCACAGGGAGAGTAGGATTATCTTCGTGATGACTTTCTCAAGATCAGTATTGTAGAGCATGTCAATAGAGCAGAATGGTAGCCTTGTTTCTTGCTTAAATTATTAACATACAGGATTTTAAAATTAATTTGTGCCCTTTTTCTTCTCAGTTTGGAGAATTAGGTGGATTTGCAGCAATCCAAGCCAAGCTTCATTCAGAAGATATAGAACTTGGGGTAAGTTAAACTGCTCGGTGTGCCCACAGCGAAGGTCACTTTATTCGGGCTGGTATGTCACCCAGGGGACAAGGTCTGGGCACAGTGAGTGAAACGTTACAGTGTAAGTTATCTCTGCAAGAGGAGCTTCAGTGGCTCTGATAAAGAGGTGTTTGCTCCTAATCATAACCAAATTTCAGTGAAGGGGGTTTGCTTTTTTTTTTTTTTGCCTCATTTCCTTTTGCCTTTGGCATTTGCCTCTTAATTTGTGCTGGTTAAGTGAAATTATCTTGCTTTTTAAGGACAGTTGCTGTGTGTGGCAAGCATATGTGTACCTACAGTGTTCTGACTCCGTTACATCAGAAGGTCTTCACTAGTGCCAGGCACAATAAAATATTTCATTTTAAGGTTGTTAGTAAGTTTTTTGGTCTTACAGGACTCAGATAACAAAGGGCTGTCACAGAAGCTTAGAATTCTCCCTCCGGTGCAGTACATTCTCTTTTTATACGGGACTTCCTTCTCTCAAAAACATTTAACCTTATAGTAAGGGGAATAACTGAATCTTTTGTTTTTCACAGAGCACTAACCTGTTTGTAAGTCAGAGCATTTATTCTGTTTTCTGGTTGATTAATTATTCACTGAACTGCTCATTATGCACTTGGCCATGTGTAAAACACTGTGCTGGCTACTGTGATGTGATGAGAACAGAAGCTGATGTGGTAGAGTCACTTGTTGCCCCTAAGTGAGGTAGGATTGTGCTCAGAGCAGCGGTTACTTCTGTGGAACCTTGACGAATCAGCTCTCTCGCTTGGTCCACCTCTGGGCGAGGGAAGTAACGTCCAGGAGAGACTGATTGAATGCTTGGTAATAAACTGACCCTTTCTTGCCACCCACTGTTTATCCTGAAAGAGCAAGTGTCAGCCAGTTCATAACACTTCTGCCGACACTGACCAGGGAGTGTGTTCTCACTTCCCTGAATGTTAACTAGGCTGTTTGGCCGTCATTTTGATCTCCACTGAATGGAACAAACATGTTAGAAGTGACTGCTGCTCTGGAAAATAATGGGTAATAATTTAAGAAGCAAAACTGTTAAAACAAAAAACCTTCTCAGATACAGGGTTTTATCAATTTACTTACTTCTCAAGAACTGCCTGTATAGGTCATTGGCCACATCAGAAATTAGCTTCGGGGAGCCTGGGTGGCTCAGTCAGTTAATCGTGCAACTCTTGATTTTGGCTCAGGTCATGATCTCCCCATTCGTGGGTTCGAGCCATGCGTCACATTACGCGCAGACAGCGCAGAGCCTGCATGGGATTCCTCTCTTTCTTCCTCTCCCTACCATTTACGTGTTTGCGCACTCTCTCTCTTTCTCTTGCTCTCTCTCTCAAAATAAATAAACTTAAAAAGAAATTGCTTCATTTTAAAAAAATGTTAAAATACTAATTTCTGACAGAGTTAATGTATTTAAAAAAAAATCCAGAGCAGTCCAAGTTTCTACCCCACTTGGAAGAAAATTGGCTTAAAGGTGGATATATAGGAACCTGGGCTTACCCTCATTATCTTGAAGTTAAAGATTCTTCCAAGATTTTTCCCTTAGGTCAGATCAGTTTTCAGAACAACCATGTTGTTTGCTGCAGTTGATAAGAGAATTATATTGCTTAGCTGTGTTTGAGATGATAATGAAATTCAGGCATAGGAGAAAGAGATTCCAAAGATTGAGACTCTGATTTTACCAAGCAAATATTAAAATTTCACAATAAATGCCTGCCTGCTTCCTGACCAGTTAAGGTGACTATATCCTAGAATAAATTTAGGCCACTGAGTACAAGTAAACACACTCACTTTACATTTATATTTATATTTACATATTTTTGAATTGGAAAAGCACTGTGAAAAAACAATTGATCAGTTAAAAATACCTGTACAAAGTAAGGAATGGAAGTTGCCTGTCTTCCACCCCCCCCCCCCCCCGTCACCCCACACTTTTACCTACCTCCTAGGTAGTGACTACCCATTTATTTCATAGCATTTCTGACTTTTTCCTAAATGTATGTGAAATATACCTCTGCACGTCTTTTCCTGCTTTCTCTTCTTTAAGACTGAATTGTAATCAAGCTATACCTAGTAGCATATTTTCACTTAACATTATATCATGGACATCTTCCCAGGTCAGTATTGTCATTGTTATTAATGGCTTTAATGTGTTCCTGCAACTCATTTACTGTGATGCCATCATTTATGCATGGGCACCATGTAAATATGTAAATTTGTCTTTATGTGCATATGCTACCAAATTCCTAGAAAATGTGACTTTTAATATAATTCGTAGTATTAAATCTCTTTCCCAAAATCTTGTACCAGTCTGTACTCCCGTAAACTCGTTTCCTATTTCTCTTGTTAGCACTGAATATTTTCCATCTTTAATGTTTTTCATTATAAAGGACAAAAATAGTGTTTTGTTATTTAATTTGTAATACTCTCATTTCCTGTGAATTTGAATGTTTCATCATGTGATTATTGGCTGTTTACATTTCTATAAATTGACATAGTTATTTAGGTTTCTTTGGGGTTTTCTTATTTAATTTTCAGCAATTTTTTTTTGTTCAGCATATCAAAGCCATGTCTATCTTATGTATTTGTAACTTTTTTCTCCCAGTCTTTTGCTTCTCTTTTTATTTTTATTGATAATGTCTTCTGCTGTACAAGAGCTCCCACATTTTATAAAAATACACTTTATAAAAATTCCACATTTTTTTTAATGGCTTAAGAGTTTTCTAACTTGCTTATGGAATGTTCTCACATCTCAAAGTTATAAAAATACTTGTTTTATTTTATACTTCTACAGTTTTAGTTTTTAAACAGAGTTCTTGAATTCATTTAGAATTTATTTTTATATATTGCGTGAGATAATGATCCAGTTTAATTTTCTTCCAAATGGGTAATGGATTGTTGTAAGATCCTCTAATGACTGATCCCTGATTTCTCTGCTGTTCGGATGCATTGGCTCGGTCACATGTCAGAGACCCACAGGCATGCGGGTGTGTTCCTGGGCTTCCGTTCCAGTTGTTCGTTTGTCCTTCGCCCATTTCTGTACTGTTGGAGCACGGCTTCGTTCCTGATAGTCCCAGTCCGCCCCACATCATTCTTCTCTCAGATTTCCTTGATCCTTCTCTTATTTCTGCTCATTGAATATCGTCAGCGCGCCAGGTTGTCCTGCGGAAAATCCCGTGGAGCTTGTGTTTGGAATTGTGTTAAATGTTTCGGTCTCTGTATGGAGGATTACAGTACGGGTTCCTTCCGTTCAGGAACACGGCATCTCCCTGTTTACCTGCGCCCTCCATGACGTGTTCAGGAAAGTGGTCCGATTTTCTTCTCGGAAGTCTTCGGTGTTTTTTGTTGACGGCACATTTCACTCCTCCCCCAATTATTCTCGCCTTTTTCAAATAAAACTTTTTCGTATTCTACAATATAAATATTAAAAGTCTTTCATCCAGTCCTCCGAAGAAGTTTTATTGGCATTATTCTAATTTGAAGTATATTAAATTCTGTAACAGTTTAAATGGATCGATATCTTGTTATCAGTTCTTCCTAAGCAGGGGTGTGGTTTGTCCGCTCCTTCCTTCATGACTCCATCGAGTCACCATTTCAGATTGTCTCTGAAAGGGACTTGTTTAATGCCGAAAGGAAAGCACCCTGTCCCGTCAATGTCTGACCGTCACTGTCCTTGTTTGCAGGCAGTCTCAGCACTGGTGCAGCCCTTGGGGGTATGTGCGGAGTACCTCAATTCCTCGGTGGTGCAGGTAAGAGGGGACACTCCACATTTGCTTTAGGAGGTGGCCTAACACATACGGACGTAGTTATTACCTTCTTATAGGTTGTTCAGAATGGTGCCTCATTCCCTGTAGCTGTTTTTCTAAGTAAAAATACTATCAGAAAATAACTAAAAAATGGGTAATAATTTAAAGTAGGGGAGACCTCTAATATTTAAGAGGATTATTTACCTTCTCAGCATATTACTTATCAAATATAATTTATGTATGATTCCTTATCTGTAAAATAGACGGCATACATCCCAACCCCCTTCACAGGATTGTGTAAGGACTCAGTGGCATTATGTAGTCAGTTAGATGACTGTCGAGCAACCCGCTGGGCACCCTTGCTATAGCTAAGTCACTGCTGAATGATGCCACATCTTGTGTGACCTCCTGCCCTGCGAGTTGTAAGTCAGCCAGCCACAGAACAGTCAGAACTGGGCAGTCGGTTTCACAGTGCTTAAGGCCTATCGTACTTTGTTGTTTCCATTCCATCTCCGTTAACAAGTTTTACTGAATGAAGTGTTGCTTTGAAATACCTTCATTTTTTCTCTGTAAATAGGTCTGTGACACCCATAACTTTCACAGAGATTTTTTTTTTAATCGCTGTAAATGGCTTTGCAAGCAGAGAGTCCCTTGGGAGCAGTGTGTTTGTATGCATGGCTCCTTCTTGCTAATATCTCATTTACTGAGGGCCATTTTAACAAGGGAGATAGGATTTTTTTTTGGTAGGTTCTGGAGAGTTCTACCATTTCCAAGTGTTAAATGCTTTCTTTAAATGTTAAAGTAATCCTGCAAGATTTTTACATGAAATCAGATGGCTATTTATGTATTTCTTCATTGTGGATGTTAAGTTCTTTAGAAACATTGCGTGTTCTTTCACCTTGTTAAACATATAATCATTAGTTTTATAGTTGAAACGCTAAGATATAAGAGGCAAAATGATTTTACTTTTTAATAATTTAATAATAAATGTTAATAATTTAATAATTGACTTTTTAATCATCAGAACTAGGATTGGATTTCTGAGTGCTCTTTACCCATGCATTGCCTTACGGAAAGTGATTGAGCATAAATATTCTAGCTCCTAATTAATATTAAATTCTTTAGGAATTCTAAGTTTTAAGAGTACCTGGGTGGCTCAGTCAATTAAATGTCCAACTTCGAGTCAGGTCATGATCTCAGTTTGTGGATTCGAGCCTCACATCGGACTCTGTACTGAGAGCTCAGAGCCTGGAGCCTGCTTCAGATTCTGTGTCTCCCTCTCTCTCTGCCCCTCCCTCACATTCTGTTTCTCTCTCTCTCTCAAAAAAATGAGTAAACAAAAAAAATTTTTTTTAAATTCTAAGTTTTATATAAATATGTATTTTATATATATAAAAATATATATAAAATGTATATTTATATATAACAATATATAATGTTTTAGGTATAACAATTGTCTATACCTCTTGCCACTTACATACTTTGGAAGACATTTGTATCACTGTGCCTTGTCCTTCTTGTCTATAAAATGGTGATCGTGCTCTTCGCACTGCAGTGAGAAGTAAGCGGGGCAGTGCTGCTGAGCAGAGCAGCAGCGCTGGCCTCTTACCCTGACGGTCCCCAGTCTTCACTGAACAGTGGGCGCAAATGGAAAGGACGACATTCTAGTTGGATAATCGCCTGGTGTCATTTTAATTCACTGCTAATGTCTTCGTGGCTTTGACAGCCAGATATTGTCCATCTTCTCTTGTTACCAGCTGAGTTTTAGATCATTATTTTACTTAGTTGGAAGTGAGCATTTAGACCTAGCTAATATTTTCCTATTCCTCACGTGATATTTAGAGTTAGTTACCCAATTGTGCTACCATTCTGGAGCAGTGTGTAGAGGGGGTCTTCACCCTAGGCTTCGTTTCTATCAGCACACGAAAATAGTGCGTGTCACGGCATTTTTTTGCTGTGTGGTCTGTGGAGTTGTTAAAATCAAACATAAGATATATACTTTGTTACAAAAGTAATACCTACACATGCTTCATGTTTGAACAGTTAGTTTACATGTCTTTGGTTGCTCTTTATAAGATAGTGAAGACAGGGGGTGCCTGGGTGGCTTAGTCAGTTAAGCGTCCGACTTTCGCTTAGGTCACGATCTCGCGGTTCGTGGGTTCGAGCCCTGTGTCGGGCTCTGTGCTGACTGCCAGCTCAGAGCCTGGAGCCTGTTTCAGTCTGTGACTCCCTCTCTCTCTGACCCTCCCCTGCTCACGCTGTCTCTCTCTCTCTCCTAGAAATAAATAAAACATTAAAAAAAAAAAAAAAGATAGTGAAGACAGGGATTGCCCCCCTGTGGTATTAAAGGAGCTGGGGCACGGAGTCGGGTAACGACCTACTTGGGCTGGTAGTAGTAGCTAGCTCTGGGGCTCTGATACTAGAATTGAGATCCTTCCAGTGCATTCTGTCCTTTGCGAAATGTGAATGAGGACGTGTCTGCTCTGTAGTTCCGGGGCAGAATCCAGAGTCTTTATTAACCTCAGCACATCTTTTCTGCAGCCAATGCTCGACCCCGTCATCCTTACTGCGATCCAGGATGTGCGGAGTGTGGAGGAAAAGGACCTCAAAGACAAGGTGAGTCCTGTCTCCAGCCAGGAGGGCCCCGCTGCCTGGTAGTCCATGGAACACAGCCAAGACTTGGGGCAGGGTTCATACACCACTGCTCTTTGGATTCTGGTCACGTACCACTCACATCAAATTCATGTGACGTTTTCTAACCAAAAAATGCTTTTTGTGAAGCATCAGGATTCTGAAGCCCCAGGTTGGCATGAAGTCAGTAGAGTGAATATAGGGTTCTCAGTAAGTGATACCATTCAGAATTTTACTAACGTGTTGATTCAGATGGTTTTATGATAGGTATAGCATTGAAGAAGCTTTTAAATAATTCAGTGCTACCAGCTTACCCAAAGTTGTTTAAAGGAATTTTAGCATTTAAGTTTAACAGTAGTTATTTTGTTGACCTTGAAATTCTCACAGGATCCTTCCCTTTGTTCACCTGCGTGCTAACTTCCTTTTAGAAGCAAACTAGTTAATTGACCATATGGAGTATCTGATAGCACTCAGCCATTGCTGTTGAGAATGTCCTGTATTCCTTGTGTGAACTGGGATCCGAATGTTTTCATGCTCCTTTTTTGTTTGTGTGTGCTTTTAATGAAAGAGATTGGTTAGCATCCCTGAGCTCCTGTCTGCCATCAAGTTACTCTGCATGCGCTTCCAGCCCGATTTGGTGACCGTGGTGGATGACCTTCGATTAGACATCCTACTGCGCATGCTGAAATCGCCACATTTCAGCGCGAAGATGAATTCCCTCAAAGAAGTAAATTTTGTATTTGTTTCTAGAAGACTTAAAGCATAGACACTTTAAGTTCTGCCAAAACTTGTGGTCATTAATATCGGAATGTTGGGAAATGGAGAAGAATAATTTCTTGCAATCATACAAAAAAGAGATAACTGATTATATATAAAATTGTATCTGTGTTTATCGTTGTTATTGTGATCTTTCTATGTGTGTCACATTCAAAATTCATTCTCTGAAATACTTGGAAATACTTAAGTGTTTTTGTGAAATTGCCCAGAGAGTGCCAGGCTTGGCTGCATGTTCTTTTTAAAGAGATACCAGGAATAAGTAGTCTGTTAACTTATTGCAGTAATTGGCCTTTGATTCATTTTGGCTAATTATCAGACCACATTGTAACACTATAAAAATCACAGGATATGTATACATATATATGAAGATTTTGACTATGTATACTTGCACGAGATTCTGTCACAATAATCCTGTCTTTTTAGGTAACCAAACTAATAGAAGATAGCACTTTATCCAAATCTGTGAAGAATGCTATAGATACAGACAGATTGTTAGATTGGCTGGTTGAAAACTCAGTTCTATCCATTGCGTTGGAAGGTAAGTTGCTTTCTAAAAATATATACCTATTTCTTAACACATAGTTGTAAGTATCACTTTATATTAAAGAAAGGTATGAAAATGTTTTGACTGTATTAGCCTTTAAATCTGGTAGCAAGTTAATACTGCTTTGAACTAATACAATCATACTTAGAAAGTCAGCGTTCACTGAACCTGCCTGCCTCTCGGGTTTTCTTTCTTAGGCAACATAGACCAAGCACAGTACTGTGATCGTATAAAGGGGATTATTGAACTCTTGGGCAGCAAATTGTCTCTAGATGAGCTTACTAAAATTTGGAAGATACAGGTAAGTTGGTCAGAATTATTTTTGCCTTTTTCTGACATTTCCGTCAGAAGGAGAGGGAGGAGGGTGGTGAACGAGCAAGGGAATGGGTCTTCTATCTTGCTTTCATCCAAGCACTCTCCTCAAATCTGTTTTGCAGTTCAAGGCTTCTGTTAAGATTGTAGATATGAAAAAGGATTGCACTGCTCAGAAGATGTAAAACTACCCAGCTAGCCTAGTCTTCTCATTTCTGAGGTTTAAAACAGTGACGAGCCTTACCACAGGCCACGCAGCAGTTAGAGCAGCACTAGGAACTGTATGTCTTTCTGTGTGTCAGTCTCCTGCTGTTTTCACTGTGTTTGCTTATCCATGTTCATGGGTAAGTGTTTCCTTTTCAGTCTATTAAATGAGGATGAGAGTAACACTGAGTTGACAGACCTCGGCTTACCAGGGCTCTCAGCAGCTGTGATGGGATAGGCCACACTCTTCATTCTCTTTTTCCTTCACTCTGTTAATAATCCATTGACTCGTTTTCCTTCCACTTTTCTGGCATCCTCTTTAAGCCTCCTTTACTAACTTAGTCTCTTCTACTTTGTAAATCCTAGTTTCTTTCAAGCCTTAGTCCATAGCCCTTTTCTCAGTGTATACTCTTCCATTAGGCAGTTTCCTCCACTCCTGTGGCTTTGACAGCTTTTGGATGCTGCTGACTCTCAGAATGCCACCCCTAATCCACACCTCTTCTTGGCCCTCCCATGCAATGCACCTAAATGTGTATATAACTTGGGCCTTCATGCATGCCACCTTGTGGGCATCTCAGATTCATCACGTCAGCACCTAGTCCTTTTCCGGTCTTTTTCAGTAATGGCAACAGCCTTCACCTAGCTGCCAAGCTAGAAATAGGCCCTGAGCTCGCCTCGACTATACCCGCTTTGACCCCGTATCAGTCAGAGCCTGGTCAGGAAACAGAAGCCGTGCTAGGTGTCTCTGTTGACAAAGGTGTTGCTAGGGCGGAAGAGCCAAAGAGAGAAGTAGGAGTGCCGGAGGTACAGAGTGGGGTGAGGGCAGAGGATGCGCAGGGAGCAGAGTCTGCTTTTGGAGGTGCTTTTCCCTGCAGATGCTGGGATTGTCCAAGAGCCAGGAGCCGGCACCCCCAGCAGGGCTCCTGGAACCCCGTGCCGCACCAGGGCTGGCACCTGATCCACTCCCTGAGCGCAGTGCAGCGCTGCTTTCGTCCCCTGCCTTCTCATCGCCCAGCAGTGCCTCTCACAGGCAGGACCTCGCAGGAGCATAGCTACTAGAGGAAACGCGATTTGCAGTCTCCCAGCCTGACAGCAGAGAGCAGACTCTAGAACGTTAGGTGCAGGACTGACAGAAAACCGTCCCGGCTCCTACAGATCTTACTTCCCATTTCTGCCCTAGTTGAATCCTCTCACAGAATGTTGTAAGTTGTGAACCCACATAAGGCTGAAGATTAGAGACCATGGTGGATATAATGTATATCCCGACTACATTCGGTGAATGCTTGTATATGGTAGATAGTGGGCAAATTCTTGTGGAATTGAATCTAAAAAAGTCCCTGCCTTTCAAGCCCTCGACGTGGTGAGCAGTGAGGCATGATGGACTCCTGTTTGAGGTCATAAAGTGAAATTCTACTTTAAGGACAGCCACAGGGCCTACATCTCTGAAGCAGAGACCGACTGCCCAAGGGATAAATAACTATTAATCGAAGTTACAAAGTATCTATGAGCAAAATAGAAACTGAGGTAGAGAGTCCCCTTAGCTGAGGCCTTCAAGATCATTTCTAAAGTGCTGGAAGTGAATGTAAAGTCCTGTAATCAATTTGAATCTTTATTCACCAGTTGAAAATGTTTTGCACCCCCCCCCCCTTGAAGTTCAGGTTGAGAACTTGATTCTCATCTTCTTAAAGATTTAAGGTTGCTAGGAATTTAACCAAGGCAAACTGATGGTCATTAACAATGGTTGCTTCCCTCAGTGTTGCCAGTATTATCATGCAAGTGGATGCTGATGAAACTAGAATCCGTTTACCCTTATTACTGTTTTGCTTTCACTTCTGTCAGTTGTGGGAGATGGTGGGGGTGTGGGGACCAGGGATTGGGGTGGATAGGAGGTCTGAGGTTTTTCCCTAGTTCGAGGACTTAACATGCCCCCAATGTTTCCTTTTCCAGTCGGGACAATCCTCTACCGTGATCGAGAACATCCATACTATTATTGCTGCAGCAGCTGTCAAATTTAATTCAGATCAGCTTAATCATTTGTTTGTTCTCATTCAGAAGGTATGTGTCCAGTCAAAGTGCTAGCTTCTTAAGTTTTTCTAAATGAAGCTCCCTGCTCTAAACTGGCAGCGTTTAAACATACTCTCCCTTCTTTAGTAACCGTCTTTAGCTCAAGTGTAAAGTCCCTGCCTGTTTGCCAGTTTGATGACATTGGATTGTCTTGTCTTTCCCACCCTACAGAGCTGGGAGACTGAAAGCGACAGAGTGAGACAGAAGCTGTTGAGTCTGATTGGACGAATAGGCCGGGAAGCTCGCTTTGAGACCACTTCTGGAAAGGCAGGAGAACCGATCTAATCTTTCTAGCCCCAAGTCCTTTACGCAGTCGTCCGTGTGGGGGGGGGGGGGGGGCTCACTTTGTGTGGTGTCGTTGTAGGTGTTAGATGTGCTCTGGGAACTGGCGCATCTTCCGACCCTGCCCAGTAGCCTTATTCAGCAAGCACTGGAGGAGCACCTGACGATCCTGAGTGACGCGTACGCGGTGAAGGAAGCAATCAAGAGGAGCTACATCATTAAATGCATCGAAGATATTAAAAGGGTTGGTGTCCTCTTTGACCTAGTTTTGTTGTCAGAGTAGCAGTAGTATTATCTGAGTAGCTGGAGCCAAATAGTTTTCTTAGCTCCTTAGGTAAACTCAGTGTGTTCCCTGGAAACTTACCTTAGGGTCCAAGATCGGAAGATTGGGAAATTACAGGTACTGCTTTTACCAAGTCACTTATATCTCTCTTACAATTCATTTCAGCCTGGAGAATGGTCAGGTCTGGAAAAAAACAAGAAGGATGGATTCAAGGTAAGCATTTTCAGATGGAACTGCTTAAAAGGTATACCAGTGTAATAATTTCTTTCAGTAAGTGTTCTGGTGTTTCCTTGGGTAATGCTCAGAAACCGCTGTCTCTTCACAAATCCAAGGTCCCATTCACAGAGTAGTTTCATCATGTTCATACAATTATAAGACCTTTAACTTTGTGTTTTCTTTTTAAAATTAAATACAAAGTATGCACCGTTTTAATAAGTAGAGTGGATTCTGCATAAATACCATGCCCATATTTCTGCCACGAGGGAGAAGTGGAGGAATGTTGTAGAGGAAGAAAGAGAAGAGAAGGAGATTGATTCAGTGCTGGCGCACAGTTGTTTCTCTGGTGCCTGGTTCAGGGGTGTTCGTGAGGTGATTGCTTAGTGAGTCCTGCTGCTGGGGTCCAGTACTAGGGGTTGGGGCTGCTGCTGTGGGAGCCTCCCCCGCAGGGCTCTGGCCCCCGGGCCGCTGGGGACCTGGGGGCCGCCCTTTGAAAGCACATTTAGCAGAGTCAGCAGTGGTGACCATAGCTCTCCGGTCCCTGGAGCGCTTAGACAGCCAGTCTGTGCTCCGAAGGGCTGATCGTGGCGCCGCTTGTTGGAGCGACTTCTCCTATTGCAGCAGCCCCCCACCTCCCACCCCACCCCCCGGAGCAGTGCCCTCCTCCAGCTGGGGCCCTGGGTTGCCCAGACCAAATGGAGAGCCTCCTAATGGGAGGGGTTTCATTTTATTGTAACATAAAAAAAGGTTTGGTGAATGTGGCTTAGTAATTTCATTGCTTAAACATTTTTCTTGGCTTTCATGAATAAGTATTTCTTTAAAGGATCTTGAATACTGCTGATGTTCACTGCTATATTCAGAGACTCTTAGCGCTTGTTAAGAGGCCATGGTGATTCATTGGGCTTTTCTCAAGTTACCTGTGGTCATAAAGTTTAGTTGGGGACACGTACGAACTTTGTGTTTCAGGCTGGTGATGCTGAAATGTGATCAGGTGAACTTTCTACCTGTGACCTAGCCTTAGATGGTCAAAAGTCACTCACAAACTGGAGCGGAGGATGCTCAGGTTTGAAGGAATTATTCCTTTAATTCAACAACACTGCTCTCACTCTCAGATCCAGCGTGAGTTTTTCCAGTTTTCTCAGCTCAGCGATTCAGATACTTTACTGCAGCCTCTGTCTTTGCACCTCATCCGGAGTTGCGTTAGGAGTTTGGGCCCCTCAGTAGTCACAGCAAGACGGAGAGCTTATCTGTAGACAGTCTTGTTTTCTCAGCGGCAGACCCGTTTCTTGAGAAATCTGAGGGTCCCAGCTGAAGGGACTCTTTCCTCCCTCCAGGGAAATGGCTTTTGAAACCAGCACCCCCTCCTGCCGTCCGCCCCTCCCGCGCTGTGGCCCAGCATGACTTAGCTCTTCTAGCCGTGGCATCACTGCCTCTTTGTTCATTGCTCCTCTCTGCCGCGACTTCATTCGTGCCTGCTGTTTCGTAACAAAGCACAAGTCCCATGGCGATTTTGGGAATCGTTTTGTGAGACTGGAAAGGAGTCCCCCTTCCTTTCTTATTTCCCACCGCTCCCAGTGAAAGGAATTCCGGCATACCGTGATTTCATTCCAAATAATAACACCTTGCAACTACCTGGCCCTTCTCAGTGGACTAAGTGCTCTCGCAGAGATGCTCTGAAAGCACACATGGCTGAGGGGGGCAGTGGGAAGAGCAGCGCCCCCTGGACAGGACTCCAGGCAGGGGGGTGACTTCTACACTGCCACTAAAGGTGTTTTTCTATGCTATGCCCTTTCCTGCCAGGCAGCAAGGTGGGCTGACTGGGGATTATGTCTCCCTGCCAGGCTGCACAGAAACTAAGCAAAGGGTAAGATAAGCTCACCCACCTCTTACTCCCTCCCACCCTCAGCTACCTCTGCTCCCCCAGCTGATTCCCCTTCCCTCTGCTTTTGACACTTTTAAAGTCCCCGGATTCCACTGTTGCGTTCGGAAGTTCTGACCTTTATTTCTTAACTTTATTTCTGTGGATTCTGCCAGGATACCCTTGGCGCCCTTGGTCCTCTTTCCTTTGCTTCCTTTATTTACACCTTCCACTGTTTACCCCCAACCCTCTCCCTCTTATTTCACTTCTTTTTTTCCTTCAATTAAAAAGTTTAAATGTACTCATCAAAAAAAAAAAAAATTACTAAACCAAAAAAGTCATTTTTACTCAAGTAGCAGTGTTTGCGTATTCCCTAAGACATTCTTAGGGCCTCCCCTTCCCCCAAACACAGTGCTTGGCAGCTTCTAGGTAGATGCCTGCCCCTTCCTCGTATTCCTCCCCTTCACCCTGTGAGGGCACTAAACCGTTACTTACCCAAAATGGAGTGGCCTCCACTTGCCAAAGCGTGTAATTCAAAGCAAAAGTAGCAAGATGTCCTCAGTGGAGCCTCCCAGTGATGTAGTTAGCACAGGATGAAATACGTTATTAAAAAACGCCCTCCCCTGCAAAACTTGGTACTTTGGATCTAGGCAAGTGGCTAGGTCTGGAAAAGGAAGATGGGAGAAAGTGGGGATGTTCAGCGTGGAGAAGAGAATTCAAGAAGGAATAGGAAAGTGTTCTTCAGAGACTTGGGTTGTGGTAGAGGAGTTTGATCCCACTGACTTTTTATGTGTCCTATGAAGTCGCGGGAGGCCTGTTTCAGTATGAGAGTGCAGTGACCTTCCCGGGAGAAGTCTGCCATAGAATGCCTGCCGCCTCATCCCCGGAAGCTCGTGGAGACCAGTCATTGAGCTGAAGTGAGGATTTGGGCGTAGGTTTGCAGGCTACACCAGTGGACCTCAAAGGCTCCATCTAACACTGAGAGTCTAATTTGGACGTACTGTGACCCCCTACTTCTAAACCTCAGCTCCATTACCAGGCGTTATCAAATATGCTCATTTTAATTGTTCGCCATCGTCTCTTGCCCCTCTGGTAAGCGGAGAAAAAGAATTTAAACTTTTCTTTTAACCGAGCGACATAGTGTCACGGATATGATGGAGTAAATAACCCCTTTCCTGTTTGCTAAACTCTAGAAAATCTATATCAGAAATACTTTTTAAATTCCAATCTTAGATGATTTCCTGAATTTTATTGGATAGTGAGCTACTTTAAAAGGATGATTTTCTATGTTAAATAAAAATATTCTAACCATAATTGACTAGTTTGTCATAATGATGCTTTTTAATAAGTCCGAGTATTTGCTAAAGGGTTCATATTTATAGCCTCGTGTTTATAATCCTTTTGGTAGGTATCAGTTTGGATTTAAGCCTTAGGGTTTTATCCTTTGTCACTTTGCAGTTGTTACATTTTAGCAGAGATATGCAGGTAGTCTTGCAAATAGTAGGCCTTTAATATATACCTTATCTCTCTGATTCTAAGATGCCAACGATTATAACCTGCATCGCAGATTTAATAAGTTTGCAAAGAAGAGAAAAGGAAGCTACGTTTTCGTTTTACCATTCATTTATTTAAATTCACACTCAGAGTGCGAATCTAAGCCTCTCTTTGACCCGTATGTACGGCTTCACTGGCACAGTGCTTTTCATCTGTGGTAGTGACTTTGACCTCTGCAAGAACGACTGTACACTTTTGAGGCATGGGAAAGAAGATGGAAGTTTGTGTCCTTGTCCTTTTTTGGTAACATTCAGGCTGCTTTTTTTCCTTAACTGAGTCAAGTTGTGTATACTACAAGAGAAGACAGCTTCTCTTCAATTTCGTGTGCAACCTCTGGACAGAGACATTCAGCGTTGGGTGACACGGCCCTTCACAGGGTGTGAGGCTGTCACACCAAACTCTCCTGGCTTTGAGAGATGTTTTAGACCGAAACCACGGGCAGTATTGTTTGCTTCTGAGTTGACAGATACAATAGGCTAGTCATGTTACATCGTAGTGCCGTCTCTCTGACAGTTTAACAAATCCGTGATCTAAATTTAAGTTAAAAAGCCATCCTTGTTCGGTGCTACATCTATGAAGTCACAGCTGAAATGACAGGTAGATGAACAGATACCTTTCCTATACAGCTAAGGGTGCACGTACTCAGGTAAGGACAGCTGTGTCAAAACCTACTCCCCACCTTGTGGCTGCTAAGTTACTGTTGACAAAATTATAAGAAGTGTCAATTTCAGAAATGCTGACATTTGTAAAACCTCTATCTTAGAATCCAGGAAGTACGGTATTTGCTGATTGGCCTATCTCCAAGAAAACCAGTCTTGTTTTTGGCAGTAGCTCGTTCTCGTTTATATTCAGTGGTATGCTGTTTTTCTGCCAGACACAGAAAGTGTATCTCACAGAAGGATTTTCTGCCCCACAAAGGTCTTCATCTTTCAGAAAGACTTGAAGAAACAAGAAGGCTTTAAAAACAAAAGCAAAATTCAGCCTTTAAAATAAAGGCTAAGGACTTAAAATTTGTACTCAGTTTTTTAGACAGTTCATCAATCATTTGATTAATAGTGTTAAATGGACAGTCTTCCAAATTTTGCAAATCTCTTCATTTGAAAGATGTTCTATATTAAAGAGCAGTTCTCTTTTTAAAGATTACTTCACAAACATCAGACTTTTCAGATATGTACTATGAAGATCTAGATCATCCTGTACCAGTTTCAGAAATAGCATTAGATAGGGTTTTTGACAAATATAAAGTATAGATGTAAAGCGGCTGTAATAATTAATAAAAATTTAATTCTCTCTTGTAAAATTGTTTTAACCAGGAGATACAAGCAGATCATGAGTATTTTCTTTAATATTTACACCACTCTTGGTATCTTGATCATATGATGGGTATCTTAGTTATATAATTATAGAAAATCATATTTTTATACCATTTCACTCACCAGCCAGTTCAGAATTATCCACATTAAACTTTGCCCATCAGTTTATTTTCATTATGTCACCATGTCCTGGCGGCCTGTGCTACTTAATCTGTCCTCTGAAGTTGCTAATTCCTTGTTGTCTGTGTTTTGCTGATGTGCCCTGTACATTGACTGTCATTCCACATCCACCCGTGTTTGCAGTTCTTGGCCTTAGGAAATTGCATGCGGGATAAGAAGTTGAAGATGAATTATGAGTGCATGGAGATGAGCTGTAAATGAGTAGTGTGAACAGAAAAATTATAGAATGTGTAGCCATAAAACCGATTTGACTTGGGAAGTTTTTATAGCTAATAAATTTTGCCTGCCATTCATTTCTAGATGTAACTAATGTAACTTCTTTTTAACTCTAGTCATCTCAACTTAACAATCCCCAGTTTGTGTGGGTAGTTCCAGCTTTGCGTCAGCTCCACGAGATTACTCGCTCGTTTATAAAACAGACCTATCAAAAGCAAGACAAGGTAAGACAGTAACTGTATTTGATCAGTATACAATTCCAGTTACTTATACTTTTCTTATAACAGAACCAAAGTAAGATTGCTCAGCTTTAAAGTCACTGTTCCACATTTTTATGATGATTAAACCAGTTCATTTATATTCTTTAATCATCTTGAGTATCAACATCATTTTGCTTTCCTTTCTACAAGAGCTTTTCTTTTGCTACACCCTTCATTTCCTTAATTTATTGAAATAATTCCACCCGTTTTTAAAAGTTTGAATGGTATTTTAGAAATGTGTTTGAAAAGATGTAAAGACCCTGATCTCAGGAAGATTAGGTTGTTTAAAGGACCTGGGGCTTCCTCCGTGTACGAGACTTGGGAGGAAAGATCTGGAAAAGTACACAAGAAGCGAAAAGATTCTTTTTTGCAATTCATCTTTAAAAAAAAAAAAGAATGTCTGTAGAAGCAACAACTTAGCAGAGAAGTTTATTAGCTCCCTAGTAAATGCTCATATGGATGATTTTATTTGCTTTTGTGTAGGTAATGGAAGTGACGGAATCCTTAGATTTACATCCTTAGATTCACCCTTACTAGGACTACGTGATAAAGTGGAAGCTTCTGTTCAACTCCCAAAATGACTGCTGGTGCTCATGCCATTTTTCTTTTTGTTGTTTTTGCCAAGAGCATTATTCAAGACTTGAAGAAAAATTTTGAGATCGTGAAATTGGTAACAGGAAGTCTGATAGCTTGTCATCGGCTTGCAGCTGCTGTGGCTGGACCCGGAGGCTTGACTGGCTCAACCCTTGTGGATGGCCGATACACTTACCGGGAGGTATCCGGCGCTGTGCTTTCGTGTCGTGCTTCACAGCACCCATTTGGCCTTGTGCGCTCGAACTAGGAAAGTGACCCTGGTTGGGTGTCACTCTACAGAGGTCGCATGAGGTTGCTTTGTAGGGATGGGACAGCTTTATTCCCTGACTACCATCATTTTAAACATAAAGTTTAGAAAAGTGTTACTTGTGGGTGAGTTGTTCAGCAAATCACCTTAGACCTGCCTGTGAAAAAGTGATAAAGATAGCTGTCTTTCCTTTGTCTTTCATAGGACATGGTAATTGTCTGTGCTGTGGAGGATTGCTTTTGTTTTTTAAATCAGTTGATTAGTAATATTGTGTTTAAAAATGAGACAAAATCTTAACTTCCTGGTGTTAGTGGTATTTCAGTGTGAGGTTACTGACATGGTATTTCCCTGCCACCCTCACTCCACTAGAATTTGTAATAGACTTGAAGTAGCTTCCACCGTGTTGTGCCCTTAACTTACAAATAGACGGCTCGCTCTTATTTTACCCTAAATCATATGAGAAAGCCTTAGGTAGAATTCTTTTTCTAATTTAAAAAAGTTTTTGTAATTTTCTTTTGGGTAGGAATGCCTAGAGTTAACTAATTAGCATAACTTCTTTTTGCAGTATTTAGAGGCCCATCTAAAATTTCTAGCGTTTTTCTTGCAAGAAGCTACTCTGTATCTGGGTTGGAATCGTGCCAAGGAGATCTGGGAATGTCTCGTCACTGGCCAGGATGTTTGTGAATTGGATAGAGAGGTAAGAAGATGGGAGTGTGGATAAAAGAAGGCAGAAGTGGGACTTAGATATTTTACCTTTTTTGTGGGTCTCACAACTTCAGTGCTAAATGCTTCTTAATCTGCTAAGCCTACATTTATACTAATAGACCAGGAACTGTAAGTGCTGGGTTATTTAATATGTACCTAATATGTACCTATGACATAAATGTGTGAGTTCTTCGGTCATTTTTATACCATTCTGGACAAAACCAAATTCACCTGAATGAGCACAGCCGAAGAATTCTCCGTATATCTTCTAACTCTTCCCCCTCCCGTGGAACTGATTTCAAGTTACCAACCAAAAACTTTGCATCACCTGCAGTGATGTTGCATGTCAGAAACACAAAGAAGAATGAGTGCCCAGACAGGTTTTTTCCGGCTATAATTAAGCAGCTGAAAATAGCTTAAACCAGGAGCAGAACACCTGACTTGGCCCATTCTAACAATGACTTGTTTGCTCATTTCCTCTTCCAGAGTGATAACTACCTCCTAGGATTGTTGAAGGGACTACGTAAATGCCCGTGCCCAGCACAGCGGCTGGCACACAGCAGGGCTTGTTAATAAGCGTTCGTGGACAAGCCCAGGTGTAAACCCCATTGAACAGTAGGAGTATATATTTTCTTTATCTGAGGGAGAGACTGCTAGGAGCTGCTTTATTTGGCTCCAGCCTTCCAGGTGTTTCCATTGCCCATGGTAATATAAATTTTTGAAGCATTGAACATAACTTATCTTCCGCCTCCCACTTTGGAATATGTATTTGTCTGAAACGAATTTTAGTTAGAAGGCAATATCTGTCTTAATCCACAGATGTGTTTTGAATGGTTTACAAAAGGCCAACATGATCTTGAGAGTGACGTTCAGCAGCAGCTTTTCAAGGAGAAAATTCTTAAATTGGAGTCCTATGAAATCACAATGAATGGTAGGAAAAAAAACTTTGCCTTTTTTTTGCAGTTCTTTAAAAACTTTTATTCTTTCCTTTCCCTCGAAGCCCCCTTCTCAGAAGCAATTAAACAGTCTGGAAGATCCTTCTGGACTTTGCTTGATGCATAGAAAGACCTGTCTATATATACCTGTGTTTAAATATACAGATTAAATTCCTTTTCGTGTGAATAGTATCTTATGATTAATGTTAAATTATATGGCCTTATCGTTCAGATGGTCAGATAGTAGCACGTATCAGTACTTCATTCTGTTTTGTGGCTGAATAGTATTTCATTGTATGGATATACCACATTTTATTTATCCATTCATCAGTGCTGGGTACTGAATTGTTACCACTTTTTGGCTATTACCAGTGACACCACTGTAAGCATTCATGTACAAGTTTTTGTGTGGACATGAGCTTTCATTTCACTTGGGTATATGCCTAGGAGTGGAGTTGAATCATATGATTAACATTTTGAAGAACTGCCAAACCGTTTTTGCAAAGTGGCTGTACTATTTTATAATCCTACCAGCAACATCTGAGGGTTTCAGTTTCTTCACATTTTCACCAATCCTTGTTACTGTCTGTCATCTTTATTCCAGCCATCTTGGTGTGTGTGAAGTGTTACCTCATGGTTTTGGTGTGCATTTCCCTGATGATTCATGATATTGAGCTTCTATTCATGTGTTTGTTGACTGTATATACTCTTTGGAGAAATGTCTCTCAGACCTTTTGCCCATCATGAATTGGGTTATTGGTCTTTTTATTGTTGAGTTGTGAGAGTTCTTTATATATTCTGCGTAGTAACTCTTCATCAGACAGACACTTTGCAAGTATTTTGTCCCATTAACTGGGTGGTCTTTTCCATCTCTTAGAGTCCTTTGAAGCACAAGAGCTCCTAAGTTTGATGAGGTCCAATTTACCTATTTTTTTCTTTGGCTGCTCGTGCTTTTGGTACCACATCTGATAAGCTGTTGCCTAATCTGAAGTCTTGAAGATTTATGTCTGTTTTGTCCCAAGAGTTTTTATTATTTATTTATTTATTTATTTATTTTTAAATAGTTTATTGTTAAGTTGGTTTCCATATAACACCCAGTGCTCATCCCCACAAGTGCCCTCCATCACCTCCCTTCCCCTCCCCCCAGCCCCCATCAGCCCTCAGTTTGTTCTCGGAATTCATGAGTCTCTCATGGTTTGCCTCTCCCCCACTATTTCCCCCCTTCTTCTCCCCCGTGGTCCTCCGTTAAGTTCCTCCTAATTTATTTTTTTATTTTTGAGGCAGAGAGAGACAGAGCACAAGGGGGGGGAGCGGCAGAGAGAGAGGGAGACACAGAATCTGAAATAGGCTCCAGGCTCTGAACTGTCAGCACAGAGCTCGACATGGGGCTCAAACTCAGGAACTGTGAGATCATGACCTGAGCTGAAGTCGGATGCTTAACCGACTGAGCCACCCAGGTGCCTCAGTTTTGTCCCAAGGGTTTTACAGTTTGGGCTCTTGAAATACTTTGAGTCTTTTCATTGGTTATCTGTGTTACTTAGAGTCCACGAATTTATCTGACCTTCTGTCATTTCAGGGTTTAACTTATTTAAGACTTTTTTTGAAAATGTGAATCTTTGTGATCATCGATTGAAACGACAAGGTGCTCAGTTGGTAAGTACTTTCTTCGGAAATCTCAATAATATGGATAGTCTAGTAAAACATGGCAAAAAAGGTGTTGTAGTTGAATGAAAACGTGACCTTTTTTAAAGAACGGGCATCTCCTCAACTGTATCTTCTGCACTGAAGACAGAGCTTCCCTTAGAGCGTAATGGAGGCCCCCTTTCTAGCACAGCGACCCCTCACCAACTGCCTGGGAGAACAATGTTGCCTTCTCATCCATCCGTGCTTCTTGCTGACTGGGGCGGCCAGCAGCCTCTTATGGCTAGGCGGATGCAGGCCAGGGACAGTTTTACTGAGGCTTCCAGCTCCTCAGACCCAGTAATGGATGTGTTCCTACAAAAATGACAACATCTTTCATTCTGAAGATGAATCTTCAGTTCATCATAGTGGCAGGGGCGTGGGGAGAAAATTTTAGGACCAGGCAGTGAAGCAGGAGGATGTGAGGACCTGCGGAATGTATACAGCTTATGTTGATATCTACATGTGCACCTTAGAAAACAAAGGCAGCAAATCGTGGTCTCTTTCAAGACATAACTCCTTTGATTCAAGACCTGGCTTCGTGGGTGGTGAGATTTTTACAAGATCTTGTAAGCGTAAGCCCTGGATCCTGCCATTTGAACTGAGCTTTGGGGAGAGCCTCCTGAGCCTCAGGATTATTAACCCCACTAGCTGGCTCTGTTTCCTTTTGAAGAAAAGCTCTTAAGATGGTGCTACCTTATTCCTGTGCTCTTTCAACTTCTGTAGCCTGCCTGGGTAGATTTCCAGCTTGGTTTTAGGAATATCTGGAGAAAACTCTTCATATCTCTCCTGGTTGCCATGGACATAGCCCAGAGTTTCTGTGGTTAGTTGTTTTTGTTTTAAAGTTTCAAATCAGTACAATAGTGTTCTCATATGTAGCTTGGTTTTTGCAGCCTTAATTCACATTAAACTGAAAGATGTAGACTTAATGCAGTAACAGAAAATAATTGTCTGTAATTTTGTGACCTTGGTGTGCTATGTAATTTTTTTCTTTTGAACAGTATGTAGAAAAGCTGGAGTTGATAGGAATGGATTTCATTTGGAAAATAGCCATGGAATCACCTGATGAAGAGATTGCTAATGAAGCTATTCAGTTAATTATAAACTATAGTTACATCAATCTAAATCCTAGATTGAAGAAGGTGAGTATCAGAGGAAAGAAGGTACTTACGCACAAAACAGAAATTACATATTTCCTATTGATAAGTTCTGACCTTTAGCATGCCTGAAAATTGGCTCTTTTATTTTGATGTTTTGTCCTTAATAACGATTGCAATTAAATGCCAGACTAATTTTAATTTCCATATACCTCTTACTTTTAGGATTCTGTATCGTTACATAAGAAATTTATTGCTGATTGCTACACGAGATTAGAAGTGAGTGGCAAGTTTCACTGAACCTGTTTTTGAAATAAATGCTTTGGTGTTTTTCCTTTTAGAATTTTCTATTTGAGATCATGTGTCATGTTGATGTTTGTGGCTGGGTTCTGTGGAAGAATGTGTCAGCAGTGTGGCATTGTGACGTGGGGAACAGACATCTGCCAGGTTCCCCCAGTAGAGACGTCCCTCAGAGGGAAGCTATGCTTCTCTTTGCACCACCTCCACTCTGCACTCTGCCCACCCCCCTTTTGGGGTATGGGAACTGTCTTCAGAAAACAGGCCTTCTCTGCATTCCACGTCTCTAGTAGATTCTTCTCCCCTTTTTCTTTTTCTGCCCAGGAATTTTATGCAAGAACTTGTTTTTCCCACCCTTGCCCATGTTTCAGCTGAGATTATCTTAAATGCTGTTGGGGCCATAGCAGGACCCTCAGTAGGAGGTTGTTTGGGTTGTCTTCGTCCCTTAGAAGCCTGCTGTATGATACTGTCTCACATGTATTTCCGGGGCCTTATCTCCGGCTTGATGGTTAAGGCATTAAACAGTCATCTCTACTCTTAAGTTGTGTTTAAGTTTTATACCTAATGAAGAGTATTCCAGAAACATAATGCTGCTGCCCCCAAATGTCAAGAAGTTAAACCTTCTGATGATCAATAGGTGCTTGAATCTGTACAGGGTTTCCATAGTCATGATTTCACCCAAATCTGTCATCGTAAAAAAAAATTTGAAGTCCCTTAAATAAAAGAGGTACCGTCTAAGTATTAACATGTGGAACAGTAGGCCTTGGCCAGGGGTTATGGTGCCTCCCAGAGAGCGTTTGGCAGTGTCTGGAGACCTTTGTGGTGCTGGTAGGTGGGTAGTGACCAGAGATCAGAAATGGTGCTAAATGCTCTGCAAAGCCCAGGACAGCCCTCTACAGCGAAAAGTGTCCATACAGCCCAAGAGAGCAGTAGGGCCGAGGTTCGAGGAGCCCTGATACACAGTGATGCTTCCGTGTTTCACAGGCGGCCAGCTCAGCACTCGGAGGCCCCACTCTAACGCACGCAGTGACCAGAGCCACAAAAATGCTTACGGCAACTGCAATGCCAACCGTAGCAACATCCGTTCAGTCTCCGTATAGGTAAGTGTGCAGAAGTTACAGCACACACTCACACAGTGCATAAACACACTTGTCAGTTTGGGAAGATAACTGACTTCTTTTTTGGGGGGTGTCTCAATTGTCAATTTCCTCGCTTTGTATCATAATTTTTGCTGATAGTCCTATCCTGAGAGATTGTGTATCCCCATCCTGCATCCCAAATCTGTATTTTTCTTTTCTGAAGATCTACAGGTCCTTGTCACCAGCACAAAGTAGTGCTCTGCCCCAACCCTGTGCCTAGTGGATAACTTTTGTCATTTTGTTACTTTTTTAAAATTTGAATTCTTTTGCTTTGACTCTGTGTAAATAGGAGTAAGCTACTCTTTAAAACAGTCTGAAGACGTACTCATTGTATGAAGAGGATTTTTCAAGTTTGCAGTGTGCACTTACTCAGACATAACTTGCCTCCTTGTGTGCAGATCCAGTGCACGAAGAGCATAAGCAAAACGAGATGGAAGATGATGATTAATTAAAATTGTGCATTATAATAACATATAGTTAAAATATTATTTCCTTAAAATTATTTTTCAAAATGACTTTAACAAGAACTTTATCCTTAAATATTTGCATTCAAACTTTGAACCTAAGTCTCTTATCAGATTGCTCTATTTAGGATTTTCAAATATTAACAGTGAAACCCGAGTTCAGTATGTGCTATACTTCTTTGATACAGTGAGGAACATAGTTGAGCATTCAGAAACATTAGACGGAAGCATAACTCAAATGCTCCTGTGAGGGCTTCTGAGACTTCTATTCTGAGTAAGCAGCCCCCAGTCTGTGATGCCTGAGAAACCTGTGTTCAGAACGAGGCCTCCCCTGCTGCTGCTAAGTCACGGGTGCACATATTGTCTCTCCCCAGTCGGAATGACTTTATGTGTGTGTCTATGTTATTTATTTTTTTTTTACAGTTCTTTTTCTTTGTAAAGCCTTCCTTTATTTTTATTTATTTATTTTTTAAATGTTTACTTACTTTTGAGAGAGAGAGAGACTCAGTGTGACTGGAGAAGGGTCAGAGAGAGAGGGAGATGCAGAATCTGAAACAGGCTCCAGGCTCTGAGCCAGCTGTCAGCACAGAGCCCAACATAGGGCTCGAACCCACAGAACAGGAGATGATGACCTGTGTCGAATTCAGATGTTTAACCAACTGAGCCACCCAGGAGTGAGCCCCGTAAAGCCTTCTTTTAGAGTAGGACTCAAAGGAACATCCTTGCTCACATTCTTCATCTTTTTTTCTAATGAGTTGAGGACTGTGTAGTGATATTAATATGAGAGAGGCTCCAGTGAAACTCAGCCCTCTTGGACCTTTTTTTTTTAAATGCCAGAAAACAGGGTACCTGGCTGGCTCATTCAGTAGTGCATGCAACTCTTGATCTCGTGGTTATAAGTTCAAGCCCCACATTGGGTATAGAGATTATTTAAAAATAAAATCTTACCCAAAACAAACCCAGTTTAAAAGGCAGAAAGTGATTATAGGTCACTGACATGAACTTTGTGTTCCCACATTGTTGGGAGTATATCTTAAGTAGACTTTCATTAAGAATGCTATTAAATAGACTTTCATTAAGAATACGTATTAAGTAAACTTTAATTAAGAATGCTATTAAACACCTGGGGGGCTCAGTTGGTCAAGTGTCCCACTCCTGGTTTCAGCTCAGGTCATGATCTCATGGTTTGTGGGTTTGAGCCCCGTGTCAGGCTCTGCACAGGGCAGCTTGGGATTCTCTCTCCTTCTCTCTGTGTCCCTCCTCTGCTCCCACACACACCCTCTCTCTCTTTCTCTCAAAATAAATAAATTTTTTAAAAAAAGAATGCGTATAGAGAGTACTTAGTTACATGTTTGTAAGATGTGGTCCATCTTTATGACCAAGGTCCTTAATGACTCATTTATCTGACAACCAGAATAGAAATGCAGTTTTGAACTGTTGGATTGGGATTTCCAAACTGCAGCATCTTTAAATAAACGTGTTATTTTTCTCTCTTTTTACTAGGTGCTTTTTATTCTCACTCATTTCATTTCATATTGGACTGATATCAGAGCAGAGCCACAGGATAGTTTTTAACTCTTCTCATTATAGACTCTAAGCACTGTTCATAGGAGTGTCTAATTTCAAAGTTGCATTTGAACCAGGACATTATAGGTTCTTATTTCACTGGTTTTGAGAGAACTTTACGGTGACTATACTTCCACCTTTGGTGACGGGGGTTGGCGGGGAGCCGGGGGTTAATCTCTCATCTCTACAGTAGTCTGCAATGCAATGCTGTCTGTGATTTAATTCATCGTGAGGCATAATTAAGATAGTTCACTCAATAATTCACTTATTATAGCACTTACATATTTTCTAAAAATTTCCCATCTGAATATCAAATTCTAGTTCTTGCCCATTAGCCTGAAAGAATTTAGAGCTCTGTTATAATGCATTTAATAGCATTAAAATGTTAAACATTTTACATTAAAATGTGTTTAACAAACTCTTTTTAAAGTAGAATTTCCAATAATGCTAATCAGCAATCCAGACCGATTGTTAGAAGTGGTAGTACCTCTTCTCAGATTTAGAAAGATACCTATTTGAAATGCTTAGATTTTCTTCTCTGGAAGAGCACATGTTAAAATTAAGGACATTTGAATTTTCATCTCTTGATGTTAGCACATGTAATATGTTCTTTAAAATCAAATAGGAGCTGTGAGTATATAAGCTGAATGTTAAGAGTCCTCTTAATTCAAGTAAGAAGTAATATTCCCTAAGTCTGACCAGAAGGGACCTCAGGTCTCATGTTCAGGGGGTGCTGGAACTCCACACTTCACCTTGCTGTGTGTTGTCTGTCCTGGAGATGGTTGTCTCCTGGTGAGTGTTGATTTCTCAAGTACTTTGAAAACCCATAGGATAATAATTCTTACACTTGTGGGGCTTTTTCTTTTTTTTTTTAATGTTTATTAATTTTTGAGAGAGAGAGAGACAGAGTGTGAGCGGAGGAGATTGTGGCCTATATATATCTGCATGCCTGGCCTCCAGCGCGTGGCCAGTGCCCGAGATGAGAAACAGACAGCGGACAGTCATCTCTCTGAAAACAGATGAAACTGGTGAGGGTACATCTCAGGATCCATGGGAGGGAGTAGCAGGGAACGGCCAATTATCTATTCTTTGCCTGATGGCTTTTCAGACCCTCCATTTCTTAAATTTTTTAATGTTTATTTATTTTTCAGAGAGAGATAGAGTGTGAATGGGGGAGGAGCAGAGAGAGGGAGACACAGAATCCTAAGCAGAGCCCGACGCAGGGCTTGAACTCACAGACCGGAGATCATGACCTGAGTGAAAGTCAGACGCTTGACTGACTGAGCCACCCAGGTGCCCCACACTTGTGTGCTTTAACTCTATGGAATGTTCATTTAAACCGGATGAACAGTTGTTTGTCCTTCCTTCTTCCTTATTCTTTGACTGTTTAGAACAGCAAGTTAGTTGTGTTACACGTACTGGTTTTAGACATTCAGAACTTTGTCACATTCCATGTGTTTAAAGAATTATGTGGCATATTTTAGTTGTAAGATTAGGAGACTCAAACTCACTGATTGTTCATTCTTGGTGGATTGACGGACACACAGGCCTGGAGGCCCAGGTCCTCTGTTTATGGAAAACCGTTTAAAAAGAGAGGAGAGGACAGGACAGGAAAGGAAACGTGGAGGGGGCGGGCTTGTCCTCCCTGACCCGTCAGTGCACTACAGCTGCGAGCTGGCCGGGCGACCTCCCCACTGGGTGAAGGGCAAGTTCCGTCTTTGCAGAAGTCAGCCTTTGGCCAGTCCATGCCAACTGTGTGGTTTTGGTGAGGCCGACTGGACTTGTGCGATTTATTTCAAATACGTTCAAGTCCACATTTCATTTCATATATGCTCAAAAAAGTTTTTTTCATCCCCAGATCCACTAAACTTGTAATAATCGAGAGATTGCTGCTTTTGGCAGAACGCTATGTGATCACTATAGAGGTAAGCCTCTGTTCTTTGTAAAGCAGCTTTATCATCCTGTCATTAGCTCACGTTAGGCGTGTATTTTTGAGACGTTTAACCGTGACGCTGTGCATCTGACTTCTGTCTTTTTCAAGGATTTTTACTCTGTTCCACGAACTATTCTACCTCATGGCGCCTCATTTCATGGACATCTTTTAACTCTCAATGTTACGTATGAGTCTACCAAAGATACCTTCACCGTAGAGGTAGGTTTACGTCAAGCCCCGTAGCCGCTTTCATATTGCCCTGTTACTTTCATGAGAGCACCGCAGAGTGGGATAGCTCCATGAGCAACCAGTCTGCAAGCTGTTCAGTAAACAGACGAAAGGCCTGCAGTGAAAGGGAACTGATGGGTATAGACAGGCACACGAATAAGTGTACCCTACCGTCAGGTGGTGGTGAGTGTTCTAAAGAATAAGAAGAAAGGTGAATAATTTGGTAGAGAGCAACGCATAGTGTGACATGTCATAAATAGATGGGCTGGGAAGTTCTCTCCAAGGTGGTGACAGTTGAACAAAGATGGAATGAAGTGATCACTAGTTTCTGGGGAAGAGCATTCCAAGCAAAGGGAGCAGCAGGTACTAAGGCCCTGACATGGGACTTGCGTGGCTCCCTGGGTGATAGGCAAGGGGGCTGGTGTGAGGGGAGCGCGGAGAGAACAGGAAAGGGTGGAGACAGTAGCAGCAGCAGGACCTGAGATTTGATTCCCAGGAGATGGGGGGGGGAACACCGCGGGAGAGGAGACATTAAATTACTGCAGGAGGGAAGGGAAGCCTTACAGGGTGGGGAGTCTCTTATGTGGGTTCTCTGCCGTATCCCCAGCCTCTGGAACGGTGCCTGTTCCACAGTCTGTGCTCTCCGACAGCTGTCAAAATGAACAAGCAAACAAATGACTCACAACAGTGTTTGATTTTGTCGCCCAGGCTCACAGCAATGAAACCATAGGGAGTGTGCGGTGGAAGATTGCCAAACAGGTGTGCTCGCCTGTGGACAACATACAGATATTCACAAACGACAGTCTGGTAGGTTTACGCCAATGCTTTGTGACCCTTCTGCCTGATGCCAACACCTTCCTCTTCCTCCCAGTAACGAAGAAACCACTTTTCACAGCTGACAGTGAATAAAGATCAAAAGCTCCTCCACCAGCTGGGCTTTTCTGACGAGCAGATGCTCACGGTGAAGACTTCGGGCAGTGGGACCCCGTCCGGGAGCTCCGCCGACTCCTCTACCAGCTCCAGCAGCAGTGGCAGTGGGGCCTTCAGCTCGTCGTATGCCATGGAGCAGGTACGGGGTGCCGGAGTCAGCTGACCCGTCAGAATTTAGGAAGCTTCAGCCCATGGGTGGGTGACCGGGCCTGCTTCTCTCAGACACATCCTGACTGGTGAGGTTCCTGAGGGAATGAGCATAGACAGAGCCAGGGACCTTCTTGTATAGAGATCGAGGGTGGAGAGGACCCAGCTGGGGAGACAGCAGAAGAGCAGAGAGGAATGGGAAAGCCTGCAGAGTGTTGCAGCAAATTCTTGACTCCGCCTTTAAAGTACACCTAAAATCTAGCCATGCTTATGTGCCTCCACGGCCTCCACACTGGTCCGGGCCACCGCCACACCCCACGCTGGTGTTCCAGCGGTACCCACCTGCTCCCATGGCTCTGGCCTTAGACCCGTCCGGGCCTTCTCTGTACAGTGCCCGGCAGCCCAGGGTCCTTTTAAACAGCAGTCATGCTGTGCCACCAGCTTGCAGGATCCTGGGGCTTCCTCTTACTCAGAGCAGGAGCCAGAGTCTACCGGGCCCCAGAGGGCCAGCCTCACAGACCTTGGGGGAACCTCTCTGATGTCCCTTCCCTGGACCCCACTCCGCTCCCACCCCTCCAGCTGCACTGGCCTCCATGCTGGTCTTCAGGCTCAGTAGGGTCTGTGCACTTGCTCTTCCTTGTGTCTGGAACGTTCTTCCCCGGTACGCAGGTGGCCCTCTCTCCTGGTCTTCGGCTCTCACCTGAGTGTTGCCTTCCCAGTGGCAGTCCTGTTTACATCATTAGCTCCATCCCTGCGCTGCTGCTTTCCCATCCCGACTTACTTTTTCTTTCACGGACTGTACGTTTTATCTTACGTAATCTTCCTCTCCCCAGTGAAATATAAACTCTGAGCGCAGACTTCCGCCTGCTTTGCTCACTGTTGTATCCCCAGCACCTAAGACAGTGTCTAGAACAGAAAAGGTACACAGTCAGTATTTGTTGAGTGATTTCATGAAATCAGCCCGTTTACTTTGTACCCTCTCTGCGTCATATAAACTGAGGAGACTAGTTTTGCTTCTTCGCTTTCATAGTCTAGAAAGGAAGATCACACCAGACCTTACGTAAAGGTATTCTAATAGCAAGTGAGGGTTTTTCATATCTATAAATATTGCCTTAATTCCAATTATAAGGTCTTTGTGTATTATGTTTTTTTAATGTAGCATGATTCTGCTATTGATCTCAACTCCTCAGGGTTAGTATTAGTATAATGTGTTTGTTGTATAAGTAACTGTACTTCTGTAATAGTAAAAACTTAAGGGAGATGCATTCAAGAGTAGCATTATGACAGTTACCTAACAACAGAAACCATGTATAAACATATTTTCACTTTATTGCACTTTGCAGATTCTGGGCTTTTTACAAATTGAAGGTTTGTGGCAGCTCTGTGCCAAGCAAGTCTGCTGGTGCCATTTTTCCAATGGCATTTGCTGACTTTGTGTCTCAGTGTCACATTTTGATAATTCTCACAGTATTTTAACCTTTTTCATTAGTGTTATATTCATTATGATGGCCTGTGTTCAGTGATCTGTGATGTTACCACTGTAATTAGGTGGGGGCACCACGAACCGTGCCCACAGAAGACAGCAAACTTAATAAATGTTGCTTGTGTTCCAACTGCTCCACAACCAGCTATTCCCTGTCTCTCTCCCTCTCCTCGGGCCTCCCTGTTCCCTGAGACAACAGCAGTATTGAAATCAGGCCACTTAATAACCCTCCTGTGGCCCCTGAGCGTGCAGGTGAGAGGGGAATTGCACGTCTCTCCCTTTAGATCAAGAGCTAGAAATGACTCAGCTTAGTGAAGAAGGCATGTTGAAAGCTGAGGCAGGCCAAAAGCTAGGCCTCTTGCACCAAACACTTAGCCAAGTTGTGAGTGCAAAGGGAAAGTTCTTGAAGGAAATTAAAAGCCCTACTCCAGTGAGCTCACAAAGGTAAGAAAATGAAACAGCCATGTTGCTGATATGGAGAAAGCGTGAGGGTCTGGATGGAAGATCAGACCAGCCCCGACATCCTCTTAAGCCAAAGCCTGATCCAGAGCAAGGCTCTAACTCTCCTCAGTTCTTGTGGAGGCTGAGAGACCTGAGGAAGCTGCAGGAGAAGTTTGAAGCCAGTAGAGGTGGGTTCGTGAGGTGTAAGGAAGAAAGCCGTCTCCATAACACGGAATTACAAGGTGGGGCAGCAAGTGCTGATGTAGATGCAGCAGCTAGTTCTCCAGGAGATCTGGTGCAGAGAGGTCATGAAGGTGGCCACACTAAACAACAGGTTTCCAGTGTGGGTGAAGGACCTTGTACTGGAAGAAGATGCCATCTAGGACTTTCATAGCAAGAGAGGAGGAGTTAGTGCCTGGCTTCAAAGCTCCAGAGGACGGGCTGACTCTCTTGTCAGGGACTCATGCAGCTGGTGACTCTAAGTTGAAGCCCATGCTCCTTTCCCACTCTGAGAATCCTAGGGCCCTTAGGAATTATACTAAATTTACTCTGCCTGTGCTTTATAAACTGAACAACAAAGCCTGGACAATAGCGTATCTATTTATAACATAGTTTGCTGAACCCACTCTTGAGACCTGCAGCTCAGGTCTCTTGCACCAAACACTTAGCCAAGTTGTGAGTGCTTTGAAGACTCTCTTCGAAGTAGTACTGCTCCCTGACAGTGTTCCTGGGACCCAAGAGCTCTGATGGAGATGGACAGCGAGATGAGTGTCATGTTCATGCCTGCTAGCACAGCTCCATTCTGCAGACCGTGGATCAAGGAGTCACTCATTTCCACGTTCCAGTCTGAAGTCCGGAGGCTGTAGCTGCTGTGCATAGTGATTCCTTTGGTGGGTCTGGGCAAAGTAAATTGAAAAACTTCTGGAAAGGCTTCACCGTTAAGATGCCATTAAGAATACTTGTTTCTTGGGAAGAGGTCAAAATAACATTCACGGGAGTTTGGAAAAAGTGGATTCTGACCCTCATGGATGACTTTGATGTGTTCAAGACTTGAGGGGAGGAAGTAACCGCAGATGGGGTGGAAAGGGCAAGAGAACTGGAATCAGAAGTGGAACCTGAAGGTAGGGCTGAATGGCTACAATCTGATGATAAAACCCGAACAGATGAAGAGTTGTGTCTTATGGATGAACAAAGTGGTTTCTTGAAATGGAATCTACTCCTGGTGAAGATGTTGTGAAGCTTTTTGAAAGGATAGCCAAGGATTCAGAATATCACTTAGGCTTAGTTGATAAAGCAGCAGCAGGATTTGAGAGGATGGACTCCAGTTTTTTTTAATGTTTGTTTATTTTTGAGAGAGAGAAAGAGAGGTGGGGAGACAGAATCCCAAGCTGGCTCAGCACTGTCAGCGCAGAGCCAGATGCAGCACTCAGCGTCACGAACTGTTGAGGTCATGACCTGAGCCAAAACCAAGAGTTGGATGCCTAACCAACCGAGCCACCCAGCTGTCCCGGGATTGACTCCAATTTTGAAAGTTTTGTCGGTAAAATGCATCAGGTAGCGTTGCATGCTACAGAGAAATTGTTCGTCAAAGGAAGAGTCCATCAATGCAGCCAGCTTGACGTCTTATTTTAAGAAATCGCTGCAGACACCGGCCTGCACAGCTGCCACCCTCACCGTCAGCAGCCATCGACATCCAGGCAGGACCCTCCACTGGCAAAGAGATTACAACTCACTGAGAGCTCACATGATGGTTAGCATTTTTTAGCAATAAAGTATAATTAAGACATCATACATTGTTTTTTAGGTTCAATACTATTATACACTTGGTAAAGTATAAATGTGTATACACTGGGAATCACAAATTCACATGCTTTCTTGCTGTGGTCTGGAACGGAACCTGTAGTACCTGAAATATGCCTGTACATAACATCTTCAGGCTTAACATTTTCAAATTATCTCATGGTTATCCTGAATTCATTAAAAATGTTCCTTTGTATGATGACTTTCTATAGCACTGTCTAGTTCCTTATCTTTAGAACCAGAAAATAGTACTTTTAATCACTAACTCTCTTCTGTGTGTTGTGTGTATTGATACATTTATACTACTATAATTTTGCTCTTAAATCTTTCATTGCCTTATTTGCTCCTGGTGAGCTACGATCAGCTTTTAACGGCGTCTGCTCTCCATTCTGTTAATTAAACCTGCCTATCATTTGACCTGTCCTCCACTGCCTGCCCGGTGGTGCCTTAGCCCCTCCGCAGCAGGCGGGTAGGAGAGAGCCCTGGTAGGAGGCACCCTAGAAGGTAGGGGTCCCGCCAGTCTGTCCCGGGTGTCGCTCTGCACTGCAGGTAAGCACACTGTGCCCCGGAGGCTCTGTAGTGGCCACTCTTTCAGAATTAGTGATTTTATTGTTGGTGCATTGGATCAGAAGAAGAGAACATTCTTCCATCAATTTGTATTTATGTTTTGCTTTTTCCCCTCAGGAGAAGTCCCTCCCTGGTGTTGTGATGGCGCTGGTATGTAACGTGTTTGACATGCTTTACCAGCTTGCCAACCTGGAGGAGCCAAGGTAAATAGAAACACCGAGGAAGCTTAGAAAAGAGAAAGTGATTAAAGTTAGGGAACCAAGTATACTTTCACTTTGCATTTGTCAGAAACAGATGACTTTTGTTACTGAAACTGGCTTATGTGAAAAAACTTCTGTTTGAAAAATTTCAGGATAACTCTGCGAGTACGAAAGCTTCTACTGTTGATACCCACTGACCCAGCCATTCAGGAAGCCCTGGATCAACTTGATTCTTTAGGAAGAAAGGTATAAGCGTCTTGGACAGTTACCTAGCTGGCGTGGAAATTTGGTGTCACCATTCAGTAAAATTACAACCTGAAATCACCTTAAGGCCGTATGATACCATGTCTCCCACAACAGCGCTAGAAAAATACCGTTGCTGTAAATGAAAATCAGAACTTCATGTTGACTTTTAAGAGCTCTAAGGTCAGTAATGATGTCAAATTTTAGGACCGGAAGAGCCTTGAGTTCTGTATTAAGAAACAGAAGCCTAGAGAGATGAAGTGTCTCGTCCAGGATGAGACTCTAGTTCTGAATCAGCGGAGACATTTTTCTTCTTTCACGATGCCTCTCTGAAGTGACTGTTGCGTGTGTTTGAGTTGCTTGCATAATTATATTATCATTTAATATTTTTCCACAGTTGATATTTAAAGTTGATCTTAATTTCCAGAACATTGTTCCTCAAGAATTTTATTATATATTGAAATTGTATTTTACCTGTAATAGTGTTTATGTTCTCAGTAATTTCATGTGGAACAAAGCCATTAGAAGGTATGAATTCCCGTTAGCAGTGGCGGAAGGTTTAGATCAGCTCATAGTCTTCTACATGGCTTAGGTATTATCTGTAGGGAAAAGAAAACTCACATAATTATAAAACATATCACTGGTACTGGCTAAAAATGTTTTCAAAACAACCATTTCTACAATTTTCTAATTTAATTATCAGCATTTAGTCGTGCAGATGTTAAAAACACGGAAGTGTTGCCTGGAAGACATTCTCAGATGCATTTGTGTGGGGTTGGAACGCTGTTGAGCACGTACAGTTTGTGTGATGGAATTTGATGTCTTGTTAATAATTAGAAAGCGATGTGTCTTTGAGGTTGATTTATAGAAAAATTTTTTTGTTGCAATTATAATACTGAGGAAAAGAATGTTAGAATATGCGCTAAGATGTGTTTCTCTCCAATTTGTACTTCTAACACGTATTTTCTTGGTTTTCTTGCTGAAAAACTTAGAAAACCTTACTGTCTGAAACGAGTTCTCAGTCCTCCAAGTCTCCCTCCCTGTCCTCAAAGCAGCAGCACCAGCCAAGCGCCAGCTCAATCCTGGAAAGTCTGTTTCGATCCTTTGCTCCGGGAATGTCTACCTTCCGAGTGCTTTACAACTTAGAAGTAAGAAGCCTCATTTCTTTTCATTTCATTTGGACAGATTCGTTTTTGTTTGCAGATTCGTGCATTTTGATATCAGAGATCAGTAAATAGGTTTCTATATTTATTAGATGATCTGTGAAAAAATTAGTTTTCAATACAAAGTAAAAAACAATACAAATTGAAACATTTTGTTGTTGTTTTTGTTTTTGTTTTTTTTGCCTTTGGAAGATGCTACGGCTTTTTTCACTTTATACCTATGTGTATCGTTATACTCACAAAACAGCATCTGTATAAATAATGAGAAACTATGTGTTTTAAACTGTGCCATCACCTTCCTCTGGAAATTGAGCAAATCTGTCTCACGTCACTTGTTACCCTCAGTCTTCTTGTTACTAAATGCATCCTGACTTTTTAAGAAACAATTGGAGTTTGTTGTCCTAAATGAAGCAACGAGGAGGTGGTCAGGAAATAACTTATTATTTCAAGGTTTTAAAAAAGGAAGTTGGGAAGAATTTAATCAAAAGAAAATTTTTCCACCCTCCTTTCCCCAGAGCGGCTGTAAACTAGTAGATTCAGTTCAGGAAACATGTATTAACGGTTTAATGTCTGCAAGCCATTGTGGTAGCTAATGGGTGATGGCTGAAAAGGCAAGGTGTTTGCTCCAAAGTCTTGAGTGAGGCACATGGGGGGCTGCGTCCTCTGAGCCTCGAAAGTGAAGCGCTAGGAGAGCGGGCAGGTGGAAACAGTCCCGTTCCTGGAGGGCGAGGGCTTAGACCCTCTTGCCGCTTTCAGTCTGGAGAGAATAAAGCCCTGAATGATTCTGCTTTGTCCCAAGTTTTATTTCGTTGCACAGTCTAATTTGGAGTGTGTAATTCTATTCATTCATTTCTCTCCATCACTTGTTGCCCGTTTGTTCCAGCTCTGCTATTTCATATCGGCCTTCAAGTAGTCATTCTTGTAAAAAAATGTGTGGGGTTCAAAAGGAGACAGTATTTAGCAAATGTTTTTAAAAGAAAGTATGTCTTTGTTTAATGTGGACGTTTAAAAATATGTTTAATATTCCAAGGCAGAAAATTGCCCAGAAATTTTTGGCCAGTTTAAGCATATAAATCTTGCAACACCTGCCAGATTCGTCATTTGCCTTTGAGTGACTGTCTCAGAAAAGCGAAGGTATAATCCTTAACACCCACATTTGAGAGCACCTAGGAAAACAGAATGGCGTAACAAGGGGTCTGGCTTGTCACCAGCTCCCTGGATTGCAGCATCTTACCGCCCAAGGACCGTGGGAGTAAAATTCCTCCAGCACAGGTTCAGAGAAATCCTCCGATAGCTTGTCTTTTGCTTTGGTGCAAAACATTTAGAAAACCTAATGCTTTAAAAAGGACTTTTTTTTTTTTTTAACTGACTCCTAAAAGGTTAATTTCCTTGCATTTCAGTCTTTATTGGGTTTGCCTACTAGGTAGCTTCAAAGCAGATGTTCCAAATACCCATTCCTTTGAAGAGCTCTTCCTCCTTGACTGCACTGCCGTCCCTTGAGCATGAGGAGTCCGTGCACATGGCTGTCAGCTCACAGGAAGGATTAGAAAAACACAGGGCTCCCCTTCTCCCTTGCAAGACTCGTCATCAGAGGCTGCAGAGCCTTTGCCCAGAGAGCACGTTCAGAAGACAGCATCTGTAAAAGAGAAATCCCACACTAAAATCTACACACATACGACCCCTGGATTCATAGAAACAGATTCTTCTAGAGTTGAAAAGGATCTTGAATTGTATCTACTTTAAAAATACCTTCGGAGGTGGAGGAGTGGGCGTGCCTGGGTGGCTTCAGCTCAGGTCATGAACTCACGGTCCATGAGCTTGAGCCCCACATCGGGCTCTGTGCCAACAGCTCGGAGCCTAGAGTCTGCTACAGATTCTGTGTCTCCCTCCCTCTGTCCCTTCCCCCTTTACACTCTGTCTCTCAAAAATGAATAAATGTTAAAAAAAAATTTTAAGGCCTTGGGGAAACTGAGGCAGTGGTGTTTTTTTTTTTTAATTTTTAAATCATAACATAAGCAGTTGTTTACTAAGTCTCATGCTATAGTATGATTATTTATTAGAAATAATATCTGCCATGCCAGAATTTTCAGTTAAGCTCTTCTTTAGGTACATGTGTCAGTGTCATAAAAGGGGCATAGATGTAGGAGGGAGTTTGAGGTCACTTAGCCTTTTGGGTCTCAGACTTTACCTGTAAAGTAAAATACATACACCCGCAGGGTGACATTAAGAGAGAATGCATGCCCAGAGCCTCAACTAACTTCTTTTGTTGTAGGTGCTCAGTAAATAGGAGTTTCGGAATCATTATCAGAGAGCTCATCTAGCAGGTTTTTTTAAATATTTATTTTGATAGCATGCGCACCCCTGTGAGTGGGGGAGGGGCAGACAGGGGGAGAGAGAATACCAAGCAGGCCCAACGCCTGCCAGTGCAGAGCCCAACTCGGGGTCAGTCCCATGAACGGTGAGATCATGACCTGAGCTGAAATCTAGAGATGGACGCTTAACTGACTGAGCCACCAGGCACCCCTCATCTAGCATCTTTAATGAATGGACTATTTTATCAGACTTTATATACTTTTTCTAAAACATATCGAGCATATCACAAGGTGTTGTCTGCTCTCATCTTTTTTTTTTTAAGCTTTAGATATTCTATTTCATGCCATAACTGTACATTAAACACGGGCTGAGAATGTACTCCCCCAGACTGCTCTCGTCTTTTTAAAAATTCTTTTTAATGTTTATTTTGAGAGACAGAGTGCGAGTGGAGGAGGGGTAGAGAGAGAGGGAGACACAGAATCCAAAGCAGGCTCCCAGCTCTGCGTTCATCACAGAGCCAATGTGGGGCTCAAACTCATGAGCTGTGAGATCGTGACCTGAGTCGAAGTTGGACACTGAGCCACCCAGGTGCCCCTGTTCTTATCTGAGAGCTTGAGAGCCTGAGACGTCCACATTTGCTGGTTTTATGAAAAGAACACACCAGCTTTCTTCAACAAAACAGATCTCTCTTGCTAACTGAATAGAACGTGGAAAATGTGAATATTTCACTTGCGACACATCAGCCTCTTATGTCTCGGGGAAAGCAGCAGCCCGCAGAACTTAGAGCGACTCCAGTTACCTAATTCTTTTCCTTAGTGAAGGAGTAGTTTCTGCTGGAAATGTCGTGATGATTCATTGTGCTTGTCTTTTTTCAAGGTTCTAAGCTCCAAACTCATGCCAACAGCTGATGATGACATGGCAAGAAACTGTGCGAAGTCCTTCTGTGAGAACTTCCTCAAAGCAGGAGGGTTGAGGTTAGTGTCACCGTGCTGTGACCCGAGTCGCACACAGTGAATGTGGTCATTGTAGAGGGTTTCTCCTGCCAGGCCTTGCTTCTCCCCACCATTATTATGTGAGGCATCCGGAGACGTATAAGAAGCAGGAATGAGGTTCCAGTCCTCGGAACACCTAAATTCATCCTGTGACTGCTGGTTCCACGGAGAGCTGGCAGAAGCACGTCCCCCTCCCTCCGGTGGTGGAGGAAATTCCTGAAGGAGAGGAGGCCGGTCTGTTTCTGCCGGTTCCCACAGCTGCTTCACGCCAGGTGAATTTGATTCTGGGAACATGTGTTGTACCAGGCATTAGTGCCAGGGGTACAAAGATAACTTCAATCTCATTCCTGCCCTTGGGGGTGGTTCATGGTTTAACAAAGAGTAACAGTTATCGTAGGTCCCCAAACAGGCTAATAAAAGTGCTTGGAGGTGGAGGCAGAGGTTACGGGAGACAGTGCTTAAATGGTTCTTTTTTCGTGGGATAATAAGATTGGGAAGTACCTCACAGAAAGTCGCCTTTGAGCTGGGAACTGAACAGTGAGCCGTAGTCCCCTGGGGGCTCGGGAGGGAGGGCACGCTAAGCCGGAGACGACGGGGTGCCCACCGGCGCCAGGGAGCGTGGCCTGCGCTGGGAACCAAGGTCGCCTGGGAAGAGGCTGAAGGAGAGATGTGTGTAAAGCAGGGCCACCCTGAGCAATGTCAACATCAGCTTATCGACCGTGGGAAAACCAGTTTCAGAGCCAGGGATTGCCTGGAACAGTCGCTTTGGCCGCAGTGCGGGTGATGAATAAATAGAAGCGGGAGAGGTGGAGGCAGGGAGAGCCCCGCAGAACTGTGGCAGTGGCCCAGAGAGGAGCAACAGGTTGTAAATGGAGGGCGGTGGTAGCTGACACGCGTAGGGTAACATAGGCGAGCCTTACGACCAGAAGTACAGGAGGAAACTTACAAGTGGCCTGTGATTCCTAGCCTGGGACAGTGACAATGGTGAACATTTAGTCGGTGTGGAGATAAGCGTGGAAGGAGAGACAGAGGGTGCGAGACGTCAAGAGAGATGAACGTGAGTGGGTCAGTGGAAGTGCGCGCTTTGGTCGCAGTGCCCTCGAGGGGAGTGGAGAACGGCTTTGGATACCTGGGGGAGGCAGCAGTGTGAGCAGCATTAGGGCATGAAGTTCAGTGGTGAGTGTGAGGGCAGGAGGTAGAGTCCGACTGCAGGCCGCTGCCTAACGGTGAGCAGAGGAGGGGTGACCGTGACTTTGGAAGGGAAGAACCACTGAGGGAAAAGTTTGCTTTTACCTTGGGGAACCTTCGGTTGCCTTTGCAGGCTGACTAAACAGAAGAAAGACCAAAGGAAAAGGGATTACCCATGGGGCCAAGTTCTCCTGCTCTGGAAAGAAGCGGGCCCGCCATCTCCTTGGGCGAGGAAGCCGTGAAGGCCGGAGGACCATTGCAGGAGCTCCTGTGGGAGGCCTTCGGGGGCGAGTCCGGGCCGGGACCTTAGGCCAGGGTAACGGGGCAGAAAGAACGCCCGGGCATGTAGAAGGCCTACCGCAAGGAGCTTTGTTTGTTTGCAAAATTGCAGAGCTGTTTTCAGTGAACGCTCATTTCTGATTACTCATTCCAATTACAGAGCTCTGGAATAAAGGCATTTTACAGCTGGCTTAGTTTTGTACGTCAGTTAATCTACATGTCAGGCATTGTTACGAGCACCGAGAACAGAGCGGTGAATGAATTAGACAAACTCCACATCCTTGTGAAGCTTACCGCCTAGAGGGGGGAGATAAACAATAAAGAAATAAAGGTAAAAGTGTCTGTCAGGAGGCAAGAAAAGCTGTAGACAAAAGTAAGACAAGGAAGAGGGTATGGACAGCGTTGTGATTTTCAGTAGGGCGATCAGGGAACGTGTCGCTGATGAGGTGATGTTTTACAAACACCTGAAGGAGGTGAAGAAACGAGACTTGGAGATCCTGGGGGAGAGCCGCCCCGAAGTGCAGTCTGTGTGGGCCCCTGCGAGGAATAGACCTGGAGCCTTTGGAGCCCAACCTGCGTGGTTGGGGTAGCACGCAGGAAGCACGATAGGGAGGCCCACGGTCGTAGACTTAGCAGAGGGCAGTTTCTGCAGAATCTCCTGGGTTACCGTGAAGACGCTCCTCTGTGCGGGAAACAAGCCAGGGGAGGGTTTTGTTTTGTGCAAAGCAGTGCCACAATCTCACTTATGTTTTAAAAAAAGATCACTCTGATCTTTTGAGAGTAGATTTTGGGGGTGGAGAGTCAAGAGTAGAGGCAGGAAGCACAGTTAGGAAGCTTTTGTAGTAACAGAGACTGGAGAGGATGTGAAAAACTAGCTTTATCGAGCCCACCAGTTCCAGGTATGTCTTTTAATTGATAGTTCTAGTGATAAGGTGACGCTTAATCAGTGAACTCACACCAGTTAGTGAGGAGGAGACTGTCCAAACACTTTATCTTTTGGCAAAGCAAGGAGTCTAATGCTGAGTGGACCAGGAGGGCTGGAGGTACCACGCGAGATCATTTACTAGAGATATGTATGGTCCGTGTGTATGGAAGAACCTTGTAGAAGTTTTAAGTAGTTGGTAACATTTACATGAGCAGTTCAATTACTTAGAGAAAATTTCCTCTGAAAGAAAGAAGCCTTTATTATTTAGCATTCTGCCCTTTTCGTTTCAGTTTGGTCGTAAACGTCATGCAGAGAGACTCCATCCCCTCGGAAGTAGACTACGAAACAAGGCAGGGAGTCTATTCCATCTGCCTGCAGCTTGCCAGGTATGCAGACATGCCCTATTAGCCTCCCGAGGGAGTGATGCCTTGCTTCACGTCTCTTCCCACGTCCTGTCGTTGTGAAGAGTTATGAAATGACCTCGAATAAATGTAGCCTTCTGTTTCCTTTGAAGATTCTTACTTGTTGGGCAAACAATGCCCACCTTGTTAGACGAAGACCTCACCAAAGACGGCATAGAAGCGCTTTCTTCTCGCCCGTTCCGCAATGTTAGCCGGCAGACAAGCAGGCAGATGTCCCTGTGTGGAACCCCAGAGAAGTCATCGTACCGGCAGCTGTCTGTGTCCGACCGGTCTTCCATTAGGGTCGAGGAGATCATCCCTGCTGCACGAGTTGCAATACAAGTAAGTGATCTGTGCGGTCAACAAATGTGAAGTCTTTCCTCCCTGATGGCACTGGTCACGGGTAAAGTTAGTGACAGGAACGTGGCCTTCCAGGGAGCAAGAAAGGGACCACTCGTGCAGAAATGACTGTGGTCCAAGGCGGGAACTATCAAGGGTTGCAGGAGCACTACAGGGGCAGAAGAGGAGTGATCGCCTTCAACCATGGCTGGCATGGATGACTGTACATGGGAGGCGGCGTGGGTGCCAGGCCTCAAAGATAGGAGAGGTCACAGATAGAGAAGCGCGGAGAATTGTTTCTGCACGAGGGCAGGTGTGAGCAAAACTAGAGAGGACAGAGCCTGTAGGGAAGGCCACGAGGTCATTCACAAAGCATTCGTACAGTGTGTGGAAGAGGACAGTGGCGGGTGTCTGAAAGCCTGAGTGTGGAGATCAGTCTCTGTGCGACAGGTAGCAGAGAGATACTCATAGTCTTTGAACAGTACGGAAGCACGAAAAAGGCTGTCCTGGATGATCTTGGAGGAAAACGAGTCTCACGAGACTGAGACCAGTGAGAAGGTTATGGAGGCCAGTAGAATGAACATGTTCAAGTACGACCTTTTCTCATAACTCTTTCCATACTTCTTCAGACGATGGAAGTAGGTGACTTCACATCTACTGTGGCTTGTTTCATGAGGTTGTCCTGGGCCGCAGCTGCAGGACGACTGGATCTCGTTGGGAGTAGCCAACCAATTAAAGAAAGCAATTCTCTGTTTCCTGCCGGAATTCGAAACAGACTCAGCAGCTCAGGTACTGATTTAAAAGGGTAGAGTGATGAGATCGTTGGGCAGGAAATAAGCTGTCAGAGGCACCTATACACAGTCTTGTTCAGGGTCACAAGAAGAAAGCCTTTTCTCTTGCTTTTGAACACGAGTAAAAACCCATGATGCTGTGCACTTAAGATTTGTGCACGTTGCTGAACATACGCTGTAACTTCCTCTAAGAAAACAATTGTTGCTAAGCACAGAAGAAGTGGGGAAACCAGATCAAGCAGAGAGCCCGCCGAGGGTCGTAAAGGTGCCATGAGGCTAATAATGGTGGTTCTGATAAAAATTCCTCTATAATTCCTACTGGAAAAGTCATTTTCTTGATTTGGCTGTTTTCTGCTACACTTTTATAAATAGTTTCCTTTCTCAGCTTCATTTGATTTTCCTTTTCAGTGTGTGTGTGTGTGTGTGTGTGTGTGTGTATACACACCTCAATATTAAAAAAAGTTTTAAAAACGTACGACATTCTCACAGGGACGTGCAGAAATGTTAAATGTACACGCTTTTAGGATTTTTCCGTATGGATCACCCACTAGATGAAGATGAGGAACGTTTCTAACATCCCAGCAAGAGTCTCTCATGCCTTCCAAACTGCACCGTTCTCCCTTCTGTCACCTCAAATTAGTTTTGCCTTGTGAGTGCATTTTGAGTACCTCCGAATGGTTTGTAAAGCAGTCAGGGTCAAATAAAGCGATTAGGTGTCTCCTGTTTCCTAGACCACAATGTCAGAAAGTCTTTCTGTGCCCTCTAATTCCCCCTGAGGATCCTGGAGCGCGTTAAAAGGATGTTAGACCATGAGGGCCCTGGGGATCCACAGTAACCTCCTGCTTGCCTGTTCCCAGGAAGCAATTGCAGCTCTGGGAGCGAAGGGGACCCGGCGGCCTTGCACGCAGGCATCTGCGTGCGACAACAGTCTGTGTCCACCAAAGACTCACTGATCGCTGGGGAGGCGCTCTCTCTTCTTGTCACGTGCCTGCAGCTTCGGAGCCAGCAGCTGGGTACGCAGGAGGCGGTCACCATTCATCCTTATAGGGAAAGGCCTTCATAGACCAGGTCATACCGACAGAAATGGAAAAGGGGGGAAACAAGTAAGAATAGTGCTTAGAGTAGTTAAATCCTGAATAAGTATTTATTGAGCACCTTCTGCAAGCAGGGTTTTACAGTAGCTATTAGAAGGGCAGTATGTCTGCCCCCCAGGAGCTTACCATCTAGTTGAGGAATCAAGACAACCCACATTTGTAGCCCATGAACCATAGAACTAGTTACACATCAGTCTCTAAAACAATGATGACTCTAGTAGTCAAAGTTATGAAACTTCAGATTTGCCCTTTTATCTTCCTTTGTGGGCTTTGGCAGACTGGGGCTGATCACGCTCTAGCATTGGAACGCCGCAGGGCTCGGCCCTCGCTGCACTGTCCTCTGTCTGTGCCTCTTCTCCTCACCGTGTCAGCCTCCACCCAGCCCAGAATTCCCTCTAGACGCAGATCGCGTCTGAACTGGGAACTCTGGCCCGGACCACTGCCCCAGCCCCTCCACTGGGCCCTCATGTAGACTTCCCAGTCCTGGCGGTTCCACAGCCAAAATGCTCACACACGTTTCCCAGCCTAATTCATGGTGGTGTCACGCTTCTAGTTTCTGTGGCCAGAAACCTGGCAGTTGTCCTTGATTCCTCTTTCACACCCACTTCCAATCTGTCAGCACATCCTCCTTCCAGCCATGTCTAGATCCTACCCTCTGGTACCACGGCCACTGTCACAACCCTCTGACCCAGCATCACCCCGTACTTGGATTGTAGCAGTAGCACCTGCACGGATCTCCTAGCTTCTACCCCTGCAGTTTACTCCCCACACAGTACCCAGGGCAGACCTTCCACCCTGTAAGTCACATTGAATCATTCCTCTCTTGAATACCTGGCAGCGGCTTCTCGGTTCACACTGAGTAAAAGCCAGATCTTTACTAAGGCCTTCAAGGCTGACAGAGTCCACCCTTTGATGCCTCTGTGCCATCACTGTCGACTGCTCTCCCCCCACTCCCTGTGCTTCGGCCACCCTGGCATCCTGGCTGTTCCCCAGCACTCCAGGCACATTCCTGCTTCAGGACCCTGGCACCAGCTGTTCGCTCATCCTGCTGCATTCTTCCTGCATCTTTCTCACATGGCTCTCTCTTCTCATTTCCCACAAGTGTGCGTAACCTCACGTTCTTGGTGACATGTTCTCTGACCACCTATTTAAAGAAGCCACACCCCTCCCCTCATCCCAGCACTACCTAACCCCCTTCCCTTATTTCTTCTCTATCACTTACTATTTTATAGCACAGAATATTATTTATTTTCTTAATCATGTTTATTGTCATCATGCCCTCCCCAACTGGACTATCAGACTTTTGTCCGTTTTGTTCCCTACTGAATCTCTCCCACCCAGACACTGCCCAGTGTGTAGTAGGCCCTCAATAAATATTTATTCAGCGATGAAGTCTTAGCAGTTCCACTTTTAAAAATTGTACCAACCTGTAGGGGTCCTATTCTTCCCTGCTGTTACTGGTTCAGACAGCCTGTTCTGTAGAACCGATCACTACGCGTTTAGTAGACTATCCAACCTCCTAAGATACTCAGGGTAAATCTAGAAAATGTTAGACATTTATAGAATGGTAATTAGTGTCCAAAGTTGTTAATTTGAACAAGAATGCTTTTGAAGACAGATACAAGAAGTGTAAGTCATTATGAAATCCTTCTGGACAAATACCACGATCACAGGTCAGTTTTCCTATAGTTATTTTAGTGATATTTTCTAAACGAAATGAAAGAACTACAACTTCTCATTAAGCTTTTTAATAATTTGTAATTTTATCGTAGGGTACATTTTATAGTTAGAGGTTTTGATAGCTTATCAAGGCAAGATATATTTATGACTGTTGTGTACGAGACCCTGCGCTAAAGTGTGCAGGTACAGACATGACCAAGAGGCTATCGGAGAAGAAACTCAGATGTGGAGTTATAGGACTCCTGAGTTCGATTCCAAGTAGAAGAGATGAAATTCTTTTATAGTTAAGCTTAAATTATTCAAAATTATTGAAATCTTGAAAATGCATTTCCTGACTTATTTCGCACCCCCGATTCTCTTTATTCTTACCATTAGCATCTTTCTATAACTTGCCCTGTGTTGCCGATTTTATCATCGATATTCTGCTTGGATCACCAAGTGCTGAGGTAAGGATGTTTACATTACATAAAGAATGCCTTTGGTCCTGCCCTACCGAGGGGCCTTGGGAGACCTGTGAGACTGCGTGGAGTCCAGAGGGATGGCATTTAGTCCCTCAGGGGGTCCTCCAGAAGGGGCATGGACCACTCCGAGAGCAGAGTAAGCATTTGGACTCTCTGCCCTCTGTTCTATTCCACACTCCCCTGGAATTTCAGAGACTAGCGCTGAGGCTAAGTCGTGTGTGTTTGTAATAAAGCCGACCAGCCAAGTTGAGTGTCCTCAGCTGGCATTCAGTGTCACCATGCTGGTCGACATCATGATAGACCAGCTGCAAGCCATGAACTTTCACTAGATTTTATGATTTTGATGTTCTTATGTGACCTTGAAAATTCCCTTGGAAACACTTGAAGAGTTTTTCTTGTTTTCATTTTTATTAAATTATAAAACTATTGATTAGAAGTGGAGAGGAGAAGAATTTGGGAAATCCATTCTCACGCTGCACTTGTTATTAATCAGCCCTAGTTAATTCAGTGTAAACTTCACCATTAGTGATTAAAGTGTTCATACCCTTATAGTATCCCTCCGATTGTGGACCTTGGAAGAAGATCCTTTTTTAAGCAGTCTCTAAGTGTCAATTGACATACGTCCTTTGCTGCTAATGCTGTAATTTCAGATTCGCCGCGCTGCCTGTGATCAGCTGTACACTCTTAGTCAGACAGATACTTCAGCTCATCCAGATGTCCAGAAGCCAAACCAGTTTCTCCTGGGTGTGATTCTCACAGCCCAGCTACCTCTCTGGTCCCCAACTAGTATAATGAGAGGAGTGAATCAGAGGTATGTAATCAAGATGAAGAAGCTCCCGTCACACAGAAAGAGAATAACAATTTGCATGCTTCCCCCTGAAGTCCACAGTGCATTACCGAGATGACAAAAGATTTCTCCTTTCCTCTTGTACTGTTTGGTACCCTGAGAAAGGGCATTTCAGTTCTTACTATCCCCATTCAGGACAGGAGAATCAGAAGAAACAATACCAGGCTTTCAGTCACTTCTCACCTCCACCCCAGCTGGTCCACTACCCCCAAGAGAAAGAGGAGCTTTCTTTCTAGAACTGGTCCGTGAGAGGCTGAAATTTTTGGGGCCCGATCACTTTATGAAGGTCAGATGGCTCGTGTCCTTGCATACACCCCTCTCTCTGATCAGCATACTTCCTGACTCCATGTCCAGAGGAAGCTGAGGCATCTTTCTGGCTTCCTTCCTTGGTTTTACACGAGCCCAGGCACAGAGGGAAGCTGTGGTCCAGGCCGATAGGGCGGCTTGAGCAAGTCCCTTCTGCCTGCCCCGCTGTCCCTCAGTGGGCCAGCCTGTGTGCAGGGCTGCCCAGGCCAGAATGGGAGGTGACTCCACTTCCTCCAGCTGAGCTTCACCAGAGGACCCTTGCCATGGGGCTCATGAGGTGCCACTGAGATGTGTGAAATGGGTGTCCACTTGACTTGTGCACCTGCTGTACAAATTAGAGCCTGCAAGGGAAGGAATGTTAGAGCTACTCCAAACCCCTAAGTGTGGATAAGTACCCAGACCCCTAAGTTTGGATCCAAACTTGGTCTTGGGAAGCATATAGTTCAGTAGCATTAAGTATATTCTCGTTATTGTGAACCGTCTCCACCACCCACTTCTAGAACTTTTTCCTCATCCTCTAAACTAAAACCCTTTCCCCATTAAGAAATCCGCTAAATGAAAGACTGATAAACTTGACTCCATAAAAACTAATATACTCTGTGTGGGAAACTAATACCATACATCCGAAAGTCAGTTGACAGACTGGCTGAATAGATTTGTAACATGATAGACAAGAAGCTAATTTTCATAATGTAAGATAAAATAAGCTGTTAGAAATCACTAACAAATGACCAAAATTGACCTAAATTGAAAAATGGGCAAAGGACATGAAGAGACTCTTCCAAAACAAACATAGGTGAGTTGTTTTTTTAATAATTTTTAGATTTGCTAGAATTTTTTTTTTACAGCAGCAAAATATACGTACAATTGATCATTTTACTGATTTTTAGGTCTATAATTCAGTGACATTAAGTCCACACACATTGTTGTGCAACTTGTCCCCACTGTCCATTCCCAGAACTTTCTCATTGCCCCAGACCCACTGAGCAGTAACTCCGCGTTCACTCCCCTTCCTTCATTCTCCTGTTCCCAAGGTTCATCCGTGTCATCGCATGTGGTACGGTGTCATTTCTAACTGTGAAAACTACTTCCTTTATCTGTTCTTTCTTTCGTTGCCTGTGCCTTTGGCATCGTATTCAAGAAATCTTTGTCAAATCCACTGTCACAAAGTTTTCCCTCTAGGTTTTCTTCTAAGGTTTTTAGTTTCACTCTTACACTTAACCTGTTTGACCCATTCGAGCTGAATTCTGTGTGTTATGTAAGGTGTCCGACTTCATTCTTTTCCATCTGGATAATCCAGTTGTCACAGCACCTTTTCCTCCATTGAATGGTTTTGACAGCTGGCTTGCTGACTGATTGGCTCTTCATTCCTCTTCCACTGATCTGTGCGTGTCCTCATGCCAGTGCCACGTGGCCTCGCTGCTGTGGCATCGCCCCAGTCTTCCAGCGCCGTTTGTCCTGTTCGCCGTACGGGCCTTTCATTTCCTTTCTTAAACAGATGTCTAAGTACTTTACTGTTATTGACGCTTTTGTAAATGGAATTGTTTTCTTTTAGTATTCTTCCTTGTTGGTGTATGGAAGCAGAACTGATTTTCGTGTCCTGATTTTGTATCTTGCTGCGTTCACTGATAACCTCTGAATCTTTTTGTGTGGACTCTGGGGTTTCCCACATGTAGGATAGTGTCATCTGCAAACAGATCATTGTACTTCTGTGTAAGGCATTTTTTAAGAAGTAAGCTATTGCACTTGTACTTTTTGTTAAGACTCAGATTATTTAATATGACTTAAATTTAAGAGTTTGATTTGATAAGAAATTTCTCAAAACTCAGGAAAGAAAGCAGTGGATGAGTTTTTAACATACATTCTCAAAGAATCTCTTGGATGTAGAGCATTTAACTTCACATAAAACTGAATCTTTAGTTACATGTTTTTACAATTTGAAATGGTGTTTCACAACTTACTCTAATCCCCACCCCATGTTTGGTACATACTTTCTTTAACACTGGTGACGAGAACAGCTATTTCCGTGGTCTATGTGCCGTGCAGCGTGCCAAGTTCGTTGCATGTATTTATCCTGTAGTCCTCACAATGGACAAATGAGTTTGACAGTTTTATTGTCTCTTTAATAATTATAATTCTTGGTTCATTATCTCTTCTCATCCTTAGTGCATTCTTGGGCCTTGTGTGTGTGTGTGTGTGTGTGTATTTGTGTTTCTAACACTCTAACAAGCACGTTAGAAATTAGAAACCAAACAGATTGTCCCTAGACGCCCAACTGTACGTGGTGAAGCCAGGATTTGAACCAGGGTCACCTGACTTTACAACCTGTTTTCTTCACTGAGATAATTGCGGAAAAGCGTCACTGACCATCCTAGATAAAAGAATTTACCTATCTCTATTTTTTTTTATACTCCACTCGGTTTTTCTTCTTAGTATCACCTTTTGACATAAGTACTTTTTAATTTGCTCTCTGTCTCTTTTCTTCTTCATCAGCCCTTAGAACAGTTGCAAGCACATAGTAGGTGCCTAGTCAGTATTGGTTGCTGTTTAAATGAATGAGTGTAATCTGTACATTTTGTATGCAGTCATTTTGTATATTATTACAAAGTGTGAGACTAAGTAAGTTCCCTCTTTCTACACTATAATTTGTATAGTGTATCTGTATCAGCAAAGTATGAGCGTGTTTTTTGCTAAGATATTGAAGTTGAATTAATGTAAAAGCAGTTATTTCATGCTTAGGAAAATTCCCTTTCATACACGGAAGATGCTTTTTATTTCAAAATCTGACATTTTTTAATACTTGAAATCTTATCTGTTTTTTAGACTCTTATCTCAGTGTATGGAGTATTTTGATCTAAGGTGCCAATTATTAGATGATCTGACAAGTAAGTAAATGTCTAACTTCGATTCAGGTAGGGGGAGGGGAGAGGGATGAGTAGAAAAGAAAGCCAAATGGACGTTTCTAAATCTGACTTAATGTGTCTTAGATATAAATGAGATTATAATTACTGTTTGAAGTCGAATTTTATTTTCTTGAAAATAGCATGCAAACCCATGTACCAGCCCTCTCTTCTCCAGTTACGTACCTAACTGTTAAAAATTGGCAAAGACACATGTTTTAATTACACTGACACAGAACTGTTAGGAAGGGTCTCTCTAGTGTGGTGAATTCGGACCATTTTAAAAGTTGATGATTGAAGGAAGGAGGGATTCTCTGGATAATAGAAATGAGGTATTAGAAGTCAGTTAATTATTTTGTGTTTGGTGATTGAAATGTTAGAAGTTTTAGCATTAGAGCATTTGGATTTTGATCATCTGTACTTTTAAAAAATGTGAACGTATGTTGGAGTGCCGTGTAAACTTTAGTTCAAATCAAGAGTCTGTTAGTTTATTTTCCACTCTTTACATAAAAGATTTGCCTCATCTTCCAAGAAATAAGTAAAATAAAAATCAAGATGAACAAAAGTACTCATTGGAAATACTAACTGGAGAAGACGGTTGGTGCCAGGCCGTTAAACAGATCTACCTTGCGTGGATGCTGGCTGTAAACCTCCACCCAGTCGGAATTTGGTTGTGAGGTTGCCTGCGGGGGGAGGGGGCAGGGGGGCAGAGGTAAAAAAGGAAGAAAACAGAGTGGCTTCTCAAAAGAAACATCTTTGTGCCGGCACTTAAATCTGCAGAGGTCCTCGTGTACCGGACACACGAGGACGTAGTAACTTGTTCGCCTCGGGAAATTCCTGAATTGGTTTCCCAAGTGCCTCTCGAAAGCGGGGGCACAGTGCTCTGAGCAGTACAGGGAAACGGTAGTGTTGGAGCCTGAGATAGTGTCGTCTCAGTGTATATCTCGATGTGGGGATCAGACCTGGTGTACGTGTCATCCAGAGGAGCGGGTGGGTGACAGGTCCGTCACACAGCCGGGCTGAATGCCACGCTCTTCTGCCAGGCCTCTGGCAAGGCTTGCTGTGCGGGTCGGACCTGGTGAGGGTGGGCGTTCTGCTCTGCTCCCGGAGGGCTGGCGTCAGGAGTTGGCTGTGTGCGTTATGCGTACGGCAGCAGAAGGCATGAGCAAGTTGTTACCGTAGGCCTTCGTGTGTCGTCGAGTGACTGAGGAGGGATCCGGCATTCCTTACTGGGAGGTTGAGGGCAGGGTGGGAGTGTGTCTGGAAACCAGCAGTGTTTGCCGCGTGGGAAGTATGTTGTGTATGCCGGTGCCGGTGCTAGGCACTTCATGCCTGGCACCCTGCAGTGTGGGTGCTGGCCTGCTTTTGTAAATAAGTGGACTCCTATCCAGTCCTGGTTCCGCTCTGACTGACCCTAACGTATTCCTTTTGACGTGGTGGTGTGGGACCCTACCACTGGCGGCTGTAGTGCAGTGGAAGGAGAGCACGGTCCCTCTCCTTCCAGCAGGCCCGACTTCCAGGATGGAACCTTGCTTGCATCCTTGCCTAGAAGGACGGGAGATAACTTACCACAGAGGAGCAGGGTGGTTCGCGAGCTTGGGCACACTGCTTGGAAACCTGCGTCCTGCTGCTGTGCTGCGGACCTCCGCCTCCTTTGCGGGACCCCCTTGGCCTAGGTGATGCTGGGGGAGCCTAGATGGCTCTCCTCACACCCTCCACCCCTGCCTTCTCTAGACAGGTGTGCTCCTGGGGGACACCTGCTGACACCCCCGGACCAGGAGATTCTTCGGAGCAAGATTAGCCCCTTCATCTTCTGTCCCCAGCATATGGCCCTGTGATGTGCACAGAGGGGCCCCCGATATGTGTCTGGCTTAGGACTGAGACAGAGGTGGGGAAGGAGGGAGGCTGCAGGGCCGCCTCAGTGCTGCCTTCTCAGATCAGCACAGTGCAAGCTTGGGACTTGACTTGGCCTGCTTTAATTCAGGATTTGGACTCCATGAAGGGAAATCCTCTTTTCTTTGAAATGGACTTGTGTTTTTGTTTTTTCCTTCTTAGCTTCAGAAATGGAGCAGTTAAGAATCAGCCCAGCTACCATGCTCGAAGATGAGATTACTTGGCTGGATAACTTTGAACCTAATCGCACGGCTGAATGCGAGACGAGTGAAGCAGACAATATCTTACTAGCAGGACACCTGCGGCTCATTAAAACCCTTCTCTCACTCTGCGGGTCAGAGAAGGAAATGCTGGGTAATTACTGCTTCATCTTACCTGTGACAGAGTACCTCGCTTCTCCGTTCTTGCTGTGGTAGTGCTCATAATTAGGAAAACAGGATCAGTGCTCGGTGCTCTGTAAAAAATTGACCCTCCAGGTAATACGAGATTGTCTGGAACTTCAGTGGCTAACAGACTTAAGGTGTATTCTGCCCGTGTCATTAAACCCTATAGAGAAGTTGATAGCGTTCAAAACAGTTGGTTCACCTAACTTTTTCATACCAAGTAAAACTTACAGCTCAAAGTAGGGTTTTCTCTTCTTGCTGTTATGTACTTTATGAAATATTACCTATTATAGATTTTACTTCTTTTAAGAGTTTTCTCATCTGGGAGGCCAGCCCCTAACTACTACCCCCTGCTGTGTGGGGTACATGTATAATTCATAAGGGCATATTCAGCATTAGAAGGTGTATTCAGAAAACAAGTCAAAACATTAATTATCGCACGAAGTGAGCCCTCTAAAAATCTTCTTGGCTACTGGGGATACATAGAAAAGAGTGATTCTAACCCAGGATCAGAAGGGCACATCACTTTACCTAAGGAAGGCAAGATTTTAAAAGTTTCAGAAGCCCTCCTGTGGACTCCCCTCTGCCCAGAGTAAGAATGAATTGTCCACTCAGCCCACTCTGCCTCGTGTTCTTGGCATTTGTGTTTCCAAAGTGAAAGCACTACTTCTTTCACGCCATTGTCAGCTCATAAAGGAAGGTACCCTCCCTGTCTCTCTTTGTTCCCTGTCCCCTGACTCTCCCACCCGCCCCCACCCCTCTGCCTCTCAGAGCTTTGTCATGTGTTATAAGTGCTCAAAAAATAAGCATCGAATCGCATTGAACGCCCTGCCATTGGGTGGCGTTGGGTGCCTTTGCTGCTCTGATATGAAAGTACAAAGACAGAATCTTTGAATTAAAATGTGTCCATCCTCAACATGAATATTATGCTCTATTCCAGGTTCATCACTCATTAAACCATTGTTAGATGACTTCCTTTTCCGAGCTTCTAGAATTATTTTAAATAGTCATTCTCCAGCTGGCAGTGCCGCCATCAGTCAACAGGACTTTCATCCAAAGTATGGAAAATGCACGTTGTGTTCAGTTTTGGTAAAAATTCTAATTCGAAACTTTAGTCCAAAAAGCGTTTCTTAATTTGGAGTTTGTCTTCCATCTCGTGAGTGTGTGTGGTTATAAGCTATTATCCACTGTTATATGAAGAGCTGCATGTAAAGGGGCTGAGGATAAAGCCTGCCTGGCACGTAGTAAGTGCGGTGCAAGTGTGCTGGTGGCATTATTATCATCAAATAGCAAGAATAAGTAGTAAGTAATGTGCTTAATTTGGTCAGTAAGCATCAAATCCAAAGTTAAGCAGGCTCCGAATCTCGAGTTTCTCCTAGGAGTAAAGTATAGGTGCTTTTAGTGCATGAACCTTGTGATTTGCTGGGTCTTGCCTGTGCCCTGATCATTAAAACTGCTAGTGATTTATTGTGGTAATTTGAGAATCAAGCACTGCCTTGGTGTTTATGGGTTGAGATTTGCAAGGTCTTTTTGTCATGCTGACCTGCTTGGTGTTCTTGGAAGATGGGAGGAGGCGGCTCCCTGCTGCCATCTTGCCTGTTCCAAACCCAACTCCCTTTGTTCTGAAAACCAGATCTAACTGAATAATGCTGAAGACACTGGGGATGTGGTATGTAACCAACGGGAAAAACTCCCCTATAATTTCAGTGGTTATTGAAATGGGCAAGACGTAAGAAGCAATATTTCCTGGAATCTCAAGCGATACCTTACCACGTAGGAGTACTTCTCAACATGGCTTTGCTTATTAGCGAAATCTGTTTCGGGCAGTCAGCCTTCATAGAACCCTTGGGCTGCCTCCCAGGCTGTGGCTCCCACCTCACCCCCGCCCCAGTCTTGTTCTGGAAGATCTGGCACAGGCTCTGTGGGAGTCTTTTATTAAAGTAGTAGAAATACATGTGTATTTCAGTTTTCAGTGAGTGGAGAAAATAAATCTGTAGCAGTTTTATTGAGATTTTTATTCATGAATCCTTCTTACATGTATTAAAAGTAATACCTCCATCAGCAAGGAGTTGGGTTTTCGATCAGACACGGTGTCTTCATTAGAAAAGGCAGTGTTTTGTGTCATGCCTTCCTGTGTACTGAGTCATGCTCACCTGCCACAGTGACTGCCAACTGTTTCCCACCTGAACCCTGATGCCAGAAAGAGCTTTAAAATACACAGAAGTGTTTTCACAAGTAACATTTATTCTTAGTAACACCCACGAAAGAATTCCATACTGCAGAGCCTGTGTGTATGGTACCTCCTGTTCATTCATTACCTGTCCTTTGTGACCCAAAAGTCCAAGTAAGAAGTGAAGGACAGTGCCAGCTGCTGGCCATTGTCCTCAGGGCCTGACGCAGTGCTGGTCTTCGAGCCCTACAGCCCCTCATGAGCACGTCTCCCACACTGCACTCCATACAGGTTTCTCTCGGAGGCTCAAGGTCCTCTTTTCTGTGTATCCTTCCTAACCGGTGATCTCCTCAGTAACGTAAGGTTGGCATAGGTGACAGTGAGAAATTACTGTCCACCCCCAAAGTGATTTCTTCTAAAGGTGAGCGCCGTCAGAAGCCTTTGGTTTGCTGCAGACTGTCTGCTAGTTACCTTTTATTGTCGTTTTAAACAAACTAATTTGGCAAACCACTTATTTCTGTCTCCATTGACTCAGCAAGATGAAGTTGATTAGTGCCAGGCACATATAAAAAACATTTATGGGCATCTATTCTGATTCATACAGCTTTCTTTTTCTGCCATTTAGATATTTGGATTTCAGGATAATATCTACAAAAACCGTACTTGCCACCTATTTTGAGAGACCGTTATTTTCATGGTTTCTTTGGTGACATGTTCAGACTGTTTATCCTCCATTTTTGCTGATCCAGACCTTAGATAAAAATACTCTGGACTCAAAAGTGAGGTATTTCGCCACTTTATCAGGCCAAGAAGGCATGTGGCCCTTAACCAAAATCATTCCTCCTGTATCGTGGCCTCTTCCTTTAAGTACACCCTTCCTGCTGGATTCCTGGAGCTCTACATCAGACCCCATTCACTCTGAGGAATTGCGGCTCTGATACTTTCATTTCAAATGTTGATTTAGTTTAATGACCAACTTAAGTCGATCATTCACTGTTGGAACTGACTTGCATCTTTTGTTTTTAGGTGTAGCACAGTGAACAGCCGACTGGCAGCTTATGAGGTGCTTGTGATGCTGGCCGATAGCTCGCCTGCAAATCTTCAGATCATCACAAAAGAACTGCTGTCTATGCATCATCAACCGGACCCTGCTCTCACCAAGGAGTTTGATGTAAGTTCCCTAGACCTTGATACACCTAACTTTTTTTTAGGGTGATCAGTTAAATGTATAACTTGAAAGTCTATGTTTGCATTATCCTAATCACAAAGAAAGTCAGTGTTATCTTTTTGCTTATCTTGTTCACATACTCTAACCAACTATATTCTACTAAATTACTCTTTTACCATCATAATACTCTGTTACTCATCAGTACCCTTTCTGCTAATTAAAGAGAAGACATTTTCAAGTCCGTTGATAAACATTCTCAGTAAGAAGTAGCATTTCAGTAAAACATTAAAAATTAAAAAAAAAAAAAAGAAGAAGAAGTAGCATTTCAGCGTGTGTTTTGAATAACTGCATGGCACAGTGTCAGGCCCAGGCCCCGGAGACACAGGCTCAGACATGGACTCCGTCACAGTACAGTCTACCTTTATTTAAATTTAACCAAGATTTATGGAGTTTACTATGCACTAATAGGTGTGTCCAACTTTTGGAGCTCAGAAATGCGGGTAGGATTCCAGCCCTCAAGAATGTCAGTGTAGGGGCGCCTGGGTGGCTCAGTCTGTTAAGCGTCTGACTTTGGTTCAGGTCATGATGTCACGGTTCGTGGATTTGAGCCCCACGTTGGGCTCTGTGCTGACAGCCAGCTCAGAGCCTGGAGCCTGCTTCAGATTCTGTATCTCCCTCTCTCTCTGACCCTCCCCTGCTCACACTGTCTCTCTCTGTTTCTCAGAAATAAATAAAACATTAAAAAATAAATTTTAAAAAATGTCAGTGGATAGTGGAAGAGGCAGACCCACAGGCAGATCATTTCAGTATAATGCGATAAATTACAAGATACAGGTCTAGTCCTGGATGCTCTACTAATGGAGGAACACTTCACCACCAGAGGGCAGTATCTCAGAAGGCGTCTTAGAAAGGATGAAGTTGGAAAGAGAACTCTAGTGCCTCACAAGCTGGCTGGAAGGGGACTCCAGCAATGGGAAGGACATAGGCAAAGCTGTGGAGCCATATGGCAGCTTAGGATACATCGGGAACTGCAGGAGGGGAGCGCAGCACAGGCGCACTCGAGCACCAGCCCAGGAACCAGAGGACACTTTTGCCTTCTCCATGGGCATCGTAGAGTGAGGCTTGTCCCTTCAGACACCTGAGCTGAATCCGATGCAGCACACAGGTTGGGCAGGGAAGGAAGGTGATAGCACTTGCAAAATGAAACATCAGCGTGTAAATTGGAAACTGTTTTGGTATCAAAACATTTAGTCTATAACGTACGCTCTGGTTTAACGTTATTTATATGATAGATTTAAATGGAAATGTTACTTTTTTCATAAGTCATCAATTATGTCAGCATAATGAAGAATGCATTTGTCTCTTATAAATACTTATTTTTTTAGCACTCTTGTGAATGAGTTTTTGTTTTGTAACTTTTTAAAAATCTGTGCTCTGGACTCCAAATAAATTGCCACGTTGATTAGATCTTAGAAATCACTCTGCTCTAAGTGTATGTCAAATGTAAGTGGAAAATATATACTATTTAGCAACTCCTTGAGGTCTAAAAGGCCTACAGGTCTTTGTGGGTTATAATATGGATATAGGTGCATGATACATGCAGATCAGGTGGGTGATTCTGGGCATGACGTTAGAACCAAGATTCTGCTGACATAGCATTTCAACGTGTGTCGTTACACTATCCTTTTCTGCTTTGAGAAGTGCCATGTTCAGCTTTATCCAGGAGGCCTTTTCTAGATTGTTTCTAACCAGAAAAGCATTATAATGGGATCTGTGTTAGGAAAAAACATCTTTAAGTGAAATGCTAGAGTATTTACCTGTTCATTTAATCATATGCTTATTAGCTGTTGCTCGGTAGAAGAATGATACTTTCTTAGAAAGGAAAGGAAGGAATAATGAGGCTTCCTTGACCATCCAGACTGGTCAGGATTCTCCAGAAGAAACACTGCATAGAACCCTATTCCTTTTTGCGGGGTGCTCCTTCAGTTTGTAAGCAGGTCTGTTTCCGTGACTTCTGTCTCTGTATCCTGCTAGGCTGTGAGCTCCTCGAGCTGTTAACCCTGGCACAGTGCTGGCACATAGTAGGTTCTTAATAAATATTTCTTGAATGATATTCAAGTGACAGAATGCATGACTCCTAGATGGACAAACATAACATGTTAGGTGCTTTATGAACGGAAAAGGAACACTGAGGCAGTAGTAGTACTAGCATCTGCAGAGGTACATCGAGAACACAGGCTTTGTTGGCATGATTCATACCCCACTGGGTGGATAAATCTGTGGGTATATCTCCTTTCCCTCTCAGGCATCTCAGATAGCCATGGTGGAAGTGGGCTGGCGACAAATAACACTGATTCTCTCTCTGCTGTTTGTACTCCTCCCTCTTCTAGTACCTTCCGCCCGTGGATAGCAGGTCCAGTTCAGGGTTTGTGGGGCTGAGGAACGGCGGCGCTACGTGCTACATGAACGCGGTCTTTCAGCAGCTGTATATGCAGCCTGGTCTCCCTGAGGTGATTGCCTTCTTCTTTCATGTTTGGTATGATAGGTAAAAAGTACAGTGCCTGGAAACAGTCCCATATTCATATAGGGGTTAGGAGCGCTGACCACCGCCATGCAGTCAAAAATATAGCTTATGTGTTGCATTTTGAGTTTGCTAAATCTAGACATGACTAGGGATCCTTTAGTCCCTTCTGAAACCTCTGTACATCTGAACACTTGTTCACAGTCACATGTTTTTATACATCCGCGAGGGAGTATCCTGCCTTCTTGACAGCTTCGACTTGACCACGTGGGGTTTTTGAACTAAGTTATTGTCAAATTCTGTTCCATAAAATTACTAATGTTTTTATGATTTTAGAAAAATTTAGGGTCTGTCGTCAGTGTTTTACAATAGTTTAGTTGACCCTTGAACAACATACAGGGGTCAGGAGTGCTGACCACCCCCCTCATGCAAAACTTCCCCATGTAACTTTTGACTCCCTGCTGATATTAACTACTAATATTTTACTGTTGATTTGGGCAGTTAACACAGATTTTGTATGTTCTATGTATGTATATGTAATACAGTGCAATAGGTATTACATGTTCTTTTCTTACAGTAGAGTAAGCCAGAGAAGAGAAAATATATTTATAATACTGTACCGTATCAAAAAATCCAAGCATAAGTGAACCCACACGGCTCAAACCCATGCTCAAGGGTCAGCATATACTAAAAGCTTGTGATATCGCAGTCCGTAGTGTTGAGAATATCTGTGTGTATCCTGCCATGTTTTTCTCTCAGAGATAACTGGTATTCCTCATAGAGATAAGTGATATTCCTCATTCCAGTTTTATATAATCAAACAGGCTCAAAGAAATTATTTGTTCAGGATTCCACCAACTAGGAAGTATGGAGGCTAAACGTACTGAGAGTTGTAGCCACACCCAGACACACATAGCACTGTAAAAGCAAAGTGGGCCGTACGTGTGTGTATGTCCACGTTTTCTGGGCAGCAGTGAACTACTTCTAGCTCAGTATGTTGCGTTTCTTTCTAGTCGTTACTTTCAGTAGATGATGACACGGACAATCCAGACGACAGCGTATTCTACCAGGTGCAGTCTCTCTTCGGGCATCTAATGGAAAGCAAGCTGCAGTATTATGTACCTGAGAACTTCTGGAAGGTATTTCACCTAGTCACTTCAGATATTTAGATCTGGTAATAACTGTTTCTATCTTTATTAACTCCAAACCAGTCCCATTGCCAGGAACCTATAGAAGAACGGGCTATACCATTCTTCGTAAGATTGATATTTCATTTCAAATGATTAAGAAGAGTCATTTATAATTTCTAGGGATTTGCCAGTCTTAACAATTTGAATATTTCTCATGATTCTTATTTGAATTCTTTGGATATTTGTTCAAATTAATGCTCTAAATAATTTTTTTTACTCTATTTTTTCTTTAATTTAAATTTTAGCTAGTGAGCGTACAGTGCAATTTTGGTTTCAGAAGTAGAATTCAGTAACTCGTCACTTACATTCAGCACCCAGTGCTCATCCCACCAAGTACCCTCCTTAATACCCATCACCCATCTAGCATATCCCCCATCCACCTCCCTCTATCAACGCCCAGTTTGTTCTCTAAGAGTCTCATGTGGTTTGTTTCCCTCTCTCCTCTCCGCACCCCCTTCCCGTATGTTCATCTGTTTTGTTTCTCAAATTGTATTTGTTTCTTTCTTTTTTTGAGAGAGAGAAAAAGAGAACATGAGCAGGGAGGGGCAGAGAGAGAGAGAGAGGGAGAGAATCTTAAGTCGGCTCCACCTTCCATGCAGAGCCTCCGTCTCACAAACTGCGAGATCATGACCTGAGCCAAAATTAAGAGTCAGCTGGCTGCTTAACCAACTGAGCCACCCAGGAGGCCCTCTTAAATTTTACCTAAGAGTGAAATTATATGCTATTTGTCTTTCTCTGATTAACTTATTTTGCTTAGCATAGTATATTCTAGCTTCATCCACATCCTTGCAAATGGTGAGATTTCATTCTTTTTGATGGCTGAGTAATAAAGAGGTGTCTGTGTATGTATGTATGTGTGTGTATATATATATATATATATATACACACACACACATATATATATGTAATGGGCTCTTGCCATAATTTGGCTATCATTAATAATGCTGCTATGAACATTGGGATATGTGTGCCCCTTTGAATCTGTATTTTTGGATCTTTTGGGCATATACCTAGTAGTGCAATTCCTGGGTTATAGGGTAGCTCTATTTTTAATTTTTTGAGGAGTCTCCATACTGTTCTCCAGAGTAGCTGCACCAGTTTAGATTCCCTCCAGCAGTGCAAGAGGTAAAGAACATCGTTTTTAACATTGCTTTACTGTGTTTCACATGCTTTACTGTGTTTCACAGGAGGAGTACCTTGTATTTCCCCTGTAGTTTGGATAGTTCTAAGACAGAAACTCCACGTTCTGTGGCCTCAGGTCCCAGCCGGTATGGTCTCCCAGACTTGTTTGGGTTACACAGGAGCCAGGCAAAAGCACAGATAGCTGAACCACACTCCTCTCACTTCAGTACAAGTGTCTAATGTCCTAATGGTGAGCTTGGTTTTAGAAGCATTTAAGCACTCTTGCTTCTTTTCCTTGAACAGTATATTTAATTCCTATCTGCATAGATTTTCAAGATGTGGAACAAAGAACTTTATGTGAGAGAGCAGCAGGATGCATATGAATTCTTCACTAGTCTTATTGACCAGATGGACGAGTATCTCAAGGTAGAGAACGCTTCACTTCCCCTGCCTCCCCCAGACTGTAGCACGAGAGCAGGGTGGCGGGATTGGGGGGGACTAGGAGACCTACAGACGGGAACCTTGTCAGCCGTACCACCACAGCTGTAATACGTTTCCTCTGGGCTTGAACATCCAAACAGAACATCAGCAGGATTTTGGACTTTTCTTCTTCTTAATTCATCCAGCACTTGATGAATAAGTATGTCCTTCTTAATCTGTACTCCACAGTAACCGCTCTTCCTGGGGGCGCACTGGGGTCGCCCAGCCTCCAGAGTGCTGTCCTCGCCAGGGACCTTTTGGTCCTGTGCGCAGCACTCCGACTCGGCCAGCGGGGCCAGGTTAAAAAGTTGTCTGTGGTGATGTTCGAACCCCAAGCTTCCTGCCCCCACCCAGTGTAACGTGTGACAAACCTCCTAAGGGTGGCTGCCTTCTGGTTCTCGGGTGCCCTCCGTCATTGCCAGTATCTGTCCCTCTTCTCCTGCGTAGGCACAAGTCAGGCATGTCCTTTTCAAATGACTTAGGAATTGATAGCATTTTATCCACAAGAAAGAAAAGATTGAGGAGAGTAGTTTCTAACTTGGTCTTTGTGGCATGGGGAGAAGCAATTGGAACCGTCACGAAGATGACAAGCTGTTCCTGTCACCAGCTGTGACTGGCCCCTCTCCTCTTCCTTTGCCGGCTCTTCACGCAATTCTCATAGCCAGTGGGGCCAGTGGGTTATAGACTTGCCTTTCGTTCCCAGCTTAAACTACCATCATGACTCGTTTAATTTTAGCTGTTAAGTTGAAATCTGTGCTTTAACTTAGGGCTAAAATTCTATATGAGTGACCTAGAAATTCTAGGGGCATCAACTAAAATTCTTAGTTTTTATTCCAACAGAAAATGGGGAGAGACCAGATTTTTAAGAATACTTTCCAGGGCATCTATTCTGATCAGAAGATCTGTAAAGACTGTCCTCACAGGTTAGTGAAGTTACCACTGACATCAAAAAAATGACCACCATCACTTTTGTTTTCTCTTAATTGTTGGTACTGTATTCATTAATTTTCATCCATATTTTACTTGACTAAAATGACAATATATGAAAGTCTCAGCTGTTATCTTCTTAATGTTTGTTTATTTTGAGGGAGAGAGAGAGAGAGAACTGGGGAGGGGCAGAAAGAGAGGAAGAGAGAATCCTAGGTAGGTTCTGTGCTTGTCAGTACTGATCTCCTTGTGGGGGCTCTGACTCATGACCTGAACCCAAACTAAGAGTCCGATGATTAACTGACTGAGGCACCCAGGAGGCTCAGCTATTATCTGTTTTAATAGTACTTTTATTCCATAAGCTCCTCTAACAGTTTCCTGATATATTTTTACTCAGCCAAGTTCTATAACATTTGGGCTCGTGAGCATCACCATGCTTAGTATTAAGTAAATCATCATGCAAGCAGCTTTCCTACTCATGTATTTAAGGCAAAGCTTTAAGAATACTTGAAATTTCATTTGTAAATATGTGGATTTCCAGAGGAAGTCACAAATCCTCAAACAGGAAAATACGTATTCTCAGGGTTATCCTGGTCCAGAAATCAAACTTGGAGGAAATATTTTTATAGTAGGAAAAGGATTCAGTATTCAGGTGAAAACCTGGAAATTGCTAATTGGCTACTACAGTTGCAATATACATGATCGTTGTCCTTTCTGTTTTTATTTCTTAATTTTCTAACAATATTTTTTAAAGTTTATTTTGAAAGAGAGAGAGAGAAGAGTGCATGTGTGAGTGGGGGAGGAACAAAGAGAACCCCAACCAGGCTCCATGCTGCCAGTACAGAGCCCAGTGTGGGGTTCGATCCCACAAATCATGAGATCATGACCTGAGCTGAAATCAGGAGTCAGGCACTTAACTGAGCCACCTGGATGCTCCAGTCGTCATCCTTTTTAAATAATACTTCTACTATGTTATGAATTTTGCATTTGTTGAGAGACTTGCAGCTCTCTCTCTCTCTCTCAGTGGACCCATAAATGTTTATTGAATTAAGTTTCTTTGGTTTCCATTTCTAAAATTTCTTTGTTGAAATTCATAACTTTATAATTCTGGATTGTCAAAAACGGGTATTTTTATTTGGCAGTGTACTTTTAAAAGGATGAGGGGTGGCATGTGTTAATTTCACTGACCATGAATGTAGACCTGTGTTCAGTCTCTGCTATTGCGGTAGTTTCAAGATCTGTAAATTCCATTATTGATTCTGTTTTTTCTGTGGCTTGCTAATCAGATATGAGCGGGAGGAAGCTTTCATGGCTCTCAATCTTGGAGTTACGTCTTGTCAGAGCTTGGAAATTTCTTTGGACCAGTTTGTTAGAGGAGAAGTTCTAGAGGGAAGTAACGCATATTACTGTGAAAAGTGTAAAGAAAAGGTATTACACTTGCCTTTTTTGAAAAACAAGCTTAATTTGTTACTCATTTAGTTTGTCTTTATGTTTTATGTAAGAACAATATTAAGCTCCTATTGTTGCTTCCATTGAATTGTGTCATTATCTGTTTTCACATGGGCGGGAAAGGCCTGTGAGAATCTATGACCTTTGTATGACTTTGATGTTTTCTTTCTTCCCTGGAGATAATTGGGTTTTGCTTTTCTTTAGAGAATAACTGTGAAAAGGACCTGCATTAAGTCTTTACCTAGTGTCTTGGTAATTCACCTAATGAGATTTGGATTTGACTGGGAGAGTGGACGCTCCATTAAATACGATGAACAGATAAGGGTAACTTTTTTTTTCCCCTGAACTTTCTTACCACCATTACCTCACTTTTTTCCCCCCGCTGTTTACTTTTTACATGTTTAACTTTCATCTCCACTGTGAAAGGCTGTGGCGTCAGCGTGCTTGTCTTAAGCCATGCTGTCCATAGACGGGCAGATCTGCACACAGCCCCCGTGTCGGGACCGTGGGGAGGGAGGCCCGGCCAGAACCAGGAGAACATCCCTCTTACTTGAGTCTGACGTGACTGGATATTGCTGTGTATGTTACTCATCAACACGGCTGTGGTCCTTCTGCTTTTAAATAGTTTCCCTGGATGCTAAACATGGAGCCTTACACAGTCTCAGGAATGGCTCGCCAAGATTCGTCTTCGGAAGTTGGTGAAAACGGGCGAAGTATGGACCAGGGAGGTGGAGGATCCCCACGAAAAAAAGTCGCCCTCACTGAAAACTATGAACTTGTCGGAGTCATTGTCCACAGCGGGCAGGCACATGCGGGTCACTACTATTCCTTCATTAAAGACCGACGGTAAGGACTCACGCCAGCCCTCCCCCTGCTTGCCAGTAGTCCTGCCTCCCCCCCACCCCCTCTTCCTGTATCTCCCCTCCACTCCCCCTGCCCTCTTGTGTCCTTCCCCTGCTCCCCCTGCCCTCCTCTGTCCCTCCTCCACTCCCCCTGCCCTCTGGTGTCCTTCCCCTGCTCCCCCTGCCCTCCTCTGTCCCTCCTCCACTCCCCCTGCTCTCTGGTGTCCTTCCCCTGCTCCCCCTGCCCTCCTCTGTCCTTCCTCTACTCCCCCTGCCTCCCTATATCTCTCCTCTGCTCCCCCTCTCTTCTGTTCCTCCTCCACTTCCCTGCCCTGGTGTATCTCTCCTCCACTCCCTCTGCCCTCCTATGCCTCTCCTCTCCTCTCCCTGCCCTATATTATCAGCCATGCTTATGAGTGTAGTGCAAAGAAGCTTTTACATTGCTCCTTCGTCATATTTCATATTGGATTTTTAAAACTTAGTAACAGTTTTTATCTCTTTGGTTTGAAAAGTTGTTTTAGAAACTTAAGGGTTTTTCTTGGATATTTTCAAATGGTAGTTATCTGCTCGATTTGTAGACAATACATAGAGACAAAGGTGGGGGAGGGGCATGTTGGGTTTTCATCTTATAACATGTGTTTTCCTGTGGGCTCCAGGGGGTGTGGAAAAGGAAAGTGGTACAAGTTTAACGACACAGTCATAGAAGAATTTGACCTAAATGATGAGACCCTGGAGTATGAATGCTTTGGAGGAGAATACAGACCAAAAGTTTATGATCAAAGTAAGTATTTACAAGTGGATGTTTCACATTAGTTTTTTTTTTTTTTAACTTACAGTTTTCTATCAAATTGGAGGTCATATTCTTTACGTAAAAATGTAATTTTATTCTTTTTACATACCACTTTTCCCGCTGTTTAGATCCACAAATTCCTTGGTAGGCAGAGTAAAAACATTCAAGCTGCTTACAGAACGTTTTTTAAAATAATTCCAGGCAGCAGCAGCAGGTGATGGAGGAAGAGGAAGAAATGAATATCAGAGAAAAACTAATGAACACAGAATTTCAACCTTAAAAATTGTTTCAGAAGAAGTAGTTGTCTGCTCAAACTCTCACATTTCCTTTTCACTTACAGAGAGGCACAATGAATTAGAGAAGACCTCTCTAACACACTGTGTTTCTGTAACCACATTTATTATGCAGCATGGCAGTCTTTCCCTCCACAGCCACCACCCCCCCCCCCGCCACCCCCGGCCGAAGAAAAAAGTATGAGGAAAAGGACATCACAGAATCCAATCAGAATTTGCCATTTGGGGAAAAAACATTTTGTAGACATCTTGGCATTTCTGAAAGCTGATTTTGCAATATATCAGGGGCATTTAAAATTTTCTACCTGCGTAAGTAAGTCACAAGGATGGAAAGTAAGCATAGGAAACAGAGACAATAATATTGTAGTAAAGCTGTGTGGCAACAGATGGTGACTGCACTTGTCTTGGTGAGCATTTCGTAACGTATATAATTGTCAAAACACTATGTTGGATACCTAAAGCTAGTATGTCAACTATACTTCAATTAAAAATTAAAATTAAAAAATATTCTACCTCTGTGTCAGATTTTGATACCGTACCATGGTAGTCCTGCATCTGGTAAAATAGTAACCTTTAATGGTTAAATATAGTGCTGTTGCCAAAACTTACCTAGATTGAGCTGTTCTATGCAGAAATGGCCAAGGCCAATTATAATCCCATCCTGTACCACAGAACTTTTTAAATGTTCCTTGCCTTTTGATTAAATCCAGACTTGCCTAGGAATGTCTGTCCCCTTCACCACATTGCTGTACACCTTCCTCCCAGCTCTTCTAAATCACCTTCCAAGCAGGATGGTACAGGACACACATTTTACTTACACTTGCGTTTAATTTTTGTAAATACGTGCTGGATTCGTGGGCCTTTATTTCAGATTGTCAAGATAAGACACCCTTTTAAACTTATTTACAAAGACTTCTTTCTTCGTGTCTGGTTGTAAAGCAAACCCATATACAGATGTACGCCGAAGATACTGGAATGCCTATATGCTCTTCTACCAAAGGGTCTCTGATCAGAACTCCCCAGTTTTACCAAAGAAAAGTCGAGTCAGTGTGGTACGGCAGGAAGCTGAGGATCTCTCTCTGTGAGTTTCTCTTCCGCGTAATTTGCTGTGTGATTTCAGTAGGTGATCATTGTAATCATGAGTATGCTGTTGGGGATTTAAAGGTAATTTGGTAAACAAGCAAGAGAGAAATTCTAAAAAGAAAATGAGTAAATCTCTTTACCCCTTTTCTTATGGCCACCTGTTTATTATTTCCTTGGCAGAAGTTATTTTGTATTTAGAACATGCATGTAGGGGCACCTGGGTGGCTCAGTCAGTTGAGCATCCAACTTTGGCTCAGATCGTGATCTCATGGTTTGTGAGTTTGAATCCTGTGTCAGGCTCTCTGCTGTCAGCACAGAGCCTGCTTCAGATCCTCTGTCCCCCTCTCTCTCTGCCCTCCACTTTCAAAAATAAATAAATATTCAAAATATTTTTTTTTAAAGAACACGCATGTAAATTATTTCATTCTAGAATTGAGATTTTTTTTCCAATCTCAGCTTTTATCGGATACACTTTGTATCCAAAGTGTATCACTTTGTCAGTACCATGGGTTTTTTTTAAGTTTTTGTTGTTTATGAATTTGCCTTTTAATATATTGGGTGGGGAAAAGTTTGCAGTTTATGATTAAGTCTCGTACCCTGTGTACGTAAGTGTGTCAGCTTGCGGTAACTGCTAAAACAGCAACCACTTTACACAGACGGTTTTCTGATTCTGTCCTTAGGTCAGCGCCATCCTCACCGGAAATTTCACCTCAGTCCTCTCCTCGACCCCATAGGCCTAACAATGACCGGCTCTCTATTCTAACCAAGCTGGTTAAAAAAGGCGAGAAAAAAGGGCTATTTGTGGAGAAAATGCCTGCTCGAATATACCAGGTAAGAACCATGTAAAAAATTCTAAGGGAGAAAAATCAGATAGAAGTCAAAATCCACCCAGTAGGTCCACAAGTACTCCCGGCGGGCTCCTTGTGGACTTGGTTGGACCGAGTGCCTCATGCAGCCCACCTCGTCCCACGAGTGTTTCATAACAGGTCATAGAGGTAGCCGCAGACTCAAGGTGGCCAGCACTGTCACGGGCCTGCTCTGTAACTGGGGTTGCCACAGATACACAAGTGAGAGGGAGTGGCCAGGAAAAACAAACACTGTTGGAACTAACTTTCTGGAGAGGAAAGTAAGTGAGGGTTCGTACCTTTGGGTAAAAGGAGTATGACAGTGATGACCGTCAATTATTGAATATCTACTCTGTGCCACATGCTTTAAACAAATCCTTAATTCTAGAAAACCTTTGTGAAGTAGTGGGTTTTATTCCCATTTTTCAGATGAAAAAACTGAGCTCAGAAAAGAAGTGTGAGGCACCTGGGTGGCTCAGTCAGTTGAGCATCTGACTGTTGATTTCGGCTCAGGTCATGATCTTACAGTTCGGGTTCGTGAGATTGAGCCCTGTGTTGGGCTCTGCACTGGCAGCATGGGGTCTTCTTGGGATTCTCTCTCTTCCTCTTTCTCTTCCCCTGTCCCCACTCACACAACTGTGCACTCCCCAAAATAAAAAAATAAACTTTAAAAAGGGGGAGGAGGAGAGAAATGACCTGCCAGTTCACAGAACCAGGATTTAAATTGAGAACTGTCCAACTACCCAGTCCAGGCTTTATACACTAAGTCATCAAAAGCTGAGTAGCTACAACCAGAGAATTTAAGAAAACTCTGGAGTGTTTCATTAAGAGAGATTTAAGCCATCTGAACAAGGAAAGCGTGAAGTTGGTTGTACTTGGGAAAGCTCTCTTTGTTCCTTCCAACCCAAAATAACCTGGTTTGAAGTCACTTGTCCTTCATGTAATGGCTTTCCTAAGTTTCCCAAAAGAATTTGGTTTGATGAATAATAATTCGCCTTCTTACAGCTTCTTATATTTGAAAGGAAGATTTTCCTCTCTCCCTGGTTAAAATTTCAAAGCTCTAGAGAAGGGCTTTTGCGAACCTTTTCTAACCTAATATAAAACCCTTTCTACCTAATGTATCATTAAAAATACCTTCCACGTGCTGAATATTTTCCCGTTTCTTAAAAATAATTACTGATTTTCTTTTGTAGATGGTGAGAGATGAAAACCTCAAGTTTATGAAGAATAGAGATGTGTACAGTAGTGATTATTTCAGTTTTGTTTTGTCTTTAGCGTCACTGAATGCTGTAAGTACTAGTTGGCTTGTTAGTCAGGGACTAAGAAAGCAGAGTGAAATCTGTCCGCTCAAGCGTTCAGTGACTCCTCCTCACCCTCGGCTGTTAGCATTCAGATTAGATGCCCAGAACATTCCCACACCTAATGTCACTTACTGGGTAATATGAAGATACAGTCAGTGCTCCAAACATATAAATACGCAGATTGTGAATGGGTGTGGGTTTCCACATACTGGCTTTTTAAAGTGCTTTTCAATTTTATAAGGAATATCTAAGAATAGCCACGAGGTGAGGGCAGTGAATATTGGGCTTTGTGGAGATTAATTTGTCCTAATCTGTCATCATACATTTTCAGACTCAAGATGAACTTCCAAGTACTTTCTTTTCTTGAGTACCATGATTATAATTCACCAGTAAGGGAAAAACTTTCTTTGTCTGTTGACAGTGCTTAACATCCTATGGTCTAAAAGCTCTATTTTGAGAAGGCTTCATTAAAAAGTGAAGAGGGTGTCTTTTCTTAACCTTTTTAAAAATTTAAATGGAACATTTTCTATAATAAGCTGGCTAGCGTTTTCTTATTCGTGTTTAACTTGTTATAAGTCATTATTCAATTCATTACATGTAATAATCTATAAAACACCTTTGAAAAACACTGTTTTTTCACTCTCTCTCAGACTAAATTAAAGCATCCGTATTATCCTTGCATGGCAAAGGTGAGCTTACAGCTTGCAGTTCAGTTCCTTTTTCAAACTTACCTACGGACAAAGAAAAAACTCAGGTAAGAAACGATATGTTTTGATAGTCTGTTGTGGCAAAAGGCACTGATTAATTTGATTAAAATTGAATTTATAAATTCAAAGCATTGTGAAGGCACCTACCTAAATATGTTCAGGTTCCTATCTTTAAGGGATTTCTAGTCTCATAGGAAGGATAAATCAGAAGAAGCAAGGCATAAATGCTGTACGTCTATGGGAAGTGGACAAAATTATATCCAAATATGGGGATTGGGTAGGTGTTAAAGACATTGATATTCTCAGAGAATTTTGAAAGGCAAAAACAAACAGAGAATAATCTAAGTGAAAGGGGAAAACCTGAGTTAATAATAAGACTTGCCTGAAGAACTGTGAATGACTAGTGTTTTTGCTCAGACTCCTAAGGGCTCACTGGAAGTGAGGTCAGATGTGGGCTTTGGAGGAGCCCATCAAGTGTCCTGAGTGCCACAGAGGGGATGAGACTTTGTTCAGTGGGAGATCATGGAGGGTTTTTGAACAGGGGGCAGCACATATGGAGACACGCTAGACTTAAGCAGCATGTGGTCCACTGTTGGTTTTTATCGTCAGCACCTGGAAGGTGCCGGACCCTTGATAGGTGCTGGGTGAAGATTTGTCTGGGAGTAAATGGGTGGGAGGCGAGGAGTCACTGTCCACTGACTGGAGGAGGTACCTGAGCAGGGAGGGACTGGATAAGGAAGGCAGTTACAGTCAGAAGCCCAGTGCTGTTCTCAGTCTGGTCTCTCCTGCCGGCCCCATGCACTTCTCCAAGTAAGGGGAGGTTTGCAGACAGATTCTGCAATCAGGAAACAGTTGAGAAGAAATAAATAAAATGGCAACTTTATTTTCATGTGTAATAAAGATAAATTAAATGATACTCATCTTTATTTTTCTATTGAAAATGAAGGAATAATACGTTCCTTTTAATGTCTGGCATAGGACTAAGGAATTTCGTTACTTTTATTTGTGAGGTTTGCTTGAGCTGCGGGTACATTGGAGACCGTTTCCATTTTGTTTGTATTCACCATTTGGGGACTTGAGAGAGTAGAGGGGTGTTCTGTGAGGTCATGGGCAGTTGAGACATGATACCTCGTTGTCTGCCCAAATGTTTTCTTCTGTAAAGCTGGATACTAATGGCTGTAGCAGTGAGTGAAATATAAGAATGTTGATGTAGTGACCTGTTCTGAAGGCAGACGTTTTACAAGTGTCAGTTAGTTAAGCAAAACAATGCTACAGGTCAGACGTTTTTCCCGATTAAAATCGCTTGAGGAAGGTGCAAAAGATAAAAGTTAAGGCCTAAGACTTAAGCTTCTTCACATATTTTGTGAGGGGGAAGGGAAGGGCAGGGGATGGACAGATCATACCACAAACACCAAAAAATGCAAAGCGCTGGCTTCTGGGGTGCGTGGAGCCATGTTAGTCAGCGGTCATTGGCTATTCAACGTACGCTCTCTCCCACCTCCCCACAAATCGGGTAACTAAAACCAGAGTGATGCTCCACAGGGTGCTGTATGGGGGTCGGACTCCTTACATCTCGGCCTTTGCTCTTTTGCAGGGTTGACACTGAAGAATGGATCGCCACTATTGAAGCATTACTTTCCAAAAGTTTTGATGCTTGTCAGTGGCTCGTTGAATATTTCATTAGCTCTGAAGGACGAGAATTAATAAAGTAAGTGCCAAGATCTTTTAATTAATTAGAAGAAATCTGTGTCTCTTTCAGTGATTTAGAGCTGCAATTTCTTGTGACTATTTTTATTTCTACTTGAAAATGCTTTTCCGATCAGAGTCCGTTTGGAACTTTTTTCCCTAGAAGCATGAGGAGACTTTTCAGGTCACTCTGAAATCGTTCTTTCGTAAAACCCTCTCTGTTGGACTAGACTCCGACAAGCATTCCGTGAGCGCAAGGAGAGTGTGTGTGCACGTAGCCACGTGCTCCCAGGCAGGCATGGCCTGACCTCTTGCCATGGCTCAGGATAAAAAATAATCTGCTTTTTCTGGTGAAAAGTCTAGATGCTCCAGTCACTGTGGAAGTTTACATTGTACTCCCAGCCATCCTTGGGCCCGTTTCTCTTGTCCTTGGGGAGTGCAGTACTCATGCAGGGGCTCTGTGATCTCAGTGCCCCTCGTCCCCAGTGCCCCCCCTTCATCTCCTCACCCTTCACGCCTGCCAGGCTAGCACACCCCACCTCCAGCTAAGGACTTTGCCTTGGAATTCACTGAGAAAATACGAGTCACAGATGAGCAGGCCTCTGTCCCCAGCATATCAGAGCCTGTTCTCATCTTTCCTCCTGGCACTCTGGGGGACGTGGCCTTCTCGTCTCAAAATGAATCTCTCCATGAGCAAACCCTTTATCAGCTCTCATTCCTGCATCTTTACCTTCTAGAATTTTCTACAGAGTACTTCTGTCAGCATGCAGATATGCTGTGATATCTCTCAAACAGACAACAGAGAATTTGGAAATACAAGCCCCTTTCATAGGGAGCTTATAGTCTGGTGGCTTGTTAGCTGATCGAGACTCTTGAGCCCATATTCTTTTCATCTCTAGGTCTGAGCTCCAGGCACTCGTTTGCTTACTTGATATCTCTACTTCTTTCTCTAATCTACATCAAACAGCAACAGACGTGGGGTTTTGTTGTTGTTGTTTTTTTTAAATAAAATGGATCTACATTACTTCTCTGCTTGAAAATTCTTTGGTGGGTTCCTGTCAGACTCATAAAATCCACAGCCTTTACGTAACCCACAAAGCCTTGAAAACGGTCTTGTTTCAGTTTCCTCACACTGGCTTATTGATTCCTTCAACACGCTAAGCTTTCTCTTCCTGCCTAAAGACCCTTGCACCTTTATTGCCTCTATCTGGAACATTCCCCCATCCAGTCCTGCATCTTATCCTTCAGATGTCAGAGAAGCCATCCCATCCTGATGAGCCTGTCTAAAGCCAGTCTGCACAGTTGGTCTGCTCTGCTGTTTTGCCTGTCTCCTCACTAAACTCTGGCTTCTTGAGGGCAGAAGCTAAGCCTGTTTGGTTCCCTGCTGTACACAGAGCCTGGAACGTAGTAAGCACTCCGATGTTTGTGGGTGTGTGCGTACATGTGTGCACACGTGCACGTAACACACAAATAGAGCAAGTAACCATTTGTATGAAGTATTATATGTGCCTGGCCCTTTGGGGTTTGCCTTGAGATAAGCTTTCCCCGTTTTTCCAGTGCAACTCCAAGCCTCTTCCCAATAGTAACAAGTTAACTATCCTAGAATCATCGTGTATTTGGAAGGAACATGGCAAATATTTTAGTGTGTTCCCTTATATCCAACCAGGCTTGCTTTGAGATATTTCCAGAAGAACTTGGTGACTCTGGGAGTATGTTTGGTTTCTTAGTGCTCCTCCTGGTTAAGAACCCCAATGAATTACCTAATCTGAATTCTTCCTGAGAGAGTTTATTATATTTTTGTCTCTTTATCACTGTCAATTTGTCACTGTCGGTTGCTGATTTTATAATTTTATAATTCTGTTTTTAAGATCACGTAGGTTACCATTGTTACACTAAAATAGCTGTCTATGTGAAGGCGCTGCTGCTCTTAGGTCAGAACTATTCAGTGTAGTGCTTTTTTTTTTTTTTTTTTGGCAATGGTTAAATGTAACCATAATTATAAAAATCTGAAGTTGTACTAAGCACTGCTTGGAAATTGATCCGTATCAAAAATTAACCTCAAAACTGCTAAATGAAGAAAGAGTATTTTACATCTTTAAAAAAGTATTTGCTGTGGAAGCATTTAAACATAGAGTAGCCAGAATGAGAGCCCTGCTCTGTACCACTTTCCGGGCCTGGTTCCCAGCACTGTGCCCACCCTGTTGCCCACCACTCTCTCACAGGCCTGCTTTTTTTCCTCAAGTATTTTAAAGTAAGTCTCAGACATCGTGTAATTTCACTATAAATTTTTCTAAAAGGTAGTTTTTTTTAAAAAGTAAGCACTTTACCATGACCACACTAACGTACTTCTCTTATGTCATCCTAAATCCAGTCCATATTCAGATTTACCTGGGCATCTCAAAAAAGTTCATTCTTCCACCGAGTGTGTACACATCAGGACCCACATGAGCTCCACACGTTGCGTTTAGTTTATATGTCTGTCAGGACTCTTTTTTTTTTTTTTTTTTTTTTTTTTAATGTTTTATTTATTTCTAGGAGAGAGAGAGACAGCGTGAGCAGGGGAGGGTCAGAGAGAGAGAGAGGGAGTCACAGACTGAAACAGGCTCCAGGCTCTGAGCTGGCAGTCAGCACAGAGCCCGACGCGGGGCTCGAACCCACGAACCGCGAGATCATGACCCAAGTGAAAGTCGGACGCTTAACCGACTAAGCCACCCAGGCGCCCCTGTCTGTCAGGACTCTTAATCTACAATTGCTCCTTTCCCCACCACCTCCCTTTTAGTCCTGCCACTTTTTTGAGGGGCACCCTGGCCATTTGCCCCATAGAAGTCCCCACGTTGTGGATTTGTCCGCGTTCTCATAGTGCCTCCCGGCGTCTGTGATAGGAAATGTGGAGCGGCCCTTGGGGACAGGCTTTCCAGAAGACTCGTACCCGATTCTGATGAAGCCTCTGGAGCTGAATGTTACAGGCCCACTTGTCACCTTGTGGCTGCCTCTTAAAGTCTCCATGCATTTTGAATACAGCCTTTTCAGTCTGGTGCTAATTAGCTAGCTCATAGCTCAGCACTTCTGGGGATGAGCAGCAGAGTGAGCTCGGAAAGCTCCACTCTGGTCTCCCTCTGGGGAGAAGGCAGGGTTCTCCATGTACCCCTGAAAGGGGAGGAAGGAAGTGCCAATGCTGCACTCACACAGGAACCAGAGCGGCCTTCTGCTGTCACCTGGAGGGCATGGTCGTCGGCATTGGGCTGTATTTAAACCTTCCCTACGGAATCATGCAGACTTCCTGTTAAGAAGTATTAGAAAAGAGGGGCGCCTGAGGGGTTAAGCGTCTGACTTTCACTTAGGTCATGATCTCGCGGTTCGTGGGTTAAAGCCCCGCATCGGGCTCTGTGCTGACTGCCAGCTCAGAGCCTGGAGCCTATTTCAGAGTCTGTATCTTCCTCTCTCTCTGACCCTCCCCTGCTCACGCCGTCTCTCTCTCTCCTAGAAATAAATAAAAATATGTAAAAAAAAAAAAAAAGAAGTATTAGAAAAGATAGATGGGTTTCCACTTTGCCGATTACAGAAGGGGTTGTCCCACGGAAGCGAGTGTTTGAAGCAGCGCACAAAGCATGGCCAGAGAAGCACACTGTCCGGCATCCCACCCCCCTTAACCCCAAGAGCAGGGCCCCTGCCCACGCCACCTCTGCCTCTGAGGCTGCTGCACCCCCACTCTGCACATGGAAGGGATTGAATTAGATCATGCGCTTGCAGGGCTGTGCGGTAGCTGATGCACCCCAGCAGTGCGGCGACCATGGAGGCGGTCATCACCGTCGTCCCCGTCACAAAGGAGAAAGGAAGGGAAGCCCCACCTCTGGTTTGGGGAGTTAGGTAACAAGGCTTGGGAAGAGGAGAGGAGGGGAGGGGAGGAGGGGGGAGGAAAAAGATAGAAATCGTGGTGCACAGGTGGAGTAGAAGGGGCCGTGTTGATTCTGAACTTCGGTGTCTTACTCTGAGAAATTCAAGGGGTACCCCTGGGAGAATTCTGGAGCCAACAGAATTTATAAAATTTTAGGTCTTTTGCTTTCATATTTCTTTACGTCCATGTATCTCATTATGCTGTAACATTTATTACAAATACTCATTTCAGGAGAAGTGGGGAAGAGGGGGAAAATCCTACCTTCAGCACCCAGGGGTCTGCTTTTCCTGTTTGGCCTTCTTCCCCTGCACAGCAGCCTGAGATGGTGTCCCAAAGCTCTCGGGAGCCTTGACCCAAGAGCTTGGAGAGATTTTGTTTCTTGGACAGTCGGTGGGCCTGGTGTTGGGAAGGTTGGGTTACAGGAGTTCTTCTGCCTTCTCAGCACGCACCTTTTCCCTGTATGTTCTAGGATTTTCTTGCTGGAGTGCAGTGTGCGAGAAGTACGCGTTGCCGTGGCCACCGTTCTGGAGAAAACCCTAGACAGTGCCTTGTTTTATCAGGATAAGGTCGGTCTCGTTTCTTAAATGTGACGTCTACGTTGTTTCTACCAAGTGTCTTACATTGCCCATGGTGAGAGAGAGCGCCCAGGGTTGGAGTCTGGTAATTCTGCTGCGGAGAATGCGGCTCTTGCAGAGAATGCAGCTCCCACAGACTGCCATTCTGATAAATGCCAGGGTAGAAGGTGTGCTGTCCTCACCTCCTTGCACCCCAGAAGTCAGGACAGCCTCAGGATTTGGGTCTTCTCTGGTCTGCTTCAGGCTTTTCTCTCTAGAGCGCTCCTTTCTCAGAGTCTTCTCCCAAGACTGTGTGTTCAGTTGCGCTGAGCTGAGACTAACCCGAGTCCAGAGACTCTAGTCTAGGCACACAGACATCCTGAGCTGCATTTGGCTTTGTCTCTTCCCTAACACGCTGTTTCCACGATCCAAACCTGTGGCTGGCAGCCAGGCCAAACTGTGCCGCCCATCCAGGACCGAGCAGCAGCCAGGTTGGCTTCTTCAGTGGAGCCTCCATTGCTCCTAACCTTTGTTCCTGTTCTCCTGGATTTCTTCTTCCTGATTCTCTTTTCTGCCACATATTTTCGGGTTTACAGTTCCACACATGCTAAAACAAACCGGGGTATTTATGACTATCCTCAAATTTCAAATATCCCCCTAAATTTTAAGTTTTAGGGAAATAAATGACATATACTGTAAGTCTGATTATTATTCAGTCTGTTATTAAGCCCTAACAAATAGAGCCCTTCTTCTCAAGTTTGCTATTTCAAACAGCTGACACTACATGGAAAACTTTGAAAAATGTTGGTTTCAGATCTGATTGGCTCCTTGTAGACATTGGCTGGAGGCAGTGTGTCTCAGTGAACGGAATGCAGATTTTAGGAGTTGCTGCTTCAGATTCAGACGTTGGCTTTACTCTTCCACCTTGAGCAAGTCCTTTCGTGTTTTTTTTTATTATAAAAAATTGTTTTAAGTTTATTTATTTTGAGAGAGAGAGAGCGCAAGTGGGGAAGGGGCAGAGAGACAGGGGGAGAGAGAGAAACCCAAACAGGCTCCTCACTGTCAGCACAGAGCCCAACGTGGGGCTCGAACCCACAAACCATGAGATCATGACCCATGCCAAAGTCGGACGCTTAACCGACTGAGCCACCCAGGCGCCCCACAAGTCCTTGAAGAAAGATGCTAATCCAGGTACAGTACTTGGTACCCAGGCATTTAGTTCCTTCAACATTGCCTGACCCAGAGTTCACCATTAGACCAGGCAACCTAAGGAGCTTTGCTCAGCAAGAGTGAATAAGAAGGTCAAATAGGCCCTTTAGAGAGGACCTAGAAGAAGACCATAGCTCAATTCCAGGACTTGCAAGGAAGCTAAGGTCTACTCTAAGGCACTGGTTTTCAGTCAGTTTAAACAGCAGGACCGTTTTTCTCACCTTACCTGGATGCAGAATAGATAAAATCAGTCATTGGGAGCCGCCACGGACAGTTTGGATACCACTGCTCTTGAAGTACCCCCATGGGGCTTTTCTCAGATACTTAACATCTGTCCTTCTTGCTGTCCTCCTTCCTCCCGTGTACTGACCCAGACAGAGAACCAGAGCAGAATTCATGCAGTCTCCCTCCAGATGGGGTCAGGCCATGGCCTAGTAAGTAGTCCACCAGCCCCTAGAGGCAGGACTGCAGGTGGTAGGAAGGGAAGGCAGTGGTGGAGGGCATAAGCATGGAAGCCATTGCCTCCGTGAGGTCGGTTTGCCATCCAGCTGACCTATTTTATATCTGTTTTCCGCCCCTCATGATGGAAATGGTGCCTCGGCCACCCACCTCGTATCGTAAAGTACTTTGAAAACAAAGTGCTGTGTGGATGGTAGGTTCTGCTGTATTTACGACGAGTACGACAGGCCGGGCGGGACTACTTCAGAAGCCCGTGAGCACCGGTCTTGAGGGGAGATGAGCTAACAGACGTAGTAAGCTGGTCTTAATTCTCCAGTCACAGATGAATTTCTAGGGACTTGTCCAAAAACAGTTGGGGTGGGAGGGAAAGAAGAAGCAATGTGATAACCAAAATGGTTTCTAAACAAATAAAATGTTTTTCAAAGCTTTCCATGAGGCGTCCGCGGGCTTTCAAGTAAGTTCACAGTTGAGTTGGTATCACCGTTGTCATTCTGTCAGGCTGTTGCTCCCCATTTGCTCCATTGGCTTGATTTCCGGCCCCTATGCCTGTGTCTGTGTTTTTTATTCTTTGCATCTGTGATTATGTGAAGAAGTAGCATAGTGGAGGGGGGGATTCAGAGATGTTTCCTCTAAGCTCCCCCCACTTTTTTTTTTTAAAAGACAGAAATTGGCCCTGTAGGAAATGTGACCATTAGGCCAATGAGTCCCGCCCTTGAATATGAAGTCTAGAGAACAGGACTAGGCTTTCCTCTTCATTGTTTCTACAGTACCAATCCTTCCCTGGAGGATAAAAAGTGATGATCTGTTTTTGCTCAAAGCATATATCCATCTGAATCTGAGACTGGAATGTATCAATCAGACATTCCTTTTGTTCTTGCGGTGATTTCCTTCAGATTAACCCCATTACAAATGTCTGGCTTATATTCTTTTTCTTTATGTGATTTCGTCTTTCCTCAACCAGTTAAAAAGCCTTCATCAGTTACTGGAGGTACTACTTGCTCTGTTGGATAAGGATGTCCCAGAAAACTGTAAAAACTGTGCTCAGTACTTTTTCCTATTCAACACTTTTGTACAAAAGGTAAGTGATTTTTTTTTTCCTAATAACTTTTCTTTATATAGCAGATTTCTAGTCTAAAGGAATTTTTTATACATGGGAAAACCTTAAACTGGTCAATATTGGATCCAAAGATAAGGTTTTACGAATGTTTCTTCTTAAAAATCTTTATTTGTGGATTCTGTTACTTGCCTGAATTCTGATACAGGTAGATACAGTTACTCATTGATAGTAGGGGAGTTTGGGTGAAGACTAGAGCCTCCTTGCACGTCTGGCAGCCATGGTGAAGCAGCATGAGGTTGTTGAAACCCAAGAGTCTTTTAAACTACATTTTTAACCAGTACTTTCTGTGTGCAAATCATAGCATTTAAAAACTTACTGAACCCTGGGGGTGCCTGGGTGGCTCAGTTGGTTAAGCGTTGGACCTCGGCTCAGGTCATGATCTCATGGTTTGTGAGTTCGAGCCCCATGTCATACTCATTGCTGACAGCTCAGAGCCTGGAGCCTGCCTCAGATTCTGTGTCTCTGTCTCTCTTTGCCCCTCCCCTGCTCGCATCTGTCTCTTTCTTTCTCAAAAATAAATGGTAAAAAGCAAAACAAAAACAAACAAAATTGACCCCTTAAAACTTCTCATTTAACTGTGTTTTTAATATAAATTTCTATCTGGATAGACCTATAACTTGTCATTCTCGGTATCTTGTGACAGCAAGGTATTCGGGCTGGGGATCTTCTTCTGAGGCATTCAGCTCTGCGACACATGACCAGCTTTCTCCTCGGGGCCAGCCGGCAAAACAATCAGGTAACGCCATCTACTTGAGGGCCCAGTGCGATGGCTGTGGTTTTGTTGCCACATTGTCTCTCTTTGTAGGTGATGAATATATTTCATTTCGTAAGAGTCAGATACTAGTACTACATAGCCTTTAACATTCTTTGGAGTTCCATTGTTTTACGGCCTCCTCAGAACTTAGCCTGATGATAACTCCTGGACATGACTAAGTAGAGTATCAGTCACAAGTGTGCTAGGAGGAGATATGGGCTCGGGGGGCAGGGGGCTCGGGGGCCTCTAGGAAATAGTGGCATTGGGACTTCCACTTGCCCCCAGGACTGTGAGCAAGGCCATTCCAGTGGGGGTTGTAAGTGTGGTGCTGGTCACAAGGGCCAAGTTCAAATGGGAAGTTGAACGGTGATGCACTGAGTGATACTGTGGGTATAATGCTCACAGACAATGAAAGGGAAGCTGTGATAAATCGGGCTGAATATAGCAAAAGAAGACTCCCCTAGGGCACCTGAGGGGCTCAGTCGGGTTAAGTGTCTGACTCTGGCCTGGGTCATGATCTCATGGTTCATGAGTTCGAGCCCCACGTTGGGCTCTGTGCTGACAGCTCAGAGCCTGAAGCCTGTTTCAGATTTTGTGTCTCCCCCCTCTGCCCCTCCCCCACTCACAACCTGTCTCTCAAAAATGAATAAACATTAAAAAAACATTTAAGAAAGAGGACTCTCCTGTGTGGGGTGTCTGTATTGGTGTGTTTTTCCCATTACTGTATTTCTCTGTTTGATGGACTTAGCTGAACAGGGTGAGTGTGCACTGATGATAGACACTGTTTAAGGAGTGTCTGTTCCGTGCCAGCACACTGCTTACTTTACACACCACACCTCTGCTACAGGTCAGTAAAATAAGCATTTTCCTCCCACTGTCAAGCAAGAATCAGAGCTCAGAGAAGCTCAGTGAATCACGTGAGTTCGCAGCTAACGCACTGTGGAGCCAGGGTTCCAGGGTTCCGACCCCGCTCTGCCTTCCCTGCTGTGTGGCGCGTCGCACAGGCACGCGTCCTTCTCCGTGAGGACACAGACGTGTGGGCCCCGCCTCATCTGCCTCCTGCTGTGCCGCCCATTGCCCTCTCCAGCAGTACAAACAAACGCTGCCGCCTTAGCGGGATCCGCGGGCTGGAATTTACAGTGTCTTGTACTTTGCTAGCAGACTCCATCGACACCGGTGATTGATTGATCCTGACTGTAATTTAAATAAGATTCAATTTCGTTCCTAGTGCTATGTAATTCATATTGTTTTGCCTTATGGAGCGCATACAACATTGGAAACGTTTTGTTTCCTGGTTTTAATTTCCGTATTTTTTTTTCTTAATTTACACCCCAGTTAGCACATAATGCTTTCAGGAGTAGAGTGCAGTAATTCATCCCCCGTGTATAACCCCCACTGCTCCTCCCCACAGGTGTCTTCCTTAATGCCACTTGTCTATTTAGTCCGTCCCCCTCCCCACCCTCACCGCCCCTCCAGGAGAACATTTCCACTTGTAATGTTTCATTTGGTCCTCGCAACCACGTAGTGGGCAGGTATGTTATCTCTGCCATTCCACAAAGAGGTCAGGCGCTGTCATGATAAAGAGCTTGCCGGCATCCACCAAGCCCGGTGACTGGCAGTAGAGGGCCAGGCTCCCGCTCTCCGGCCTCCCGGGTTTTCCCCATCATCCTGAGAGAGAGAGGAAAATCACCAGCACGTGAGCAGCGTTCCGCACCTGACTTCAGTACATAAATGGAACTGTTTCAGAACACAGTAGGTCTATAAGCAAGAAAAACTCTTAGGCTAGCTTAAAACCCACAACTTTTCTTATACTTTGATCTCTTCTACCAGACACTGAGAAAGAACTGTGGCTCAAAATATCATGAACCAGCCTATCCTTTCCCTTCTTTATCATAGTATTTCTAACCAGAACACTAATGCTCAGTCTATTTTCACTGTCGCCAGATACGTCGGTGGAGTTCGGCACAAGCACGAGAATTTGGGAATCTTCACAATACAGTGGCATTACTTGTTTTACATTCAGATGTCTCTTCCCAAAGGAACGTTGGTGAGCTTTAATATATCTTTAATGCGGCAGAAGAAAGAAGAGAGTGAATTTGTCAGTAATGCACGGAGACTAATAATCTTAGCAATTAAGTGAATATTATTCTCGTTTGGCTATTTGATATTTGAGGAATACTTCATTTTTTTGTTTGTTTTAATGCATGTTAAATTTCACTTTAGTAGTTTGTCACAAGAGAAAGTCATTTATTTGGCGGGGAGGGGTGTACAAGTATTTTAAAAAAATACTCTAGGGTTAGAGGCCAATTCAGACTTCATTCATTGTATTCATTACCATAATTGGCACAGTTAATTTCGTAGGGAAAATAGCCAAGTGTGGGTTGGAGTCTCCTAGCTGTGTGAACTTGACCAAGCCACCTGACATTTTCAGTCCTCGATACAAAATGGAAATATTAAAAGCATAGCTCCCCAGGTGTAATGAGGATTAATGAGATAAAATGTTAAAAGTACTTTGTAAAACTGAAGAGGAATCAGATGTAAGTTATGTCATGGACGTGTGTTTGGATATAAGAGGTAGCTGGTACTTCCCGTTCTGTCCCCCGGAACCAGTAGCTCAGTCCGCATTTAGTGCAGCTGAGACACCGGTCACTCTGTGCTTATCCGGTACCCTAACCTGTGTGTGCACCACCTTTTCATACTGTTGCCAGGCCTTGTCAGGACGGCACCAACAGCAGTGACGATAGTAACACAACAGGGCAGCTGAGAAGTATTCGGTGTTTTCTGTGTGCTGTGCTGTGTGCTCTGGGGGTGTGTGTGACCCCCTCAGCAAGCCTGGGAGGGCCGGGCCCCTTCGCCCCTTCCACGGAAGGAGAACCAGAGCACAGACAGGCCCTTGCGCTTGCGCGAGCCTCGCTGGGAAGGGGTGCGGGGTGGGTATGTGAGTGCGAGCCTCTGACTGCCAGCAGGTATAGTTGGCGTCCCTGTCATCTGACTGGGGAGATCTGGTAGAAGTCCCTGGGCATCTCTCCAATCTGGAAATGCTTCCTGACTCTCTGAAGGACCACTGGGGAGCCCTCAGATGGTTGCAGGGTGACTTGTTTCCTTTCCTCTGACTCATGCACCTGAAAAGACAAGTCTGCCTAATTTGTGAGCTCAAACAGGTTTGTAAAAGGACATCAGAGCGTGAGTCCTTATTTTCTAGCGCATGGGGCAACTCACCCCTTCCAGGCGGGTCAGTTCTGCTTAGCATAGGTGGCGTGGGCTGTTACTTGAGGGCACTCGTTTGAGCCGCAAGGGTCTTGTCCAGTGTCTCATCAAGAGGCATTTGAGCATTTTGTTTCGTCTATTTATATTTTTACTTCTTTGAAAGATTGTCTCGGGTGGGAGCGCTAGGAGTCTGGAGATCTAAGTAGTCACCCTGGCAACTTGGGCACACACTGAGAAATAGGTAAACATTTTCTTTCTCCTGTCTGCACGCCCGGCTTCCCGCTAGACTGAGGGAGCAGGCAGTAAGCACCGAGCAGCCACCTGTGTGAACCTCAGGAGAACCGCTTCACCTCGTAGATGGTCTCATGAAATAACATCAAGTGAAGTGGGTTTGCTTTTCTTGGTCCCCTAAAGCTCCTGGTGTATTTAAACAACGGCCACCGATTAGCATTGCCCCGTCCAGCCCTCTGCTGCCCCTCCATGAGGAAGTAGAAGCCTTGTTGTTCTTATCTGAAGGGAAGCCTTACCTGTTAGAGGTAAGTACTTGATCTTCTGGAACCATTTTCTTTTTATTTTCATTATTTTCTGTTTGTGGAGAGACACCCTTTGTGATATTTTGCATGTTGATTCTTTCAAATTAATGTTTCTTCATGGGTTTATGTCAGAAAGACATGCTCTGCTGAAGAGAATTTTTATCAGTCCTTCCTAGAAGCGAGGATTGGGCCCCCCGGGTACAGCCCAGCTAATGTCCCCTCCAGGTGTCAGGAGAAAGTGAACAGTACTTCTCAGCAATCAGTTACTCAGTTCTTAGCGGGGGATTTTGTCCCCAGTCTTCTGTGTGTGTCTCTGGTCCTGGCATACTCCATCCAGCTCCGGAGCTCACATTCTGGGTACACCTCAGGAGTGGGGAAGTGGGCTACTCACAGCCCCCCATCTCGTCACGCGCAGTGTGGCCCATCTGCAGCCCACGTCCTTCCCCTTCCACCCAGGGCTGCCTACGCCTGAGAATTTAGTCTGCTGGTCCCTCTTCCAGAACTTGACGTACATGCATAAACCTGTGGGCCGTACACCACCCTGGTGGTTTAATCACGTCAGCAGTGCTGTGCCCTGTATCTCTTGTTTCTTAGCTTAACGCTGTTTAATTTATGGATCTGTCAGTGACTCTTCGAATTTAGTGCTGGGGGTGGCGATGCATTTGGGGCCTTTGTGTTTGAAAATCTGGTGAACATGACTTCCGGGGGGGAAAGGCGCACATTTGCAGATGTTTTTTCAGACGGACTTAGGCCTCTGGCAGTTAAGAAGGCCTATTTCGAGGTGATGTTGAAGATCTTAACCCTGAGTACCTTTCAGCTAAAGTCAGAAACAACATCTCGACAGTTAACTGGGCCCTAAGAAAGTGTCCTCCTTTTATACCCTCCCGCCAGGTGATGTTTGCTTTGCGAGAGCTGACGGGCTCGCTCCTGGCGCTCATCGAGATGGTGGTATACTGCTGCTTCTGTAATGAGCACTTCTCCTTCACCGTGCTGCACCTTGTTAAGGTAGGGGCCCCCCCGTAAGGCCCGGCCAGAGCTGGCGGCGGCCGCCCAACCTGCAGGGAGAGGGGCCTTTGCTCCCAGCACATGCGCTGCTTCTAATAACCTTAGTTGCTTCTTCTAAGCATTAAATACTCTAGGCTCATTTTCTTCAAAAGAAAGAATAAAAAGAACTCAGAGTCTTCCCGTTCATTGATAATCACCACAGACATTCTCTTAGGTTTCCCTTTTCTGTGCCTATTTTTTTTTTTTACCATAATTGGAATTTTACTGTCTTTAGGATTTTGTGTTTTTTTTCGCTTGACATAGTAAGTATTTTCCCATCTCATGAAGTTACCTTTGAGGATATTCATCCTCTCATGTGCCTTCGTTTCCTGAGCCATTCCCTTGCTAGTGATGCGCGTTTCCATTGGGCTCAGTTGTTAAGGACTTAGAATATACTTCATAGTTAATCATAGGCTGTGATGACCATGATTGTGTAAGATGGGTTCCAATTTCAGGTCCTTTTCATCAGGCAACATTTTAAAAATCAAAAGCAGGTTTTTCTTACCTTCTGAAATAGTGACATAATACATCAGGAAGCTCTGATCAATATTGTAATTACTCTTACGTATGTTGCACTGAACTGGGCACCAAACGCTGTCCCAGGCATATTATAAAATTACATATTTAATTCTCAAGTGGTCCTATGATATAAATACTACTATTGCTACCATTTTACAGTTGAGGAAACAGGCACAGAGTAAGTAACTTGCCCGGTGTCCCATAGCTAATAAGTGGGACAGTGGGAATTTGAACGTCGCAGTCTGGCTCCAGGGCTGTGCTCTTAGCCGTATTGTTTACTGCCTTTCTAGGTGTTACTAGAAAAACCTTTAACCCAGCACATATTTTTATTAGTTTTTAATCTTTAATTTTTTAATTGTCTGGATATTGCATGCCTGCATTTTCTTTGTGAAAAATCAAAACCTGTAGATAAGGCCAGAGTCCAAGCAGCCTCGTCCTCTCTCCACCCCACTCCAGGGAGCAGTCCTGTCACCTTCTCCGTGTCCTTTGAGGCCTCTTTCTGTGAATTTTTACCATATATATTGGTTTCTGCGCACAGAATCTCTGCCTCGCCCCAATTTTACCTTCTTGCAGTAATGGTGACACCTATAATGTTAAAAAGTAGCAGGTGATCAGTGCATTATGTGCTCGGTCTCGTACTCAAATGTGTTTGCCCTGAGCCTTTTCTGTGGAGACCTGTAGCAGAGGTGATTGAATTCCTCTTCTTACTCTTTACTGATTATGCGACCTCAGGCAGTTTCCTCCTCCGTTAGGTAGGAGGGAAGTATGACTGGACTTAACAGAGTGAAATTTCAGCGAGGCGTGACACGCAGAGCCCTTCCTTAGTTCCGGACCTGGCACCTTGGAAGGGCAGTGTTGTAACCCAGTGTCCTTCCCCACAGTCCACATGCCCGAGGCCGGCAAGGTGCCCAGCAGGGTGTGAGTTTTATGAACCTTGATCCCTTCACTTAGTGTGTCTTGGTGAGGTTTCTATTTCATAAGCTGTCCTTACCCCAGAGCATATGTTCTGGAAAACACAGTAGGATGTGTATATGAAATAGAAACAGCATTTGGGCCTGTTCACTTAAAAGTCTCTTCTCCTTTCTGCCTTTCTTCCTCTCTCCTTCCTTGTTTCATAGCGAAGTATCCTAGCCTTGAGTGGTACAGTCTAGAGACTGCTTTAGTCCCACACTTAGCCCAGGAGAACAGCTTACCCAGCGCCAAGCAGGTAGGGGAGGAATAGATAGAGCTTGCGTCCAGGCCTGTTGCTTGCCACTCTGATGAGCTTTCCACTGAAGACTCACTGGAATTTTTGTGCTTTTAAAAAATATTTCAGAACCAACTAGAAACAGCTCCACCCCATGAGTTAAAGAATACGTTCCAGCTCCTCCATGAGATACTGGTAAGTGAAAAACATTCAGGCTCTCCTGTGGTGTTTGTCAGGGTCACTAGTCAGGGCACCTGGGTGGCTCTGTCAATTGTACACCCAACTCTTGATTTCAGCTCAGGTCCTGATCTCAACGGTTCTGAGATTGAGCCCCGTGTCAGGCTCTGTTGAGCTGGAATCTGCTCTCCCTTTTCTTCTCTCTCTCTCTCTCTCTTTCTGTCTGCCCTGCTCCTCTACTCACACTCTTTTTCTAAAAATTAAAAAACAAAAAGGTTCTAGTCAGCATGTGTTTGTAAACAGAAGTCACTTGTCCTTGTATCAGTTTGCACTCGCTCGGTCTGCACTTAGTGAGTCCTCTTTACAGCAGTCATGTTTTTGTCATTACTGACTGGCAGGTGAGTGGTAAGAAAACTACCTCGTGGGAATTCACAGTGGAGTGGGGGAGCCCACCAAGTTGACAGTGCGGAGAGCATGGAAGTGGTGGGCGGGGGGCTGTGCCAAGCACAGATACCGTCTCCTTCAAACCTCAGGAAAACCGTCAGGTAAATTGCTGCTCTGCAGTTCATTCACGTCTGAGACCCCGTTGATTGTCCACATGCTATTGAAACTCCTGCTTACGAGCCACTGGAACGTAATCCACTGTAGGATGCATTCCAATTCTGGATGCAGGGGAGAACTGAGCTCTAAGCAGTGAAGTACATTATTAGGAGACACTGCAGCTTAGTGACATGGAGAGATTTGCCCAAGGCCACCCTTGAATGGAAGGGACAGAGTCAGGATTTGAGCCAAGCGACCGGCCCAGAGCCCGCACTCTCCACCAGAGGTTGTTTGCGGGGACTGTAAGAAAGTGGCATCAGCAGGAGCGCAGGGAACGGAGTAGGGCAGGGGGCCGGGAAAGCCCAGACCGAATCGTGAAAGGCTGCGGGAACCGGTGTGTGTGGGCATTGTCCCGTCGGCCCGTGCTTGCACGCTGGTGGCCAGGTTCTGCCTGGACACCTATTGCATTTGACCCACAGCTGTTTTGTCTCATCATCCCTGGGTTCTGGCCTGTCTTGAGAAGCCAGGTCGTGTGGCCCTCTGGCCCCATTCTCTGCGTGCGTCAGTCCCCGCTCTGAGGAGGCACGTGCTGTCCAGTGCCCCGCCGTCCTCACTGCTCCTTACTGCCGTTTCTAGCCCACTTGGGCCGTTTCCTGTTGTCGTGGCCATGTGGACATTTCACTTTGCCACCCCTGCCGTCACCGTTGGCGCCATGGGAAGGCTTTAACAGGAGCGATGTGACCTGACAGAGCTTACAAAGGCCCCCCTGACCCTCGTTTGGAAGGACTGCCTGAAGAAGGAAGCAGGGTTGGAACCGGAGGACCGCACGGGCATGGGTGGCAGCCCCCCAAGTGTGAAATAACAAGGTCCGCGCTGCAGAGAGGTGGGGAGGCGGCAAGGAGCAGGAGCCCGTAGACCTTGGTGGCTGGTGTGAGCCGGCGGGAGCCTAGCTAGCCCCGCGCCCACTGAGCAGACGGAGTCCGGGGTCCCGGTAGGTGCCTAAGACTTCACAGAGGCCTCGCACAGGGCGGCCACCAAGGAAGCATTACTCACGACGGAAAGACATGTGGACGCCGTTTATAAAAAGCCTGTCTCTGCTCCTCTCCCTCCCTCTTAGCCCTAGCACTGTTACAACATGCAGAGCATCGCCTCTCAGGAGTAGGGCAGTAACTGTCGGTCTGCTCAGGAACAAGCCACCTAGCTCACTGCCCTGCGCGTAGTTCAGTGCGGGCACGAGCGGGACACACACCCGGCCCTGTGTGCTCGGCCTAAACCTCCATGCAGCGTGGAGGGCCTGTAGCATAGCAAAGCTTCGCGTGGTTTTGGCAAGCAGTTCTGACACTAAGCCGCTTGTCCCTACGACCTGCAGTACGCGCCCTCAGCCCACTCGGTTACTGCAGACAGCTGTGCATGCGGTTGGTGAGAACACATAGGAGGTGAATGGATCTGCAGCTCTTACTGATGTTTTTCAGCTTTTGTTTAGAATTTAAGGGGCACCTGGCTGACTCATTCAGGAGAGCATGTGCCTTGAGGTCTCATGAGTTTGAGCCCCACGGGGGGAGTAGATTGTACCTAAATAAATAAAGTAGAACTGAAGAACTGTCAATACATGTCAGTGGCACATTGTTTGTATTGGGTTTTGTTAAGTTAGGAACTAAATTAACCTCATGAACAGAATTCTTTTTAAAAGTCACCAGTGATGCCATGGCACAAGTACCCTCTTTCCTTTACTGGCCTTTGTCTCCTTCCGGTCACAGGTCATCGAAGATCCCATACAGGTGGAGCGAGTCAAATTCGTGTTTGAGACGGAAAATGGATTATTAGGTAAGTAGCCTGGCCTTGCTGAGAAATGTGTGCAGCTGGGCGGCAAAGCGCCTGTTGTTGCGGCTGGCCCCCTCCCCAGTGGGTCTGCCCCGGCACCACGGGCCAGCCACGGCCCCGGAGAAGCCTGGTGGGGCCGTGGGCTCTGCGTCCCATCAGCAGACATGAGGCCAGAGCATCCCGTCACCCCGCACCGCCTCCCTCCTTAGTCAGCAAGGTGCAGCTTTGGGTCCTGTTCTCCAGTCAGATCAGTCAGGGGTGCTGTGACTTTTCTCAACAAGCTGAAGGCTACTCTCTGATGCCAGAAGTCTTTCATGCCACTCTGGAGCCATCTGGGAGGGAGAAACTATAACCTGCAGCTCAGGGTGTTGTCTGCTCATGACATAGTGTTTTTTACCTGTGGTGTGGATGCACCCAGGTCTCTTGTACCCACTCATAAGAGTTCTTTCAGAAGGCTCAAGTGGCTTTAATGAGCTGTTTCTTAGAAAAAGTGTGGTTAAAACTAGTCCTCTTCAATATCCACCATCCACCTGTATTTCCAGTGAATCTGAGTCCTCTTAGATTTTGCTCTGTAGCAAGAAATTTAAGGCCTTTTGTTGCAGAAGAGAAATGTAAGCTAAAACGTTGTGTAGCTGTGACGTTCAGGGCCACCGAGCGGCACCCGGGCTCTCCGGAACTGCCAGGTCATGCGCTCCTCAAGAGCAGGGACCAAGTGCTACTTGCGTTTGCGTCCCCGAGGTGCAGAGGGGGAGGTGCACATGGAACCGAACTGACATGTATTTCCATGTATCAAATGAAAGGCTTGTAACCACTCTTCTGTCAGGAGCCTGCCGTGTAGCAAAGCTTGGAGATCTGTAAGTGAGTCATCAGTATGAGATTTAGTTCCTTCTGCCTCTCCTAAAAGTCACCCCTGCACCGCCACATGTGTTTCTTCAATACTCTTTAAAGTGGTGTCTCTGCCCATCAGTGGATGGGGAGTCCTGTTGAGTCGCACCCCAAGCTGACAGTCCGCTTCCCGTCTGCTGATCAGACCATTGGGCTGCAAATGGTCAGAACAAAAGGTGGTGGTGTGGGGACCCACCTTCAGTGCCCTGCTTCCGTGTCACAATTTCCTGTTCTCTCCCCACAGCTCTGATGCACCACAGTAACCATGTGGACAGCAGTCGCTGCTACCAGTGTGTCAAATTTCTTGTAACTCTTGCTCAAAAGTAAGTATCGACTCAAAATGCAGGGAGGAGACGGTGTTTTCAGTGACAAGTCGTATGTGGCCAGAAAAAACCGCTCCCTCGCTTTAGTCCCTAGAGAGCCTGACTCGGCATGCTTGCCGGGATCATTCCGAAACCGACTCACTTGCTCTCGAGAGGAGGTGAGGGGATGTCAGAAGAGCAGCAGATCTTCTGGAATCCAAGAAAAAGCTGAACCAGCAGGCCTCATGCAGGGAAGGCAGGAATCAGGGCAGATTTGGGGATGTTAACAAGAGTCCCTGCACTTTGGCGTGAGCTAGCTTGCAGTGATATAAGGTCACTGCCGTCTCCGTCAGGTTCTAGATCCCCTCTTTCAAAACAGCCTCTCAAGAGACAGAAGCATATTCTAGGTGCTTACACTTAGGAACCCAGGCACAGTGCCGAGTGCTTGGCCTTACTCTCATTTCATCTTTGCAACAACTCCGTGAGGTGAGATACCGCTAGCCCCGTGTCATGGGTGATTAGGTGGTGTGCCTGCATCCAGACTAGGGCTTGAGCCAGGCCGATGGGCTTCGTGGCAAAGGGTCTTTTCTCTTATTGTTTAGTTGTGGTAGGATACACACAACATAAAATGTATCATTTTAACCATCTTTAGGTGTACAAATCCGTGGCATTAAGTGGGTTCACACTGTCATGTAGCTGTCGCTACCACTCATCTCCAGAACTTTGTAATCTTCCCGAACAGAAACTCCGTACCAACTAAGCAGTAACCTTCGTTCTCCCCCCAGCAGCCCCCATTCTGCTTTCTCTCTGAATCTGACCACTCTGGGTGCCTTGTGTAGGGGGGTCCTGCAGTGTCGGCCCCGTTGTGACTGGCTGACTGCACGTAGTGTGCTGTGCTAAGGTCTGTCCATGTTGCAGCCTGTGCCAGAGTCCCCTTCCTTTTTTAAGGCCCAGTAATACTCTATCGTGCAGCTCTGCCACGTTTTGTCCGTGTAGCAGTCGATAGACACCTGGAAAACCAAGGTTGTCAGCGGTAGAAGGGACCTTAGGGGTGTGCTGCTTCAGCTCCCCATGTGGGACGTGGGCCAACAGAAAGCCAGAGTGACTGTATGATAACCAGGGTTACTGAGCACACTATACCGCCGCCACTGGGTCTTCGTTTATTGTGCTCCAGATGTTTATTGATTCTTAAGCATGGGCACTGCCATCCTTGGATTTATACCTGAATAAGGATGAGAAATCTCCCGGTTTCATGCTGCATTTGCATGTCCTGCACAGATTAAATGAGAGCTCTGGTGAAATAATGGATGAACGTGCATTTTCCCGGCCATATGGCCTTGTGGAGAGAGGTCACCCCACCACAGGTGTGGGTTCGTTACTTAGGCTTGCTACTGGCAGCATGATGTAATAGGTATTTGCCTACGCGGCATTTCCGGATTGTGCTGGGGCCACATGTATGTCTGATGCCAGCAGGTACCTCGTCCAGATAGCAGTGTCTTCATACACGCTCCCGTGGCCCTCACAGAACCTCCAAGCCATACCCATAGGATCGCCGTCAGTACAGTCTTCAGATGTGAAGGGCAGCTTTCTAAATGGACAAATAAAACTGCAGGTGGTGGTGGGGGGGGGCCTCTAGACCATACTTTAAGTTGTTTTTCCCAGAATATCATTCACATCACAAAAATGTAAAGACTAGTTTTGATTCTTTAAAGAATCATTTCTATAATTAAATGTACAGTGTGTTGTGGCATTTTTTGTTCGTTTTTTAGTTTCCGTCTTTTAATTTTATAGAACAGAGTAGATGAACTAGTCATAGATCAGAGACCTTTCGCTATGTGTTTACCTTCTTTTGCCTTTTGAAGTTTAAACACATGAATGTATCCGAATCAAAAGCAAGCAAAAACCTGAATATAATGACAACAGAACGTTAGTGAAAGTAGCGTTTGTGTCTCAGAATCAAAGGGGATTAAACAAGTATACCTGAAAGGAAGCCCTTGGCTGATACTGTTCCCCAATCACCAGGTGTCCTGCCGCTAAGGAGTACTTCAAGGAGAACTCGCACCACTGGAGCTGGGCTGTCCAGTGGCTACAGAAGAAGGTAATTGCCCTTTGAACTTTCCTGGCTATCACATAGGAATCAGTAACAGCGCATCTTACCAGGAGAAACGTCTTCATGGGGAGACTGGCCTTAGAGTTACGGCCAAACTCCAAACGTTTTCCGGTACAGCCAGTACCTGTCATTACACATGAAGTTCATGTCTTACTTAATACAGCATCTTAACTGTACGGGTCAGAGAGCAGGGGTGATTCTGTGACACGTAGTGCCTCCCTGAGCTCTTGTGAGTGGACATGAGACCCTCCGAGAAAGCACCTCCTGGTGTGTTAGATTGGGGTGGTCTGTGTGCTCTGCTGAGGTTTATATTCACATGTCTCATGGGGGACATTGCGGACCATCGTGGGTTTATCTGTGTCTCACGTTGTCTTTGACTTTCCGTCTCAGATGTCAGAACATTATTGGACACCACAGAGTAACGTGTCTAACGAAACATCAACTGGAAAAACCTTCCAGCGGACGATTTCAGCTCAGGTGAGGTGTGGCTTTGTGTGGCCTGGAACCCATAGGCCGGTTTGTCAGCGTGTCAGACACCGCAGCCTCAGCGAGACGAGAGGCGCGGCTGGGAGTGAGCAAGGACAGGAGTGAGTTTCCGTGAAGACACAGCTTGTCATGCACTGGCGGATTCGGTGCCGCAGGGGCGGGTCCTGGCAGCTGCTGCGGGGGCAGTCCCTGGAGGCCAAGCACAGGGCCCCGTGTCGCGGCGCCGCACACCCTGACCGCACTCTCGCGCTGACATCTGTCACAGGACACGCTGGCCTACGCCACGGCCCTGCTGAACGAGAAGGAGCAGTCCGGGAGCAGCAACGGCTCGGAGAGCAGCCCTGCAAACGAGAACGGGGAGCGGCATTTACAGCAGGTACGGCCGCGGCCCACAGCCCCTGGGAAAGGGCAGCTCCGCTCTGAGGCTTTCCAGAAAGAATTTCCATACTCGAGAACAAAGGAGCCCCTACCCTCACCCCTGCTGATCCCAAGGCGGAACAGCGTTGCAGGGGACAGGACCGCAGGCCCACTGGTGGGGTGACCGCCTCCAGGGTGGCCCCTCATGCAGCCGGGCCACAGCCACCTTCGTCCCAGCCGGCTCACCGCACTCTGCCGGCTTGCCACATCCCCTGCCCTTCCCCCCCCACCCCCACCCCCGGCCCCATCACTTTCACCAGCCTCCCTGGAAACATGGACCCTTGAAAGGAAGGGCCATCGAAACACCTACTTGTCAAGGCAGTCAGAGTAATTATAAGTTTACTTTAAAAAAAACAAAACATTTTCAGTACCAATTGCTGTGGTAGGAAAAGGAAAGAAATATTTCTGGCGCACTCCCCAGTGAAGCCGGTGGGAAGGTGCTGATGGCGTCATGGCCTCTCACAGCCTGTATGACCCTGCGCCAGGGCAGTCCCCTCCCTGGGGTCCCCTCCCTGGTCCCATCGCAGCGCTGGGCACAGAGGCCTCACTCAGCGAAGCTTGTTGATGTCGTGCATGCCATGTGTTTTAATCTTCCGCGTCCTCGCGACAACCTGGTGAGGTCCCTGTTACCCTGACCTCACAGAAGGGACGCAGAGGCTCAGCAGGGTGACGAGGTGTGACCCAGCAGTCGACCTCATCACCTGCTCTGCTTGCACAGAGGACGAACGCTGTAGGAGCGGCCGCGGGGCTTACAGGCCCCAGGAGCGTGCGACCCACACGTGGTCCCACGGCCACTGGGAACCCCTCCGCTGCATGTCCCTCCCGCAGTGCTCCCACACACTCTGTTCTCATCTCACCTGTGCTTTAAAAACAGCCGTCTTCTTCCCTCTTCCCCCTCACCCCTTCTCCCAGAACCGTCAGAACCTGGTTTCTTCTCTCGCTCCTCCTGGGACCTTCCAGGCCGACCCCTCGGCTGGCTCAGCAGGCAGGGTGACGGGTGGCCTCCCTTGTCAGGTCTGGCCGCAGTGCAGCCCTCCGCAGCATGGGACCTCGCCGGCTGCCCGCCCGCCCGCCCCGGGGCTGGCACGGCGCCTCGCCCCCCTGGCTTTCCCCCAACCCCTCCACCTGTCCTCTCTCTGTCTCCGTGGCCGCGATTCTCCTGGGTGCCAGACGGGGCCATCCACCTCCTTCCCTGAAGGACCCCTGGCAGCCGACATGCCTGACACTTGCACCCAGGGCTGGCATCCTTGGCGTCCTTATCACAAGCAGCGCCCTGTGTCCCGGTGTCTTCCCGGACAATCCCTTGCACGCTGCAGTCTGCCCACCGATCCTGCACGGCTGCCCTCTTGAACCTCTCCGTGTGTCTGTTCCGTCCTCATAAGGACCTGAGTGTCCTCGGTCTCTGAGAGTGTCCCTACCTTGCTCTTGCTTCCCTCGATGGCTCTCCATTGCTGTTAGGATAAAAGCCAGCATCCTCAGCACAACCCTGCCTGACTTGGCCCCTGCCTACCTCTCTCCCCTCCTCTTCTGAGTTCTGGAGGCCTGTGTTTCTTGGAGTTGATCCGATCCCCTTTTTCCTTTTGCCTGGGGCCTCCCCCACTCACTTTACAGAGACTCCCTGCCTGCTCCCTGCCCCGCCCCCACCGTCCCAGGACACAGCAGACATTCAGAACTTTGTTCACCTGTGGGCCAAAGGCCACATCGCTGGTGACAGAGGCAGGGTTCAGGAAGGAGCCGGAACCTTCTTGCTGTCCGGCAGGCAGTGCATCGCAGGCCTGGGCACAGAGGAGCTCACGTGGCTTCCCCAAGCGCGGTCTGCCATGTTGTATAGGAACACGGTGACCCGAGGCCAGCACTGGGTGGCCGGTGACCACATGAGAGCGTAGCAGTGAGTTTTGCACAATCAGGAACCGTCAAGCACAGGGTGTTGCAGTTTGGTTTTTATTACCCTTCGGTAAACAACAGAAGTCGTTAAATGCAGACCCGTTTAAACTACAGAACATGAATAATTCCATCAGCATGGAGAAACTTGGCTCTAACTTCCTTCTCTTTTTCAAAGGGGTCGGAGTCACCCATGATGATTGGCGAGTTGAGAAGCGACCTCGATGATGTCGACCCCTAGAGGCACACCGTGCGTGGCGCGCACGGTGAGGAGTCCCAGCTCCAGGACGGGGTGCTCATCACCCTTCCGAAATCAGATTCTCACCCTTGAGCCCCTTAGACGAGCCCAAAGCTCGGACTGGGAGAGCCTGCCGTGGTCCCAGAGGAGCACGTGTTTTTAAAGAAGGCACCCTTGGCCCCTGGAGAAGGTTTGGGAGCTGTTTGGCAGTGGGAGGAGGCCTTCCTCCGGACCAGCTTTCCTGGGGCACAGTCCAAATGTGGGTTCGTGGTCCTGTGGAAATTCTGGGAAATCAAGCCGGTGGCAGACGTTCTTGTTCCACAAACACACAGGAGCGAGTGAGGGTCAGGCCATTGCGTTCTCTTTGTGCTACAAGACAAGTCCCTTTGGATTTTATATTTAAAAAAAAAAAAAGCTGCCTTTAGCTATGCGGGGGCAAATTTTTAATCTTGCAGTAACATTGAATAGGAATATCAGATTGAAAATGATGTAAAGGTAGGTGATAGGATTCTTTCCACTGTAAAATACTAGTTGAAGAACTCCGTTTACACAGACCTTTGTATTTAATATGTCTCCCTGTTTGTATAGAGTCTCAGACGGGTCAGGATCAGAGCCCTGGGCATGAAGCTGGACCGTGATGAAATATTACCAGGATCAAAAATTGGGAAATGAATTATGCTCTTTAAGGTATTTTTCTGATACAAATGAGGTTGCAGAGAGCAATTTAAAAAAATGGGTTCTTCAGAAGTACAGGGTGCATTCTTTGATATCAATCACGAAAGAGGTTGTGGATTTTTCCCCAAATTTTGAAAACCATGAAATAAAAAGCACTTTAAGTTATAATCTTACTGAGTTTGACTTTACAAAAGCATCTTTCTAATGCTTGGAGACATATTGAATAAACTGCAGTCTTAAATCATGTGATCTGCAATCATTGGCTTTTGCTTAAAACATAGTTGCTGAAACCCTCTGGCACCAGTTGTGTGTGAAGTTAAATGTCTGAGTTGAGAAAACACTGCAGTAATTTTAATGCAGAGCAGGAATTTGAGGTTTTGTTTCTCTGCGACATGACTAATGGACACTGAGAAGAGAGAGATGAGATTTCCCTTCCCAGAAATGACCATAAAGTCATGGAACAACATTTCGTTGGTGTTTCCCAAGTGCAGCCCCATTCACTCCTTTCAGATTTGGATCCCAGAGGGGAAGAGGGGATATGCCAACATACTTCATAGATTTTGTGCGTTTTGTACCTTGAGTTAACGTTTTACCTTCAGCGACGTGCTCTGCCTTGTTTTCACCTCCCCGCGCACAGAACTAGGGAAGCTTAGGAAGTGCCAGGTCGCCCCTGCGGGTTAGATTTGCCAAGTCCAAGAGGCATGGCCAGCCCCAAAGTGCCTTTTTGGTGGCTTTCAAGTCGTATGGACATGCACAGGATGGCTCTTTGCTGCCATGCACCTCAGCACCTGGCCCCTTCGCTGCTGAACGCTGAGGGGCCTGTGTGGCCCGGCTGCAGTCGGTACCCGTGTCTACAGCCCACCGCAGCCTCACGGTGACCATGGTCAAGGGCGCTGCGCAGACGGAGGCCGCGTTAAGAGAAGAACTGCGCCCTCAGAGAGTGGGCCAGAAGCAGTTGGCAGATTTTCTGTGGCTTTGCTGTCCTTGGGGCTTCGGATGTGATGTTTTGAAATCGATTCTGAGAATACGCATGCCTCTCTGTCCCACTGTCTTCCCGAACCCTCCCTCAAGCCGTCTGTCCACCCCCATCTGCACACAACGACTGTGTAGGACGTGACCTTGAAATGCCAGTGATGATGTGTGTTGGGATATCATCGCTGGCCACTGCACTCTCAGGAGCCCAAATTCAGGAGTGAAATTGCCACTTCTAGTCCCTTATTTCCTATGGAAACAACACCCCTGCCACCCCCAGGACCTGCTGTCCTCACTGGAAGGCTTCGTCAGGATCGCCGTCACCGTTGTGTGTCCCACGCACCACTCAGTTTGTCCGCGTCATTGCTGCAGTGAGCACCCTTCCTCTTTGCCAGGAACCACTCGATTTCCAACGGCTACAGTCTGCAAACCTGCTGATGACTTTTTTTTTTTTTAACGTACAACAAAGTGACAATTACGACAGGCTTACCTTGGAAGAGTTGTCATTTTTACTGCCAATTTTTTGGACGAAGATGTTTTTATAAATCTTTCAAAATGGTCTGCACATCGAATAGGAATGGCACAACTGGCTCGATGCTGAGCGTTCTCAAGAAGCTCCCCTTTGGGAGGCCCCCCCGAAGTGTGCCCGCCGCGCCCCTTGGAGACGCCCTGGAAGGACAGCCGCGAGCAGCCCCGCAGGCGTCTCGCCCGCGACCTCTCCGGGAGTCCTCACGTGGTCACTGGCACCTAGAAGAAATTGTAGGACCCAGAGCATCCCGTCCCCGGACTCCGCCCCCCCGCCCCCCACCCTCCCTCTGCTGACACTGAGGTGTGTGCAGTTACCTTCTGAGCTTGGAACAAGCAGACTGGAATTTTCCTCTGCTACCTCTTGTGTACAGAATCTTGTTTATAAAATTTCAAAAGGAAGTAGATAAACTTAGGGAAGAATCTGAATCCTAAATCTGGTTCAAGTGTGGCAGAGTTCTTAGCTTCTAAGGGTATAAAATAAATTTTTCAAAAATGTAGAGTTGGAGTCTGGCCAACCTTTTTCCGCATAGTGTGGGGAGGGGGTGGCCCTGGTTCTGTGGCCTGGGGTTGCATGGGGGACTTTACGCTGATGATGTGAAGAAGGCCCCCCTTTAATGATGAGGGGCAGTGGGTCTCCTGAGCCTTTTGCGGTTCTTTCCTCTGGATAACCTGATCGTTTTAGGATTCATTTGCCAACCAGGCCGATGGCCTACAGACGTCTCCCTGTAGCTTTTAGGTCCCCCAAGCGGTCCCAGCATAAGTCACGACCCTGGTCAAGGTGGGCTTCTTGCCAGACCCCGGGTGTCTCTGCCTCACTCCTGATGTCCTGTGTGTGCGCACATGGCCCCCTCCCGCCCCGGGATGTTCGCTGCTCTACCCCTTGCCCTTCTGTGGGCACACCCCTTCCTTCCCACACACAGGGATCACCGGTCACCTGCCAACACACACAAGACCCGAGATGCCCTCTTCTCGGTCCTGGAGTGGCCACCGCGTGGAGGTCTACCAAACGGCCCCCTGGCTCCGTGCCCCCTCGGGCGAAGGTGGGGAGGCCCCCGCCACCCCCGCTCTGGATGGTAGGGCGAGGTCCCCATGGGAGAGAGAGACACCATTCCTTCCTGGGTGCAGGCTCTTCACGTCTGGCAGTCTCGAACACTTTCCGTGGTGCAAAATGGTCAGTAAATACAGTCTGGGAGGATGCTCGCTTTGCAGGCAGATTCCCCATCATCTATGATATGGGCTGCTTAGAGGCAGGCCTCGCTTAAGCCAGCTGCGCCTACCAGCCTCACAGAGGCTAGGAGGCCTCATGTTGAGGGAGGTCGCTATACTTGGCAAACTAGAAGGTTCTGAGATGGTTCATGATTTCCAGTCGTGAAAAGTGATCACGGACATAGTACGGGCTCGTTACGGAAGCACCAGACATTCCTCTTATTCCATAAACACTCTGTGCCTGGAACGGCGGAGACAGGGAGCCAGCACGTGGCAGTGGACGTGGAGGGGAGAGCATGGAGAATGCCACAGAGGTACCAGTTCCAGTTACCAAGGGTGGGGCGGGGCGACTGCCTAGGGGACTCTGGGAAGACACAGATTTTATTCTATGACAGGCATATGTGCTCATAGCCAACTCCATCATTCCACAGATTTTAAAGGCATCACCTGGAAAGTCAAACTCAGACAAGAGTCATGACAAAGCTGTTTTTATTTCAAAAGTCACCATGTAATAAAAATGCCATAAACCCCAGAATAAATATCTTCCAAGTTATAAAACAGAAACAGAGGTCTAGAAAAGCTTGGTATAAAAAGGCAGTAGAGAGAGCGGCTTACAAACAGACCAGAGAGACGAATCTTGCTTGTTTGGGTGGGGATGGGGGAGCTCAAGGAGGGGAGCTGCCCTCGCCCCCAACTCTCTGAAGCCCCCCTCCCACCCCTCCACCCCGACACCTCCCCACCCCATCAGGGTGAACCTGCTGGCACCATTCACCAGCTCTCTGTGTGCTTGGGATCCCCGCAAGGTTACTATAAAGATGGGGTGCCCAACCTGTGCAGTAAAGAGAGGCCTGGCTTTACAGCCAGATCTGGTTTACGTCTGGCCCCCACCTCACTTCCTGGCCGTGCAAGCATCCAGCCCCCGCCCCCCGTCTCCAGTTTCTTCCTCCCTGAAGTGTGGGTGGCTGTGTGGCCCATGCAGGGTATGAGAGAGGGCTGGGTGAGGTGGGGCGTGGGCCCCGCAGCCACCTCTGCAAACTGCAAAGCCAGCGCTGTGGGGGGTGCCTCCTCCAGGCCCCGCTGGGTGCACAGCCGCCACCACCCCGGGCAGGAAGAGGGGCTCCTGGGAGAAGCAAAGGCCAGGTGGCCCCTCAAACACCAAACACCTGGGACCGTCTCCCGCCTCTGGCCGGGTCTCTGGCACTTGCCAGTGGTGGGTATGAGAGCTGGGTCTACTGTCAACAGAAGCAGTCTCCAGGTGAGCCCGAATGGTGGGATTGGGGGTGCCCATGAGATGACCAAACTGGCAGAGAATCCTCTCCCGAAGAAGTGAGGACCTGAAACAAGGTATCCTGGCAGCCTGACCCATGGGCTCATTGTGGCCTCAACGTCCTCATCTATCCAATGGGTAGAACAGACCCTGCCTTTGTCCCGGGGCTGCTCAGAAACCGTGTGAGAATGTGAGTGGAGAAGCTCCTTGCCATTAGGAAAGAGTGGCCAGCCCTAGGGAAGCGGCACCCTGTCAGTGCCTAGTGGGAAGCTGATCCTCTGTTCATCAGGGAGCCTAAGGCATCTCCGAAGCCGGCAGGGGAGAATACATCTCCCTGCTTCACACTCACTGCCCCCTCCAGCCCTCACGTGCCCCCCTGCACACCTGTGGGAGGATGATTGCCTCCTTCATGGAGCCCTCGGGCTCCTTCTGCCCACCTGTGTTGGCGTCCGGGGTGGGGGGCGGGGGCAGGAAGCTGAGCACAGCATAAATAGTGGCCGGTCAGCACCTGTGACCTCCTCACACAGCCTTCCTTTCAGCACAAGGCAATTCAGGCTGGGGGTGGGGGGTCGTGTTCTCCTGGGCAGGGAGCCCATGTTCCCCCCCTATCCAGGAAAATAGAGGTGCCCCCTGGGGCCCAGGCTGAGGAGGGAGGGGGAAGGAGAAACCGTCTCAAAGCTCAGCTGAGGCCTGGGACCACAGCTCCGGGCCCCGACCCCTTCCCCGTGTACAGGCCTGGACAAGGAGGTCACTGGGGCGCCTGCCCCCCGCCAAAGTACCGGCTTCCTCACCAGCCCGGCCTCCTGCACCGACTCCTGGCTCCTCACCACAAGGGTGCTGTCCACCTTGTAGGTCCCCTGGGGTGCGGGAGGGTGCTGCAGCCCGTCAGCACCCAGCCCTCCTCGCAGGCCACGGCGACCTGCCCGGGGCCCAGGGACAAAAGCAAACACCAGGGACCGGGCCTGCAGAGCACGGGTCCGCCACGCCAACGCCAAGCTCTTCGTGTCCCCAGCCCTACGCACCCTTCGCCTTCCCGCATCCAGTCAGCAACGCCTTCCGCCCATGAACCACCACGCCCCTCCCCACTCCCCGCACAACCGTGCTCCTCCCTCAGATTCTGGTGTGCTCCACACCCCGAAGCTGGACAGTCACAGTGGGGGTTCCGCTTGTCTGCAGGTGGTCTCCCTGCTCCCGCCCCCCCGTTCCCCACAGCCTTCCCTGGGGCTAGAAGGAACTGCGCCAAACCGGGGCAGACACCCCGTTCCCTGAGCAGACCCCCAACCCCGGGCTCAGAACCCTGAGGGCCCCCAGCTCATTCAGGCCAAGTCCAAAGTCCTTACTGGGGCCCTCAGACCCCTCCTGACCTGGTCCCCCTGACTCCCTCGGTTCCCTCCGGCCTCCCGGCTGCTCCTCTTGCCCTCCAGACATGTTCCCATGTGAGCGTCTTCACCCTGGCTGTTCCCGCTGCCGCTGGAACACTGTTCCCTACCATGTCCTCCACCTTCTGAGTGAGGCTTCTCCTAAACAACACCCCTACCCGCCATTCCCTCCCCTGCTGTCTTCTCCATAGCACATTTTAAGCACTCTACCTTACGTTTCTGTTTACCACCCTTCATCCCCACGGAAATGGACACTGCAGGAAAGAAGCTAGTTGGGTTTACGTCCCCAGTGCCTGGCACAGTGCAGGGAACGCCACAGCCCTTGCTCAGCACATTCCGAGCAAATGGACCTGAGACTGTCCCTGTCCTCCAGACATGCATCTTCCAGACCTCGCTCTCAGAGTCTTGTGCTTTTATAAACCTCCTGCGTGCACTTTAAGAGCAGACTCCTGGGGCGCCTGGGTGGCTCAGTCAGTTGAACGTCCGACTTCAGCTCAAGTCATAATCATCTCACAGTTGATGGGTTCGAGCCCCGCATCAGGACAGCTCAGAGCTTGGAACCTGCTTCTGATTCTGTGTCTCCCTCTCTCTCTGACCCTCCCCTGCTCACGCTGCCTCTCTCTCTCTCTCCGAAACAAATAAAACATTAAAAAAAAAAAAAAAGAGCAGACTCCTCAGGGCCTCCTGTTAAGAAGCTCCCCGTGGCTTTTTAAAGGGAAGAGGAGACAGCTGTTAACTGTGGGGCCTCAGGCCCCAGGCTGTGTGTGTGCAGGGCCCTCTCTCTGCATGGCCTTGCCGGCCACTCCAGCCACGCCTCTGCCTTCAGCACTCAGCTCCTGTGTCCCTCCTCCGGGTCACGGCAGAGCCACCTCTTGTCCCCAGAATCCAGGCTAGCAGCCTCCCAGCAGATTTGTCAAATGGATTAACCAAGGAACGCACAAGTACAGCATTTAACTTTTAACTTGTTTTTTTAAGTTTATTTATGAGAGAGAGACAGCATGAGTGGGGGAGGGGCAGAGAGAGAGGGAGACACAGAATCCAAAGCAGGCTCCAAGCTCCGAGCTGTCAGCACAGAGCCTGAGGTGGGGCTTAAACTCACAGTGAGATCATGACCTGAGCTGAAGTTGGATGGTTAACCAACTGAGCCACCCAGGCACCCCTTAACTGATTTATTTTTAACTTTTTATTTATATTGGTAGGGTGGGAAGGGCCGTCTTTAATTCCTGAGGGCTCCTGCCCAGCTCTTGGGGTTAAGACTTCACAGGTGCATCTGTACCTCGTCATTGTTTTCCCCGTTCCAGATTATTCCACACTGTCATGATGGATGTGTATGCTGTTTTCTGTCTTTTGCTATTACACACAAAGCTGTCATGTCTTTCCTCATCTCTGTTTTATAAATTTCTAGGGGCACCTGGGTGGCTCAGTCAGTTAAGCATCTGACTTTCGTTCAGGTCATGATCTCACAGTTCACGAGTTCGAGCCCCACATCAGGCTCTATGCTGACAGCTCGGAGCCTGGAGCCTGTTTTGGATTCTGTGTCTCCCTCTCTCTCTGTCCCTCCCCCACTCATGTTCTCTCTTTCTCTCAAAAATAAATAAAACATTAAATTTTTTAATAAAAAGTAAATTCCTAGCTGTGGAGTTTC